TATTGATTCAGAAAAGTAGCTCACAAAATTCTGCACTAGTACTGCGAGTATCAGTTGAAGAAGGGGTGAGGGAGAAATGGAATTTTCCGGAAGGCTAGGAGCTTACCTGACGGGGAGATATAGTTCACCGAACTGCATCAACAACTGATATGAACAATACTATTCCCATCATATCTTAAGGACCAAACCTGACCAAGTAGTGTCCTAACGAAACTGGTCCTTCCCCACCCTGCTACTGGCACCTGAATTGGACCTCAGCGACGACAGTCAGTCAGTAAGAAGATCAGTTCTCGAAGGAGTTCGGAGAACTACATCTCACCGTCAGGTAACTTCCCAACCCTCCTGGGAAATACCCGTTCTTTATTGCCGTTCCACAGAAGTGCTTCTTTCCAGAGGCCTAGGGGAATTTTCAAGACTGATATTCCCACTTCATTCACACATGAAAACTTTTTATGCAAGCTAATTCATGATATTGTTGATAACAAAGTTATATCTCACCAACCCGGATTAGCATTCATTTCAATTAGGACATTCCACTAAAAAATACGTTTGATACCGAAAGTATCTTTAGTAAGTATAGACTGTGCTTCATGCGTTGAAACTTAGCAGTTGCCACATAAAGGGCGCATAAGCGATTTTTCAAACGACATTAGCGTGTAAAATATGTTTTAAAAGATTCTACGAAGAATTTACCAAAATGCATTTGTCTGAACAAAAATTATCACAAGTGCTCTTCAACACTTAATCATATACGTCAAGCCTGCGTGCGACATATACGTCCATACATAAGTCTATTAAAGAAAAATCAAGCGGCAGGTTTAGCGCTGTGCAAATACCGGAGGTTTCACCTCCGGCTCCGGTGCACATCACTAGGCAGGTTTCCATGCATTCGCGTTGTATATAAAGCTGGCCTCATTCAATTCACGCGTAATTACAAATTGGCAAAAGTTAGAGGCAGAAGTTTAGAGAATTGATGCATGTGGTAAGTCTTTAAAAAAATGAAGCATGCGTATATGTTTTGTGTGTCTTAACAAACAAACCACTACAATACAAGATGTTTCCTTTGCCTTGAAATTTTCGGTGCCAAGCATGTATTTTTTATATTTGCTTTATTCAATATTAGAGAGATACGGAAAGGGCAGCTTTTCAACAGTCATGTTTCGAATTTATGGCAAATTTATCATATAGAATTATTTAGCTATCGCGCCTTTAATTTTAGCTCAAAAATATGGACATTTGCTTGTTATTTCTTTCAAACTTCAATCAATACAATATGCAGATAGAGCGTTTGAAACAGGTCAAAGGACGGAAAAACCAAAACATCAAAGTGCGTCAAAAATATATCAGTATGAAAAAATAAAAAAATATTGGCAGTGACAAAGTTTTGGCGTTGTTAAAAACATCACGTGACAAGATAGATGGAACATAAGGAGCTTCAGTTCACGACTGTTATAAGGAGAAAATACACAAGAAAACAAAAATAGCGGCCACAAAAGACATAACAAAGACAGAGCTGAAGCAATAAATTTTGAGACAAAGACTTCAAGAGTTTAAAGAAATCGCCAACAGGATGAATTTGCTATACACGAATGTGCCCAACACGATGAGCAGAATGAGAATTTTAGAACACTACTGAAAGAGAAGCCTTTTAAATTGATGACCAAGGCTGGAAAGGAAACGTCAATTTAAACAAGGCAGGTCTTAAACGCTATGATGGCAAATACTCATCCATGTACCATGCTATATGCTGCAGTCCATGCAGCCTTGGTTGGCAACTAGTCAAGCAACACAACGATCCCAAAAATACAGCAAAATGGTTAAAATGTTCAAATATCAAAACAATCAAACGCGAGATGAAAGCTTCACTGTTCTATTCTAGAATTCCAAACAAAGAGTTCATACAAGAAAGAACGTTTTGAGCAAGAAAGAATGTATACATACATAATAGGTACATACTTATAATTATATACGCACTTATAGTTATATATATATAGGAAGTTTTTTTTGATTTTCCGTATTGCAGTGCTCGATGCGTTATATATATATTATATATATAGCCGTACATCCTGTGTCCCAAGTGCAGGAGTCACCATTTTACTATGGTGATAGCCGGGAGGGCACATTGTTATACACTTTGTATATTATATATATATATATATATATGCATGCATATGGAGTTCAAACAACCTACAGTCTTAACAATACTATTCCAGTCAACTTTAGGTACATAAGGCTAAAGTATGTTTATGAATTACGATGTGAAATACAATGTGGTAAATCTAGTATCTACAGCATTATTATATTATTGAGTTCTTATTTTGCTCTCTTCATTGAATGCTTAAACTTTCGAAAGCAATCAACACGCCCTTCCTGAAAACTATATGAAGGGCACAATATTTCTAAAATATGTAGAACATATCTTATCATCAATGAATAAAAACAATTCATTTAATGTTTAAGTTGATACGAAAGATTTTATGTGGTTGAATGATAAGTACGATGTCTTACAATGACTATTAACCGCATGCAAAGCTTTTAAAAGTACACGTACATTTAAGAGTCTTTGAGATACTAAATTATTTTAATGAAGCGAAGATATCCGCTTCCAAATAGTTTACCCCTCCCCTCTTTAGCTGTTGGTGACGTATACAAATCGTTGAAATAAACGTACGCCTTCAGTATAGGGTAAACTTCAAACTTGTTGACAAAAATATATATAAAAAATGTAGTTTGCTGTTGGGAATTTGTCGCGCAAGTTGAATATTCACAATTTCGTCAATATCGTCATTGCAGGTAGTTTTTAGTGCGTGACGCAACTGTTGTATTTTTGCGCAAAACAAAATATGGCATGAAGACGAGGCTGCTATGGCCTCATCATGACAATCACGAATCAAAAATAAGAGATGAATTAAATCAAAGCAGTATACACGTATCTGAGAATGTAACTGAGATGGGAAACGAGACAGCACGATCTCGATCTTCCGAAATTTTTTATCTTAAATTCCAACGAGTTGGGTATATTCGTAAGTTCAGACGTAAGCATTGTTTTTCAGTGTGGGGGCGCTTGGGAGTTCCGCCTTTCTATTTGTACAAGGAGACATTTTAATAACAGTTATTGTCTTCATATTTTTGTTTCGCATTACATCATAATTCCATCAGCTACGTAAAATAGTGCTTTCAAACGCTGAAGGCGTGACATATCTTTCAATTTATGGAGAAGCGTTGTGCTGACATCGCCAATTGACGCTTTGTTCATCGCATCGTTCTTATCTGCCAAGCTATCAAATGACGTTGGTAATCAACTCATATAATAAAGAACATAAGGTATTACAGATCATTAAAGTGTCATTAGTACATGCACGTGCATTTTGGCTGACACGTTCTGTCCAAGGAATGAAAATTGCTGTTGGCTCATAGAATGAAGAAAGTAACGCAGTAAAGCTCTAGTGATAGTGAAATAGCCAGATTTACTTTAAAACTCTTAATCGTCTTTGATTGTACGACTTCATGGAACGGGTTTTCTCAGTGTTTATGGTCATTGTAAGACGATTATTAATGGCCGATGAACTGCAAAAGTTTTGTAGTTTCAATCAGATCTTCCAGTCAAAAATTGTTTTGTAGATCTGCTTCATTTTAGTGTAACAACTCCATCGGAAAATTCATCGCAGAAAATGTTTGTCTTCAATAAGCAAACATTAATTGCTTTGGAAGAAAATCACAAAGAGCACTTTCATTGCAGGGTTCAAACACTGTTAAGTGGCATGGAGGTAAAATTTCTCGGGAATCTAATGAGAACGCAGGAAGTTCAAAAAAACTCTTGCGGAAAAACTCCAAGAGAACTTGATATTTGCTTTGCAACAAATGGGAATCCCACAGCAATGATGTTTCAGCACGATGCTTACGGAACAATAATTGTGCTAACAGCATGCATATCTACATATTTAAATTACACTCTCCTCAAAATGCTAGACAAACAACGAGATTGAGATTTTTCATCATTTGAGTAAATGATAATCATGCACATAGGCACTTCCATGAATGTTAAGCAAATTACTAACATAGAAATTAAAAAAAATCAGAACAAGGAGTGCTTTAGCAAGTTCATAATGAATTCAATGAATTAGTACTCAATGAAATCAACTTTTGGAATTGGCACTTGTTTCCACTCTACGTACTATTTTATTACTTTATATAGCTAGCTAAATACTATTTTATTATTTCATTATTGAATTATTTCGCCCCCAGTACATAGATAACTTTGTATAAATACTTCAATTATCTAGTAAGTTGCAAATGCAAAGCTGTACTGTAAATTTTTGAAATAAACAACATTTATGACAACAACTGCAGGATTGAATAGGCACCCTTGCTTCGACCTAATGATTGAAAATGCCTTAGGTTGATGCGAGGTACATATTCAAACCTTGGTGTTGATGAATAATGCAACCTTGTTTCAAGTTCGGCGTTGAAAATGTTCCCTCGTTTTAACCTCGGGATGGAATGTAAATGCTCCCTCGTTTCCATCTCGGTGTGTAATATGGGTATGGCTGGCTATATTAAGCATTTTTGAGTTTTCGAAACACGCAAAAACCTGAAATGTTTGCGAGTTGAGAGAAATATCAAAGATGCATATATTTAAAGTGATGTTGGCATATAAAAGCACAAATTCACGAACGCTCCCATGCGTATCGTGAAATTTTCTTACATCATTTACCAGATGTCTGTGACACACACAAACATCAAACAGAATAAATATTGCACGACGTACACAATAGAGGAGATTGAAAAATGCCGCAAATCAAATTGCTCCCTATAATGTATGGATAAACTGTACACATAGCCAACTGATGCCTTATCGCCCACTGCTATTCAGCGGTAAAATTGCGTGGCCAGATATGCAAATAAAACCCCCGATCGTGTTTTTATAATCAATCTTATATATTACATTGCGATAGATATTGTCGGACAGCATATTAATGAAAGATTTCATTCTATTTAGAGAAAGATTTATCAACACTTATCAACGAGCTCAACATTGAGTTCCAAGAAATGAAAACGAATCACACAATGGCTAGAGTGAGTATCATGTTTCTGAGACAGGATATTGCTTTCACGGAATGGGCGTATAGTTTCTACACAATGCAAGTTTAAAAAAAGTTTCAGTGGCCCAGCAGGCGTGACTTTAAATCTCTATTTTTAAAATACTCTGTGTAATCGGGCCTCGCAATCAGACGTGCTTTCGTCCAAAGACCTGTTCGTTTGTCCAATTAAGAAAACATTTTCGGAGACACGATTAGATAAAAAGATAATAAAATCGTTATGAGAGAGTTCTCCTTGCTCTTCTACCACGCCGCAAAATATACATGAAATAAAAAACAATGCAATTACGACGCCGCCATTTTGATAAACGATATCGCTGGGCAAATCGCGTTTTAAAAAACGTGTACGTGATGACTTTATGGCCTCTTGTGTTTTCTTCATCGTTTTCTTGGCAATTTTTGTTCTTTAAAAAATTTTTGATTCTTATGCTAGAACAATTCAACAGCAGCGGGTTATATTGCTGCAGAAAATTTCCTTTACTTCATTCTGTTTGAGAAGTTGAGAGCTACAAAAAGTGCACCATTCTGCTGACGAAATCCTCTGAGCAATCAAGGCGCTCCGCTAATTTTTGATGATTTGTTTTAAAAACTGCAGTTTTCTCGCGATTTTTCTGAAGATGCATGTGATTTAAATCAGCAATTTTCCCCTCGAACGTAATGGCATTTTATAAGTCGTGTAATAACATTTGCAAAATTTCGTGCTTTATATACAACACGTATCGGGAAAAATGCCCCAAATATGTTCCTACTTCATCCATGCCTTTAAACGTGGGATCGCTGATAACGTCATTCGTCATTCGTTATTCATATCATAGGTGTCTTGCAGCTAGCTTCGTTCGGGTTCAATGGTTCAAGCTCTATACAAGTACGATTCCTACGTGCAATCGCTTTCTTGGCTTCTTGGGGGATCAACGTTATATATGCAAAAACCGGCGTCTTGTTTACTTTCAATATCGTTATAGCGACTGACACATATTTAAAGAGGTATTCGACGCACCCAAAATTGAGCTATTACTGCTATAGCATTTCTTTATTCCCAACAACTATCTAATCTATATCGACTTCCTTTTTTAACAGCAGACATAATTGACGTCGAAGGTCAATAACAGAAGTCACTCGACGACCTTTCTTTGGAATGAAATGATGTCTTCCAATCGCACTGATGAAGATCCAACATATTCGATCAAATCGATCAGTCGATCTGCGATGTCCGCTATATTCGCGATCACAGCTTTAATGGGTAATCTACTAGTTCTGAAAGCAATACACCGCTTCCGTCGTCTACGTACTTATTCCAATACAATTATTTGTAACCTCAGCCTGGCGGACGTTTTGTTTTCGACGTTTGTAGCACCAATAAACGCTTTTTATTGGTCACAGGAGAAACTGCAACCAAGTTCGTTTACATGTCACGTAACTGGCGTTGGGGCGCTTTTATTCGGAATTTCGTCCATATACACATTGGTGTTCGTGAGTATTGAGCGCTTTTTGGCGATAACTTATCCCTTAAAACATAGACAGGTATTTTCGACGAAGGTTATTGGTATTGGTCTGATGATCATTTGGTTATCTACATTGGCGATTTGTTTGCTATCATTCGCAGTGTCAAAGTACAAGTACATTGAAAGCTTTTACCACTGTATAGCTGCCTGGGATGAAAGCCTTGCGTATACAGTGACAATAATATGCGTTGGTAATGTTCTACCAATGCTCGTGTTAATCTATTGCAACGTACGCGTTTTTAAAGTGATAAGAGACAGGAGAAAATTGTCGAAAATACGAATGACGAATCCGAATCGCGACAAGGTGAACGCAATGAAAAGTTCTCAAAAGAGAGCATCGTTTATTGTTATGATCGTCATTAGTGTTTTCGTCATTTCCTGGACTCCGTACTGCTTGTCGATGTTGTGTTTGGCAATCGACGGCTGCAGATTGCCGCCATGGTTCATGTCAGCATCTGTAGTGCTAACCATTGCAAACGGCAGCTTTAACCCTCTTATCTATGGGCTATTGAACAAGAACTTTCGTCGAGCTTTTGCCGAGCTGTTGCACTTATCAAAACGGCAGCAATTGGCAGTTGTAGCACAAAGTCCATCACACGGGATACCAAAATTCGTTCGAAGCGAACCTTCAACCTCCACCCAATCGTAGACAAGTTTAACGTGAACTACAGCTATTACTTAGATACGATTATCAAATATATTTTTCTACCACAGCGATGATCTATGCTAATTTGTCGTGACGAGAGAAGAATTAATAGATTATATTTGTGATCTTATGTTTTATGACATGCAGAGTTATCGTTTCAACATTTTACAATTCAATGTATGCATTTGGTAAACGTTGGGCACTGAAACATTGACTTTTGTTAGATAGCTACGTAATCTTACAACATATCTACGGAATAAATTATTACAATTACGTGATGACAAGTTAATGATTTCACAAAATATTTATATATCGTATATCGTAAGGAGTCGCGTGACTGTGACGCGTGATCAGAGGCTCTTAAGAGCAATCCTAACAACGAGTGTTAACTTTTTCTCTTTGGTTTGGTCCGGATTGATGTATATCTTTGTGATATAAATCTGATGTTTTGAATCTGATGTTGGATTTGGAAGTTCGGGATGATTGCAAATATTGGCAAGTATCGGGCATTTCAACTTTTTGCGATGACATTTTTTAGATTCAAACAGTCGTGTACAAATAATTTCAACAAAAATACTTAAACGCGCACGTTTCAAACGAAAGTGAGTGAAGTTCACGCAGAAATATACACGTATGAAATGAAAGGAAAAGTTTGTTGGTGAAATGGAAACATACGTAGTCAGTTTGTTGCACCGTTTAAGACCGAGTAAAATAATTAAAATTATATGTACGACGAATTTTTTTAAAATAGACATGTTTCGACATGTTTATTTTAAAAAAACTTTTAGAAATGTTTATTTAAAAAAAAACTCGTCGTATATATTAAATGCGCATTAGCAATAGTGCTTCTACGAAATTAAAACTATATGTTTGCGCGCAAAAAGAATACGAAAATCCTGATAAAAACTTACACAGTTAGTTGGCAAATGAAAATACAATTAAACAAAGCATGCAAAAGTAGGTATTCAGGATTATAAGTTAAAACATAAAATCAATCACGTTGTTTACAACTATCTATCAATCGCTATAACAACAATCGTAATATATTATAAAATTATTAAAACGCGTAGAATGCCATCCCGACCTTATAGAATAGTATAGACCCTGAGGAGTTATGAAAACGAAGGACTTGTCGGTGCACCTCGCTGAATGATCATCAATGTTATGGGTTTATGCGTATGGTTTGTTAAAATTTTGCCATTAACATTCACTGTATATATATAATAAAACCTAATCTTTGTATATAGAGTATACTAGCGACCACCGCAATACAAAGACAGCTGAAACATGTTTGACAACGAAAAATATGCTTTTTCACATATTTTTCCTAAAATGTCGTGAATGGAAATTGTAGCCATTTGTTTTTTCTAAATTCAAAAATTCGACTCCAATTTCTGGTTTACCACTGTACACATGCCAATGGCAACAAAATTTTCTGTTTAATTATAAGTCACGAGGGCCTTGACAACGAATATGATTTTTTTATATAATTTTCACAACCACAAGGAGGAATTTCAATAAAATTTTGAATAACTTTTTACATTTTTAGTTTTAGTTGAAAGCCAAAGACCAAAGTATCGCATTAAACTTTAGTGTACAGTTTCGTAGAAATATCTTTTTTCTCAGAACTGCAGCTTGCAATTTGCATCACTCTACATAATTTAAATTCGTTCCCTCTTTTTGTCAGTGTGATGAGTCTAATAAATTTCGCCAATCGTTCGAGTCCCTCAACGGCAAGCAGCAATATAAAATATATAAATACGACATTATCTCTCTTTCTCAAAAGATTTGAGTCATTATATGAAATATAAACAATCAAAACGATTATTTGTCTGTAATATTGGCTTTTCATGTAAATTTCAGACAATTCCGCAATGCCGACCTTAAAACGATATTTGCAAACAAATTTAGGAGTAAACCTTAATATCGCATTTCTTTGGACATCGCGTAAACCTTTCAAATAATTTGTTGTTCTTGATGAAATACCTGTGCCGATAGCAAACAAGCAAATCAATGTTTTGTGAGAGTGAATGTCACTGTTTGCTTCAAAAATATTTGACGACCTGACAATGTGGGAGTTTAAAGAGCTGCGGGGTGGTGTCATGGAGACGAAAAGTTTACACGTGTATTGAAATGAGTAATTTCTTTAACATACCCATTTTTACCACCATTGCTCTCTCATGATATTTGAATCCTTAAATCCAGCATTCATTAAGCACTTGACCACGAAATTGATCATGGGCGCCGGCCCACAAACATAAAAAAGGGTATTATCCACGGGGTACTTTCTAGCAGTTTCTGTCAAAATCGAATCAGTAATCCTTCCAAGATGAGCTGTAACATTAAGAAATCATCGATAATCAAGGATAATCTTACAATCTTTTCCACAGTTTACTCGCATACTTTTCTCCCTTCCAAACTTAAACCTAAGCGCCAATTTACAATTTCTCTCACTTTACTTTCTGCTCCGCAACACTTGTTACTCTACAACATTTGACTCTCTGCAAACCTATACCATTGGCCCATTTTACCGTTAGAGACATTTGACTACATGTCCCACTTTACTCTCTCTCTCACTTGACTGTCTGTCTCACTTTACTCTCTCTCTCACTAGACTTCCCCACTTTACCCTCTCTCTCTCTCTCTCACCTGACCGTCTGCCCCACTTTACTCTCTCTCTCACTTGACCGTCCGTCCCATTTTACCCTCTGCCTCATAATTATAAAGTATTTCTCATACGAATATTAAGAATATAAGACATACACACTTCACGTTATACGGATTATAATAGTTCCATATGACAATAAGTGCTCCACTATTTTCATGCAAGAAATATAAGACCCAAGTATTTCTGGGTGAAAATCAGCACCCAACGAAAGTAATGACAAAACGATCATATGTATTATTCAATATTTACCTTTATACTTGCGATCATTGGCGTCAATATCAAGGTGAGGGTTTGTAACAAAAAACCGACAATTAATATTTTTTCTGGCGGCAACAATCGCCATCAGTTCTTCCTATATTCAAGAGAAAGTTTAATAAGAAGAAAATAACCTTCCAAGTTGCATATTTTTCCACTAGCATAGGCAATGAAGATGGTTTGAACTTTAGAAATACACTCATGATCACTACAAATAAAAAATAAACAAGACGAATGGATGACAACTGTCGATGAATTTTTACATAAATTTGCTTGACTAGCTAACACAGATTTTTGCACTGCTAATTGAGATTAAATTCACCCAAAGCAGCCTCGCACAGTCGAGCATCATTTCTCACTATGCTTTGTTCGTTTTTGCGATTTAAACGCGCGTGTATCACACATTAACATATAAAATGAAAATAAAATACAAAAATTTCTTGAAACATAAAACCAAGCCTTGGGCAAGCTCAAAACGCCATGACCAAGGTTTCATACATATGTAGTAAGCACGTATAGATTTCTGAGTTAATGAACATTTTCTAGTATATTGTAGAATATAGCACACGGCATTATTTAAGTATAATACTAGTCAATCACTGGCCACGATGATTTTTAAATAAGCGTGACGTAAACAATTATCCGAGCAAAAGACTAGGGAAAAAGAGATCTTAACACAACATATTAGGCAAAAAGAGTTAAATCGAAGAAGAGTAAAAAAGGAGAGAAGAGAAAAGAATTTGACGTGTCAAACATGTATTAACCAACGAAGTTCATATTTAGGAGAAAAAATATCAAATTCATATAGAGAGCTGGAAGACGATCAACTTAAAGTTTGGGTGATGTGAAATTTCATTTTTAAATTGATATTGCACCAAAACTGGACAAATGACTCGGAAAAGATGTTGTCAATAGAACACCAGAGGCACCGGCAGGGGGATGGGCGACTGCCCCCTGCCACAATATTTTCCGTACTAAAATCTTAAAATCTTTATACATGTAACTTTAAAATGCCAGTCAGATAAAACAGTGCGTAAAATATGTGAGTGACATTTCGGGGGGTTGCTCCCACAAAATGTCCCTTTGGGGGTTTTTGGATTGGGGGGAGGCAATCCCAAAAAAATACAATCCTGCTGGCGCCACTGTACAACACATAAGACCGAACATAAATATTCGAACGTACAAAAAATTTTTTCGTGATAATATACATCATTGCTTGTCCAATATTAATAACTTACCCTAAATATCAATTCGTCAAAAGTAGAAGATGAATACAGCAGTTGAACGTTTACACGATCTTCAAGCACTCCGTCACGTAAGCTCTCGTTGATCTCTTGGATGATGGAATACAGTGGATTTATTCCCACGCCACCAGCAATGAAGAGCAAATCGTTGAAACTTTGCATGTGCGAAGCATCGAAGAGAAAATCACCACCAACTTTCATGGAAACTTCATCTCCAACGTTGCTCTACAGGGGGAAAATACAGAAGTATGGAAGTTATTTCGTCTGACGTGCGACAGTTTTGAAACGTTTATAACTGCAGATTTCTTGAGCTTAAAATGACCTATTTATAGAATAAGATCATACGCAAATGATACTAAAGCAAAAATGTCTTTATATTCTCAAAGAATTTTGTTATGTGTGTGATAAGATCGCAGTGGAAATGCATTTGAGATTTTCTCTTGAAACTTGCGAGTTTATAGAAATTTCGAAACGTGTCGATGCCTTGAATCCAACGAGTTACTTCAGCCAAAATTTTCTGTCAATTGGTTTATTATTATGGTGCTATTGAATAAAACTTTGCTTCATCTTAAAGTACTAAAACATAAGCTACATTTTTATCCCACCACTTTGACATACAGCACATTCACAATAAAGGATTGATGAATTTTTTTCTAAGAGGCAAAAAGAAGTGTTTCAATTGTGAAGCAATGCTACCTTAAAGTGCCCATGAAACGAGAATTGCGACTTAAATTATGTTTGAAATGACTAGAACTTTTGAAATGACAGTTCACTTTGTAAAACAGTCAATGCATATCTCTTCTTATTCTCGTGATTTTGACGTTTTAGTTATTTCCAATTTATACAAGTTGTGATGTCATGTTGCATAATGTGTTCCCTCATTGTTTCAAACACTCTTCAGTTTCCTGACAACTTTAGGTTGATACCAGTAGGCAGCATTTTATACCACTGAACACGTCACAATGAAGGGAATTTCGTCCTTGTGAATTAAAGTATCGGTAAATACACCTAATAATTTTAGTTCTCGTTGTGCAATGTGACTTCACAAGTTAGATAAATCGGGCAAAGCAAAGGACCTCAATATCTCAAGAATTAAAAGTGATATGCATAAACTGGCTGAAAAATTCCATTGTCATTTTAAAATATCTTTTGAATAAAAGTATTACACAGATAGCAAAATTTTCGTTTCATTGGCACTTTAAAGTAATCGTTTTAATGAGAGAAAAGGTCCGAGAGAGATCTACGTAAAAGCTTCACATAAGTAACGTAATAAATATTTTCAATGAAAAATCACGACGCATGTCACTGCGACAAGGCACCGATCATTAGTTCCGATTATGTGGCTGTTTCAGGCTAATTTCAGGGATATGATTAATTCCAGCACTGACTATCTTCATGTTAAATTGAGGAATAATCGCCCGAGCAACGCTGACGATGCTTACAATGAACCCGACATAATGTTTTTATAGTTTTGACATTCAGTAGACAGCAATAACCTTGATAATAACGATCCGAGATGATTTTTGGGGGGGTTGGGTGCTCTAGTTTTTATAAGTTGCACCTCGGTTAGTCTACTTTGGATAAGATTTCGGTGTTTCCCTTGTGGGTGTCATTATATGTCATTCACATGTCCAACTTTTTGTGGGTTTTGACTTGAGACGCTGGGAAATGTGTAGTTTGACAGTTGTCTTAGCTTAAAACCATAAGAATTTAGGTCGATGACTATAACAGAGGAGGTGGTTTTCCAACTGTTGATTAAATCATGCTAAACTTAGTGCTCGGAATATAAGGGAATTGAAACTTGTATGTTTGTGGTATTAATCTGGTTATAAGTACAGCAATTGTATTATATAGCGACCATTGAGTTCTTATAGAACTCAATGATAGCGACCGAGTATAACATGGAACAGACAAATAAGAAGATGATTGAACATAAATGTTTACATTAATTTGCATTTATAATAAGCTCGACCAACATTACGTGTTGCTGAATGATTTAATTTATTTTTTTGTAAAAAATACGGACACATTGAAATGCAGCGAAGAAAATGTTTATGAAGAACATCCTGGAACATCACTCACTATACGTTTTTATTGCTCAATCAGGCTAACTTGTATTATATTTCTACTCAAGCATGCTTATTTAAGTGCTCGAATGCTTGCGCCACCAGTTTAAACACTCCTTACTTTTTTGCCGAAAAAACTTTGGGAATGAATCCGTCTATTACACTTGACTATCTGCCCCACTTAACTCTCTGTCACACTTGATCCTCAGTCCAACTTTGTGTACTTCTTACATGTAGTCAAGCGAAACTCGCATTACACACCTTGGTACACACCCAGTCGGCGGGCGGATGATTGCTCTTTTTCACAGCTAAATCAATCACTCGATGTTTTTGAAGTTTGCTTGGACTAGATGTTATGGAAAATCCGCCGACGGTCTCTATTCCGGGTATGAAAAAGTCGACCCTACAAAGATATAGACCAGATTCATCTATGCTCGCATAATAACCAACATGTCGCAACCACGAAAACGACAATCGTAACGATATTTCATACAATTCCTAACAATTCATAAAGTTTCGCTTAGCTAAAACGATTATCAAAATTATATAGACATTCATACTCCGATTTGCTTCATCTTCACATTTATTATCATATACGTATGATTCTTTCGAAGTACAACAAAATTGACAATACAAGCTATAGAAATGTAATTTTCATTCATTGCCAAAGTCTGATTCATCCAATGGGGAAACTCGTTCATATTAAAAATATATTTAGCTAACGCTGCAATGCAATTACATGAAAGGAGCACAAACTCAATGCTCACGACGAACTTCATCAAAGTGAAGCACCTATACCGTACACAATGGCATCGCTAGGTGGTTTACATGGGCGTGAGTGGATGCAAGCGCTTAAGATGCGAGACGTCAATATAGGTTCGACAGCATGCGCCATCCAAGAAATGTTTTATTGCAGTTTCTCAATTTCAACGCTATTTCTCACAAACAGGCAGGTTGTATAATGATCTAAAAGTCACACGTTTTTAGATGTGTCGGCATTCTTTTAGATGTGTCAACAAGTATATTTAACTCCATCTTATTGTTTAAGGTTACTGTTTGTTGTACGCAGCTGCTAAATCTGATACGTATGTCCCCCGGTAGTCTTTGAAATAACTGGAGACGTCCCCTTCAGTTCTCTCTCTGGCGCCCCCCCCCCGATCATTTATACCACGTCGTTTTGAAAAAAGGACATAATAGACCAGGCGGGAAAAGGGGAGGTATAGTCCTCCGACGGGGAAATTTACCAGACTGAACTTTTATGGTCGATATTGGGATGCTGATTTTAAAATGTTATACGGGCAAATTTGATGGCCGACAGGCTCGTTTTCAAGTTTTAAGCCACGTTTTCATAAAAATCGTTATTTCAGCTTTCTTTCCAAAAAAAATATACATTTTGACGATGTAAGTTTAAATATGTTAAAAGAAACTTTTAGTAAAGAAGGTCGAAGAAAAACAATAAAATGTTTTATTTTTCAAGACTTGCCTAAATTTTCAATGATCTTTGCTAAACGTCGTTTCCCAGCATACTTCTGCAGAGAAATTCTTCGGAAAAGAATTTTATAGTTATTTAAATTGGATGAATAGTTCTTGGCAAGTATAAACTAATGGTGTAAGTAGCTATTTATAACGATTTATGTAGTTTTACGACACAGTAAATGAGTTTGAAAAACTGAGCTTGCTAGTCAGTCATCATCTTTTCCAAAATCATCATATAAAATGTCGCCATGATCTCGCACATGTTTCTGAGACATTCATGTCTTTTACAATGACTAGAAGTTCAGATATAAGTCATCGGGATAACAGTTAAAGCACCAACAACGTTTTTTCAGCCATCCCACAAGCTCAGTTGATCGCTGGTACATGTGTGTAACATGATTAACACAAGTGGTGTACTATTGGAGATTCGCTTTGCAAGGAAGCAGGACACTGAGATCAAGGAGCTTTCTATTTTTCTCGAGTGTCAAAACAAATATCGTGGGTAGCGTAGTTCGTCCACTGATACGACGCTTACGTTTCTGTAAAGCGCATACAGATGTGTAACAAAACACTATGGCATAATACGGCAGCGTTTTCTAGTTCAGCAAGTTGTTCAATGAACTCGGTGTTCTTAAGTATGCATCAGGCTTTCCAAACGCATTTCTTTTTCTTCATTGAAGAAGTTAGAGGCATGGCTATTACATAAAAATGCGTGAAGACCAATAAGTACCTGTTTTTGAATGTCAGATAGAATGGTGGATCTGACGTTGAATATTATCTCTCAAAGGTGACCTCCCATTCTTACCATAACTGTTTCTTCAGATAAAAAATTGCATATTTCATCACAGCAACAAGCTTTGTATCTGCCTCTTCAATTCATATACGATGAAAGAACCACTGCAACTATAATTTCTATGTATTTCTATGCTTTTAATTGAAAAATATATGGTTTTGCCAATCCTATGTTCTTTTCCCTCATTGATAGCACGCGCAAATAAGTTGAAGTAGGACTATATTTTTCTCCATTTTTTTTTTTCGTAATGTCTTGGTAATGTCAGATGGGACTTCCATTTTTAACATATACTTTTTTGCTGTTTTCCCGTGCGAGTTGCTCACCCGTCTTGATGCTATCTCTTTGTAGATGTCACAAGCAATAAATACTTTTGTATGCTGCTCAGTAATTGAATTGAAATTTCTATAGCAATAGCTCTGCTCGTGTCTATATTGCTTAGAATCGGGCATCAAAATTTCAGGCACCACAAAAAAGCAAATATAAACTCCTTGCTCAAGTAAAAACTGTTGTTGTTGGACAACTGTAGCTACAAAGAGTTACGGTGATATCGTCTTCTCGAGGCAATAACATTTTAGCCGTTTTTATGTCGTATAATTTTGATAAAATTCAAAATTTCATGGACAAGAGAGCCTAATAATATTGGAAAATATAGTTGACTTCAATGACTCTACCTACATTCGAAAACAGGAGCTGATTTGTCTCTACGCAATTTCAGCCAATGAGCATGTCTCCAGCTACAGTACTTTAAGAACGGAAAGATTGCTTTTGAAAAGCCATGTTGAAAAAGACCAAGAATATTGAACAAGTTGCAGAACTAGAAAACACTGCCGAGTTATACGACAGTGTATCGAGAAACTTGTATGTGTCCTTTATAGAGACAAAAATGTCGTATCGGTAGACAAACTGCGTTGTAACTGTAATCGCAATCATTCTAACTGAACTTCTAGTCAATATTGAAGACATGAAAGTCTCAGAAACATGTGCATGATCACAGCGCAAAATGAACGAAACCCAACTGAATACCCACGCGAATAACATAAAAGAGAGAACAAAAATCAACACAAACCATTGTCCGGACTTGAATTTGAATTCGATGTTTGGAACGTGAATGCTTAAAGCAGTGACGGTTTTTGAGAGTTGGACCTTTTCGACGATGCGTCCGACAGCTGTAACCTAATAAAACACGGAACAAAACACTTAAAATAATCCCAAACCATCAAACACTTGTGAATGAAAATATGTGACCGAATTCCGTGTATTACGTATATTTACATAAGCCAAACTTCTTTAGAATACAACTACCAACAGTCAATACTGGTTGTTGTGGTAAGAGTAAAAAGTAAAGAGAATTTCCTATCTAGCATTAGCATGCTTTACCAAGTGGTGACAACTACTAGTTCTCAATTTTATGTTCCTTGTTCAACCATGATATTAAACAATTGAACATTTTACAATTATTTTTCTATTTCCTTGATTACCGGAAGAAAAAAATAAACATGTTATTGCTATTAAATGCTCCATTATAATAATATTAAGCTGTGTTCAAAGTCTTACTGAGTCTCTAGGTTTATCCAAAGTTCTCTCCAAGTGTGTGGTGTCGATATTCTTGGACATCAATCTATTGACAATAACATCAGATATTAAGAGCTGCACACAAATGCTGGCAGTGGACACTAGTTATGCATATTGGGTTTTATTTCACAGGTTTAGAATAATGAGATCAATCCTTGTGCCTCAGGCACTAAGAGATCAATCCTTACGTTTCACTTTTGCAATTGAGCATTGAAGTATTTCTGAATGCATTTCAATAGGCTGACATGGACCATGCCCTCTCCTAACTTGATCTTTTCAATAGGTTAAAAAGCACAGGAACACAGCTTATATACGTAACATTGTTTGAGAATTAAAATACTAACTCAGACAAAGTCTTTGTTTGACAGAGAGCCCTAAAGATTTGTAGATTTTGTTAAGTTTTTTTTTGTGTCAACTGTGTTTACCAATTAGTAATGTCATAATGTTTCAAAAGAACCCGCCAACCAAACATTTAGGAATTACCAAGCATGCAGTTATAGAGTAAGTAATAAATTTTTAATTAGCGGCTAAAGTATAAAAATCTTTCGTATAAATGCGCCAGCGGGTTCATTTATGAATTGTTTATGATGATGGTAAATTTTTGTTTGGCAACATTTAAATTTTCCTTCCACACAATTAGCCAAGGCATATTTTAACATTTATACTAGGAGGCAATTTGGCCTCTAAGGCCCTCTTGTTGGCTACACACTCAAACAAATTGGCCCCTCACTTCTTGGGCCCTTTTGCCATTCTTTTTAATTAATATTTTAAATATTCTATAGTGGATAATATGTATATTGCTTGTGTGAAATAAATATGCTAAATTCATAACATGTCTGTTAGGTTGTTGTTAAATTGCTCTACAAATGCATATAATAGCATTTAAAAAATTGCAAATTTCATAGGGAAGGGTTTATCCAGACCATCTGCCACATGGCTCATGCTTCACAGGTTCCTTCTAGGTTAATAGCTTCCCAGTGGAAAATCCTTAATTTTTGTAATTCAGCAACTATGGGAATTTTGCACACAGGCAAAACAGTTTAATCTAACTACCATATAAAAATATTAACAGTAACACCACAAATTTCTAGTGCAACTCAATGCTGCACATTTAATTAGATTACTGGTAGAGGCAAGGGGGAGCAAGGGGGGATAATTGCCCCCCCAATATTTTTCATACTAAGGTCTTTGTATCATTGTTTTAAACATCTCACTTAAAAATGTCACACATATAAAACAGTGCGAAAAATATGTAAGTGACATTTTGGGTTGTTTTCCCCCCTCCCCCCAAAATAAAATTCTGTATGCACCACTAATTACTGGTTGCAGTTGGCCAACTCATCATTTATATTGGTCTGAAAATATAGTAGACTGGCTGCCATTATGATAATCACATGAGTCATAAGCATTGAACTAAAATACATGGAACGCTACCTGAAGCAAATAATTGACACCAAATCTTACATCAGACACGCCAGATTTTACCCCAGACATGCGTGTGTAGTGCTTCCAGATTCTCTCGCAGAGTAATAATTGATTGACTACACACCTGCTCTGGGGTAAAAACACGGCTTCAAAAAATTATTCGGGTTTTGTACCACAGGTAGCGTTCCATGTATTTTAGTTCAGTAGTTATAACACATGGAACAGACGTCTGCACCACAACCTAGCAAGTGCTATTTCCATTGTCAATGACATTCAATTCTTTATAATAGCAAGACATTCTTGTAAACAGTAGCAAAGTCAGCTCACACGTTTTAGTCCTGCTCTTTAAATTTCTGAGCATTATCATTGTTCATTTTATCACAAATATTTTATTTTCGCAGTGTGCAACGCCGCATACCATAAAAACATAAAAATTAGCATAGACAGGCAGCACTCTGGCTATACTAGTGCTAACAAATTGCTTCGTGCATTCATTGATACCTTAAAACAAACACTTACCTTTTGTGAGTCCACAAATGTTTGAAATGTAAACGGAAAGATTTTGCAGAAAAATCTCGTAAATTATTACACCAAACTTTCATTGCTTTTGCCAATCATTGATTTCCAAGACGTATTTTAAACTTTCTGAGCCAGCAAGCAACCGTGCGGAACGAGGAAGTAAGCACGTCATGTAAGGATATCATCTACATATTAGCTTATTTTGTCTTACAGTTTTCACTCTTGGCATTTGAAATTGTAAAGATTTAACTCCTAAAACATGTGTCTATCATGAAATGACAACTTCAATCACTGAAGCTATGAACGCAGATGATTTATTTTGGTGGCTGAAAGCCCGAAATGACCCACTTCAAAGAGTACACAAGTGCCCTGCCCGCTTATTAAGTCCTACGTCGTCATTTTTCTGTGTTCATTTTGTTTGAAAACAACAAGTTTCAAAAGGAATGAGAATCATCATGTCACAAAATTTGCATGACTAAAGCTTGTGCGTGTGTGTACTGGTTGTACGCTACGCTAACAAGTGGCTATGTCTTGTTATTTGTGACGATTTTACCAGCTAGCGCGTATGAAGCACCTTATGAAATAAAACTTTGATACAAAAGTCCAAAGCTTATACCCGCTGCTCTCTTTATTTTACTCGAAGTGATCAATTGAAGAGTTATTAACCGTTTTTAAATATGTAACTCTTAACATGTTCCTGCCTTTACCCCGAATAATCGGAGGTGATGCTCATGCATAATACATGCAATATACTTCGTTCGTGTTGGTATTTGATAACAAATTTCGCTCTTTCAGCAATGCCATTTGGTCAACACTCTGTAAAACATTTTATTAAGAATATGAGAATCATGAGTCATCGTACATTTAAGAAACCTTGCGGTATCAACTATCAAGGGCGAAATTATATCATTACCTGTAATTGAGGCCGCAAGCAGGTCTCTAATTGTTACTACGTCTCTCATTACACACGTCACACGTTGAGTGCCAAACAGCTGGTACAATTGTCAAATGTGGCAGACAGCAAGGCACCAGTAAATTGGTTTCGTGAGTCATTTTTAATTTACAGTGTGCCTGATATGGAAAAAAGCTTTGTAAGAAAGTTGTACTTGAAAATTGTGTTTATCTAATCCATGAGTCCGACTCAAAATCTCTAATTTAGATCCCCTGTTATGACACTTTGAATATGAACGGTGAAAGTCAGTTGGTATTCTAACAATAATTAACTTTTTTGTTATTCCATAATCTGTATTGTACTTAACGACATTCGGGAGAGCATATTTGGCACAAAATGTACCATAATGGCTTTAGAGCAATGAATGTGTAATTGCTATATTGCGACGATTTGTTTTGTTTTCAATTAAAAAGTACTTAACTAGAATTATGATTAATGGCATCTACGAAAAAATCACATAACAGTATGCATAAGTATAATTATGCGATGCTTTGACAATTGAAAGTGTTTCTCCTTCTAAATATATCGAGCAACAACCCAATGAGTAACAAATTAGCGTGTGAGTTTCTCTTCTTTTTATTGCATTAGAGTATGATGTACAAGAAACGTGTGGTACATTAGTCAAAGGGATCGGTTCTAAATTTCATTGCTTGCTTTACCTTGTGTGTCAATTACTTACACAAGTTATATAAAACTATCTTTCTTAACATAAACTTGTTTGTCCCTGTTAATTTGTTGTGAAATAAGTTAATATCGGTTGTAACATTAATTTTTAAAACAAACATATATTGTCGAAAATGGAGAAGTACAAACATGGCAGATGCATTTACAGTTATTCTCAAGTTTTTTATGTGCGCATATGACATGGTAATTTCTTTATTTTATGGGTAACTTTAATCTTTCTATTGTGCAAGATAAGTGGAACATACTGGATTCAAGGGTTAAAGAAGTACATGATGTAAATTTGAAGTTTTAAAAATTGAAGTTCCTAAGCACATGAGGCGTTTGCTTTTTACTTTAATATACCAGTTAAAACCTGAACTTTAGATATCTGCCTAGAGTATGTAGTACACAAACCAGCGAGTTAAACGAATTATGGGCGAAAACATATGACATAGTTGCTGTTTATCGATTCAAATTTAAAGCTACGCCATGTTCACGCTGTTTCTTGTGGTAATCCTGCTAACATGCACTGGAATGGGAACAACTATTTTGCTTGTGCCTCGACTGCCATGGTGCTTCGCAAAACGACCGGACGAAGCAGCTCGTACGCGTTTCCATTTTGCCCGTCGATTTTGGAACCAAATTTTTACTTGGACTTCGGAAAGGTTGAGTCCCGATGCTAAATGGGATCGTTCTTCGACCGATAGATACTTCTTTTCCTGAAACTCTCGTTCAAGCTGAAGCAATTGCTGACTAGTGAATGCCGTTCTTCTTCGCCGCTGCTTTAGACATCCTTCGATTGCTTCCTGGTCGTTAATGAAATCCCTTGCCGTTTGATAAAACACGTCATCCAGGTCATCTATCTTATCTACAAAAAGGAAAGCCGTTATAATTTGGACATTAGAATTGGAACAGTTGTCTGGATGATGTCATGAGATTGGGTGGGCGCTATGAACTTCAGAGAATGTCTTTCCGTACTGATTATTAGTCTTTTCCTGCAACGCCACCTAGGTAGTGTAGTACATTCCGACGTGTTTCAATTGTACAAATCATCGTGCCATCCTAAACATTGATTGCATGCGCCATGTTTATACAAGGAGGAAAACTCCTTACATTATTGTTCATATGATTTTAAGACATCGTCTGTACTCGTTAGAAAACGGCAATACATTACTAAAACTCAATACAAAATTGTTGAACAATGAACAGCGCTGTACAAATTATGCATCGTTAAGTCACAATAACGAATACACTAGCTGGGAACAGTAAAAAATATTTATTCATCATAACACGTCAATATATTTTAACCGCAAATATTTGGCGTGAAGACTGAAATTGTCACTAACAATTTTAAAAATGCTATCGCCTCAACATTGCTTTCTATGAAAAAAAAATGAAATCTGTTTGAAGTATTAGGGTAAAGGATTAAACGAAGCAGAGCATAGCATTCTTTGTATATAAATATCTCGAAAAATAAACCCACCATGCAGTCGAAGCAGTGGTCACTAACATACAAACTATACCTGAATAAGTACGATTCTCAAAATTCATCGTTGCTTTGCCGCAGCAGTTATCTTCATCACCGGCAATAGCTTTTTCATCTGGGCAACGCGTATGACTGCTAAAATTCATATTTTCTCTTCGAGCGTCAAATGCTCTTGAGATAATATCCGTGGTTTCACACAAAGATAGCGAGACTTGGCCTTGTCGAGGTACAAGTCTTGTACAAGTATTTTCTGTATTCTCGTGTATTTTTGAATTGCGCTCTTTGTCATCCCTTCTGAGATAGGGTCGAAACGATTGTGTAGTTTTATCAATTGTTTCTGTTAGTCCCAGTATCACTTCGATAGAATGTGGCAGTGGTTCACGTTGCGCGTTCATCATCAACGCAATAAATTGTTTATCTCCGTCAAGTCAGTTTGTTAATTAGCTCGTGTACTAGAATCGCACCCTTCCAGTGCTTCGATTGTGATATTTCTGTTACCTGTGATCCGATTATGAAGTTATTTTCACATGTAGCTGGACAAACTTCGAATCGACAAAGTGATTGGCTGTGAACGAGACAGATGACAGGTAAACATCACGGTATTATTAAAAACCTTTCTGCGCTAATGCGATTTTTCTCTGGCTCTGTGATTTTTATTGAATTGTGTCAATATTATCTTGATAGTAGGCCACGCCAAGCTAATCAACCAATATTAATTACACTTAATAAGTCCTAATTTCCCTTAATCGCCAATCAATGTCAAGTTTTTTGATATCGCATGTGTCAGGCTTCGCACACAAATAATTCTTTCATGAAATATGTGTGGGTAGCCATGAAAAAAAAACATGCCAAGTGAGAGCTTTCATACTACCACATGACAATCGAATAAGTATACCTACGAAGTATTCTTTGGGCAAATAACAGACAAAAGTTGTGTGGCTGTCTGATCGCATCCAAAGAGAACAGATATAAGACAAGTATGTGCAAAGATGTATCGCTTTATTCATAAAAGCAAAATTTACATTTTTGGATGTGATTGCCCCGCCACCTGGGTTTTGGCACGCACGAAATTAATCAACGCTGTGCACGCTGTTTTAGCACTTCATCATACTTTTGTAGTTCTACCGTAATCAACTCTTGAAATTCTAACTCGTTGAAATACATTTCATACAATTTCAAAACAAGCTTTTTACGTTCTAGTCTTTTAACATGTTAGAACACAAAAGAGACGCTATGAAACAGATATACTTTATACAACCTTACAAGCTGTTACATTTTTAAGTGTTCAAAAATTAGTTGGTAAACTGTTAATGCGATTATGAAAAAGCTCGCGCGCCTGATCCTATTATGAAATTAATTGAGCTGTTAAAATTGTAACCAGCACTATACACTCATAATTTGACTTGGCGAGTACTACACCACATGTTAACCCTGACCACCAGAAAACAAGCAATTCCTCTGAAAACGAAAGTTTCTCCCATGAATGAAAAGCAAATGGAATCATTGAAAATATCTGTACTTTCAGGGCATATGTGGCACCGCCTGATGCGCGCGCGACAAAGCGATAATTCATCAAAGGTGAATATTCGTTATGGACCCAGTGTGATAACTTGCGCACGCGTTACACATTTCAATCGTCTTGTACTCGGGCAGAAAAAAATATTTCACTTTCTGCTCAGCACGCATGAGCAATCTCGCAGAAGCGCTTGCCCTAAATCAATACGCACGCTGTGTGTTACACGCAATTAAGCTTTTGTACTTATATGCACGTCACCTTAAATTGGTGTGCGCTTGACACAGTTGTCGATATCTTGTACCGCGCTTCCGAATTCTTCCGCCAAGTGTTGCAACGACGTTCAGATTAGAAGCAAGTTGTTTGCACAAATCCCACTGTTAGCAATTGTGTTAATGAAATAAATAATTACACTGTCTGCTTGATTTCACGAGAATGCCAGCAGTAAATTAGTTTTTTTGTGATTGTCATATGACTTTTATTATTACTTCATCGAAGCAACTCGAGCATTTGATAAAATTTATTGAAATAAAATGAGATATTGTCACAGTCATTCTTTTAGTATTAACCTAAATTGAGTGGATAATAATTGTACGCAAAGTATATTTGAAGTGCATACTTGAACACTTGTGGTTGATTTTCATTATGATTAGCTAAGTGCGATCACACGCGAAGTTTAATGCAGGTAAATGGATTTACACTTGCTGTGTGTGTGTGTTTTTTTTGAATAGCAAAGAACAACTAAACCAGAGTCGTTGATTTGGTGACTTCATCTATCAACAACTTGCGTTCACGTGGTCTCCTGTCTCCGCTTTACGTTTAAATGTGCATCGTATCTTCTTGTATCCTATTGTGGCTAGTTAGAATTTTCCCAACAATTTGTAAAGTAGCTTCAGTTTTACGAAACTAAAATTATCTGCGCAGGCGAATTTTTTTTCACATATTTGAAATGCTTTGAAGACATGACGTTGAAGTCGCTAGATTCTGATTATGTTTAACCAAAGATAATAAACAATAAAAATCCGGATACTGCACAATTTAGATAAATGAGCTCAATATAAATTATGACTCTAGGTTTGATTTTGTACTGCATTAACATTTTTTTAGCAAAGTTGTTATTCGTTAGGGCATAACACGAAATTTCCTTTTTTTTTTGTCGCACATGACATATTAGTTCGCATATAATAGTTATCAACCTGCCATACGTGGCACTAACTTACTGCTTGTGCATTGTAGATACAGCGTGACACAAAACAAATTACAAGCTTCTTCTTCGATGCATTTACACTTCAAAATTCATAACTAACAGCAGTGTTATGTAGGCATAAAATTATGTTGTTGTATAGCTGCACTTACTTTACGTCATGAGCACAAAACAAGTGAATTAATTGCAAGAAAAAAAGGGAGAAAAGAAATGAATCCGTCAAATTGTCACTATCACACGACAATCAAAATAGCAATTACATGAATATTATAGATTACGTCATGAAATAATGCATTTGTTGAAAAGAGGATAAATACGGCCGGACTGGCGTCTTTAATAAGTGCAAAGAAAATCAAAAAGAATCCTTTGCCATCGTCTGATATTAATTCCAATCAAACTCGGTCATTTTTGCCATAACTACGAACTAAATATAACTCAATTTAATGGGGGATTTAAGTTAGCGCAAAGAATGTTTCTATGTAATTGAGGAAATTCTGATAGCTGCTTTTAAAACCTTTACTTATTACGCACGCGAATGGTGATATTGTATCTCGATTACAGAATAAACACAAGTGAATACCCAAAAAAAACAGATGGCAATAAAAGTATATTGAACTTACGCAGAATGGCACTATGTTCGATCGTTGTTCATTATAACCGATTGTACAAATTTGCGCATGCTCAATCATTTACTCGTTTCTGTTTGAAACTTATCTGCTAAGTTCATTTTATTAAAAGCAAGCAAAAGAAACGAGATGTGCCAATACACTCAACAAAAACTTATTGCAGCTAAATGATTTCATTTGATTTTGTTGACGTGAAGAAGGTTGGAAACGTTAAAATTTTAACGGATATCCTTAAAATGTTTGTGAATATGTAATATGGATAAAAAAGACCTTCAGCTTATTTAATTTGACTAAAAGTGTTTATGAATGAAAATAACGAAAAGTAATATACTTAATTGCTTCACAAAAATAGCAAATATTATCCAAATCAATTTGGCAGGTTATCACCTAATATGGCTTTCATGCTTTTATCAAATTGGACACTGCAGGTCATCAACAAGCAATATACTTAGAATATTCGGGAAAAATGTTTTTGTGTCAAATTTTATTTTAGAAAACGTCGGAATAATACAAAAACCCGTAAGGTATCGGCGAAAAATAAAGTAAACGAGATCAGAACTTTTAATTACAGGTTCAATAAAAGTGTTTGGGTTGAGCCACAGTTCCATCACCACTTTAAGAAGATAGTATGTCAGTTGCAATATATTTTATATAATTGCTTTTAAACTATTTCTTCATCTTCATCAACATGGTCGGGGAATTTTATTTCCATCTTATTTTGGGCATTAGCTGTGTCTAGTAGCCAACGCAACAACATTTTTGACTTTTTGACATTTTTTACATCATACATAGCTACATAAAAGGCTCGTCTTAGCAGCTGATTGATTTCACTAAATGTTTCTATCTATGGCAACGAATGAAAAAACGATACATCGTTTGTATTAATTAAACATTGATATGCATGCGAAAAAAATAGAAAAGTCTTTGCCTTATTGTTTCATTAGGGCTGTTAAAATCTTCTTTTCACAAACGGTTTTGTATTTCATAGATAAACTGTGTGTATAGTTCATAACAATGTTGAAAACCAGAGAACACGATCGTTTAGTGGAAATGCGAGTAAATGATATTATTACATGGAAGTTAGCCCACGTTTCAAAAATGATTGGATTGATCACAATGGCACAAAATGGGATAAAAGCATTTGAAACGGGAACATATTGGGGTAAACTAACATATGTAATTGATAGATTACCTCATAAGATAATCATAAATCAAATTGGATTTAATTGTACATGATGCATGGTTACCTTCTTTACCCTGTAGTCTTGTTACGTCTTCCAACTCTTGTAACTCCACAAGCGGTTTTTCTTTTTTTTCTGGTAGTGACTGCGGTGGTTATAGCGAGAGGCCTTAAAGTGACGATTCCTTCATCAAAAATATATATAACAGTAAATCAGTTCTAGGTAGCACACCCTCTTTATACAAACCGTCATGTTGTTATTTTCTTATTAAGGGTTACCATGGTTTTTACTATATTGCTTTAAGTACACGGGTGTATTGATTGCTGGCCGTCATGCAGTACAATATATTTCTCAAATTATAAGTTATAGACTACTAATTTCATCCATGCAATTTCCTACGTATACTGTCTTTTTTTGTGATGCATTTCAGAGCAAAAATTCTGACAAACTGTGCTAGTGAACGACAAAAAACGTTTTTCCATGTTTGTTTGTCCGAGCAAATCAAGGATGTAGTGGGAGTGTAGCTGCACAACTTGAAGATGACAAAATGTTGATCCCAGTCTTTAGCTCCAAAGACTATCCTGTATGTGTTGATGTACAGATAAAAAGGTATTGACTAAGATTCGGGCTTCTGGTAATATCTTATGAATGAGGCGCAAGCATATTCACACGACTTTACGATGTAAAGGCTCGAGGGAATTGATCAGCGGTTTGTGCCAGCGCTCGGATGTCTCGATCTATATAGACATGAACAAAACCATTTCGGCTGGAATTAAGTTCTATATATATCTAAAAACAAGGTGATACTGTTGGAAGGGAATAAAGAAGGAATTAATCCAGTTGAGTCTTAAAGAAGTGCAATATTTGAATTAAATAGGACAGGTAAATAGTGTATTTATCATCTTGTTCCTAAATGGTTATCCTGAGAAAAATTCAAAACTGCCCATTCTTTAAGGGGAATTTTTCCAGTTTTCTGAGAACACAATCATGAAAAAAAAGGTTTGCAAAAGACATTTTGAGGCAGAAAATGCTTAAAATAGGACTTGATATGACACCAGAATATCACATATCAAAGGGGGATACTCTGGAAACGTTCCTTCAACGGCAAAAAATTGGCCAGCCAATGTAACTGCTTCAATTTTCTCTGCTCACTCCAATAAGAGAAAACTTTTAACATCTTAATTGAATTCAGTCCTTACGAATATGTGACACATGTACAATCTGACCCTAATGCCACCATGAAGACATTTTGACCATAAAAGTCTCTTTCTATCACCAAACGTAAGCAATTTCAAATTAATTTGGAATTACAAAGTAATTCCAAACGGACTCTCAACTCATCTTCTTCTAGCGTTGCCGTTTGGCAACACTAAAGAAACCGTCCAAAACTCTTTATTAACTTAGGAAATAAAGGGTCAACGTCGAGAATTTGAGATACCCTGTAGGCAAAAAACTTATCTTCTTTAAGATTGAACTGATGTATATGCTGTAGACTAAGATATGTAAATGAGAAATAGACACTTTTACTTCAACGATACTCAAGAATAAGGAAACCATCAACAAACACATCACTAAGAGAACAGAAATATACATGCTTCGCGGGCAAACCTAGCTTGTATGACAAGTTAAATGCAATCAACGATGAAAGCCAAGCAACGATTTTTTTCTCGTAAAGATTATATACGTTGTGAACAAGACCAATGTACTGCTGTTTTAGAAGTGGCGGAAATTTTACATTTGCATACAAAAAAATTTGGGGAAATCTACTGCCCAACAAAGATAACCCGAACATCACACCTCCCTTGCCATCTAATTGACAAGTTAATAGTTGTCTACAACATCTAAATCCTAAAAAGCAGCACTTGTTGTTGTTTATCTATTTTTTGCATTTTTCTGTAATTCTTGAAATTCATGATCATACGATTGCGATTGTGGAAATTTTTGTTTTACTTATGAATGGTATACTTACATATTTACCTACAATTATTGAAGAGGCTTGGTTGCACACGTTATTTGCACCTTTGTTGGCTTTCACTAATTTTTAACCAATCATATTACAGTATTTACAGTGCAACTACTACTTTTCTATAGTGCAAGTACCCTTTTTTGCCGTGTAATTTCACTTTTTGCAGTACAATTACATATAACTGCACTGCAATCAACCAATCACATTCGAGAAAATGTAGTTACATAGAAAGCATGCAACACCCACAACTTTGAGCAATCGATACATCAATATATAATTCAATCATTCCAATGGATATTCCTGTTATCGTCCATCATCTACTTGTAGGGGAGAGTCAGAAACAGAAAGGAAGCAGAGAGTGATGAGAATTGACTGTTGAAAGTAACTTTTTTGTGTATGTTACATGAAGTATAGCATGGATTAATATCAGTATGGCGTCCGAATTGACTTTGCTTACAGATGAAGAATTACGAACGAAATTACGCCTTTTCAATCTGTGTGACGGCCCAATAACCAAAACAACACGTAAGCTGTTTGAATTTAAGCTTGCTAAAGCTATGGGATGCGATAAAATATTTCAGGAAACAATGCAAACTCAAGCTGCCATTGAACAACCGTCAAAGAGCGAAGTAACATCAACCTACACTGTTCCACAAAATAACACCATTGCGTCACACGATCAATATGAAAGTACAAATGAAACGTGTAAAGTAAACTTCCAGAATAAAGTTCTTCCAACATTTTATGGAGTTTGTTTGCCTCCTGATTCCGGTGGTAGTGAGAATCAAACTGTCGGCATAAATTCCAAAATTGCAACGGTTTTTACTGATCGGAATGAGGCACTTTCTTGCTTGAAAAAGAACAGCGAGGCGAGATTTCGTGCATTCAGTACAAAAGAAGAAGCTGAGGCTTTTGCATCTGGACAATTGACCACTCCTATACGACAACTATCTCACGAACTCTCCCCTAGCCCTGTTGAGCCTGTTTCTAAATATAAGGGTCCCAAGCAAAGGGAATTGACAATTTACCGCAAGCTTATTGAAAAAGGTGATGTAGAGAATGTTTCCAAGACAATATATTGTAATCCTAGGTATTTGATCAGCTCAAGTGACACACCGGTTATCATTCAAGAGGGATGTCATTACAATAGCTTGCATGTTGCTGCAAAGGCGGGGCAGAGAGACGTTTGTGAACTTATTGTTGACAGCCTTAATGATGTTAATTTTTGGAGGATGTTGAATACATCAGATTCAAATGATTTAGTGTTTGACTCACTAAATGCCAGGAGAAAAGCGTTTGTCTTGGATTTGTATCTTAACACACCGGACAAAGCAGTAAGTATGATGCTTGCTGGGTACATCAAGGCAGTAACCAGAAAGTTTCAAGAGGGATGCACATTTGAATAAAGGGTTTCGTATAACTCAACTATGTTTCTGGAATGTAACATAAAATCAATGTCTTCAAATGCCACAAATAGCCTTTCCTGTGATTTCATTTTATAGCTTTTAATGGTAAATTTAAAATAAAGTAATAAAACTGTTATGGAAAAAACTGACCCTTTTTACCATAGGGGAATCCACACGCACCTGCTGCTCTCCATCTGGTTGTGGACCTGTAATTAAAAGACCTCTCTGTTTGCTATGACATTTTTTTCTCATTGTCCAATAGGGTTGTGAAACACCATTACATTTTGCTAGCAAATTTGGTAAAGTAGATACAGTAAAGTTCTTGTTATCTTGCCCTGGTGTTGATAAGAGTTTAGTAAATAAAGATGGCAAAACAGCCCAACAGGTATATGACTACATAAACTATTCTGATACCGGAATCGTGTGTCACATGACACATATGTCAAGAAACTATTTAAAATCCACCCGTACGGGAGTTATGTAATTCCTTCCCTTATATTTTAGATTATTTGTACCAGAGTATCGAATTGTTCAAATGAGTTGTGCTCAAAAATTCACGATATGTTTGATAACCCAGGTTGTTAATTGTTGTTTAAATCTTATAATATTGTCACATGCAGTCATAATCAATAATCTACTTTAAATGATGGGATTCATTGAGAATCTAGTTGAACTGTCGATGGTTTTTCTACCTTCTCTAAAGTAATGCAGAGTACAGAGATAATAAGTATATAAGTAATAAGATAATAAGCCTTTCTTCGTTTGAAATACATCTTTGATATTGACATTGTTTTAATTAATTTTTTGACGTACACAGAAAACGTATTCGTGCCAATTTTACGCAGTGAAGACAATTGCTCCACTCCAAAAGTCGGAACTCCGTGGTCACCATGTTTCCATGGTGATCTTGAGGAAGTAGCTCGTCAAGATACTTTTGGTGAAATGAAGTATAAAGTAAGCGCCTTCGCAGGGCCGATGTCTCCTCAAGAGGTAACCTAAAACTTCTTTAGTCAATTGTGGTCAAATAGTATTCTAGCACTTTGAAAAATTTACTAATGATTTTTACTGCCAAGCTTGCATGCTGTGAAATCTTCAAATGTAGGAGAATCATATGATAGATTAAACATTGCCTGTTCGGTGCAAGGCATGAGGAAAAGCGTGGGTCGTTTGAAAACATAAACTATGCTTGTTTTGAGCATGGTACTAATGTCACTCTGTTTCAAATGTTACATGGAATTGAGTGAAGTTGTCTTTTGCCTTGTGAAGTTGTCTTTTGGTTTGTGAAGTTGTCTTTTACTTGTAGTCACGTTTTCATGTGTAAAATTATTCAGGCTAAGGAGTTTTGCGGTTCGTTCCGCTTACCGAAAACAACCCCGGATAAAATGAAAAAGTTTCGAAATATCAGACGAAGTGATAGTGAGAAAGGCCTGGAACGAGTTGCGAGGTACTGTAGTCAGGTCGTGACGTAAGCCCAAGCAAAGGCAAGAAACATTTGTTTTAACTGAACAGAACGATGCCTCGCAACTTAACGATGCGTTGGACTTATTATTTTCCAGAAAACTAGCAAAATCTCAAAATGTTCCTTGGAGCGAGTACTGGACGTTTTTGGATAGTTTTGCGGACCTTTCAACGAGCGAAGGGCTGTTGAAGCTGGAACAGTATCTCAAAACGAACTCTGGCAATGACGTCGATTTTAGAACACCAGTCTCGGGGTCCCATGCACGCATGGGCTCGCTGCGTTCAATTTTGAGTGGAGACGACGTGTTTGATCGGTCAGCGGAGTACAGCCCTCCCTTTACGAATGGCGATGCGCAACACGATACGAATTCCACTCCGTATTTGCAAAAGAGAAGCGTGCACATCAAGAATTTCCGCAATCGTTTGAATTTAATTGACCCGGAAGATGAATTAAAAGCTTCAAGTGGTGAACAAGCAAAGGAATCAAGCAGTCAGGCTAAAAGAGATGCTTCGATTTCGTCTCATGAAATACTTTTAGAAGAAAAGAGTTCTGTGCCGAAAGAAATGAATAGTTGCTGTTCGTTGGAAGCACTGAGTAACAGCACTGCATCTCCGGATAACTCCGTTTGTCGTTTGAATTTCTCGAATGAGAGCATGTACTCTTTAGATGACGTAACATCGGAAATAAAAATGCTGGATTTGAGTGAAAGTTCTGTTTCAGTATGGGACAGTCGTGGGAGTACAATCGTTGATGATGGAAAATCACAAGATATTTCTGAGGATTTTGAGGTGGATAACAGTAAAATGATGGATGGGCACCATAGATGTTTGTTCATTGAAGGGTTCGTATTTTTGTCATTCTATGCTGCATAAAGTTGTTGGTATTCATGCAAATAAGAAAATAAAAATATTTTAGTCTATCAATTCTGAACCACGTCCTCAAACCATGACGTATCAACCTGCTTATTACCTTCTTGACAACTCTTTCGTATTGGTCAAATGCATTTTTTCTATATACCCAACTTCTAGGCTTCAACCCACTAAAGAAGACTTGGACGTCTTTCGTGTCATCAAAGACATAAAAATAGATCCCTGTTTGTATCCTTACACTTATCGTTGGTGCAAAGTTGTTCGTTCATACGCAAAGACAACACGCGAAGCGTAAGTTTTCATTGAGAATAACCATATTTAACGTTACAGTGCTAAGGTTATGGCAAAGTGTCTGATTTGATTCTAAAGTAAATGGTTCTGAGAAGGACTGTTTTTGTTGTTGTTGACTGACGTTTCGACAGCCTTAGCGGTAGTCATTTGACTCTGAAGATGACTACCGCTAAGGTTGTCGAAACGTCAGTCAACAACAAGAAAAACAGTCCTTCTCAGGACTATACCAACTTGGGCGATCTACATCTACAAACGTGATTTGATTCTGTCAATCCTAGGTTGAAAATCTTGGATAAGATCTTACTGCACCTTCCATGATCTTACCACACAAAGATCTTAAAAATATCATGCAAGAACTTGCCAAATCATGCATGATCTTGCTAGACTGCACGCATCATCTTAATATGATCTTACTAGATCTTTTCATGATCTTTACAATATCTTACCATGATCTTACCAAGATCTTACTATGATCATGCAAAAACAACGCATGATCTTGCAAGCCTATACGTGTGGTTTTATCATTATTGTACCAGATCTTTTCATGATTTTTCCAAGGTCTTTCCACTATCTTTTCATGATCTTTACAACATCTTACTTTGATCTTACGAAGATCTTGGTATGATCATGCAAAAACAACGCATGATCTTGCAAGCTTATACGTGTGGTCTTATCATTATTGTACAAGATCTTTTCATGATTTTTCCAAGGTCTTTCCACGATCTTTTCATGATTTTACAAGATCTTTTCATGAGCTTTACAAGATCTTACCGTGATTTTCACGATTTTCGTATTTTCACGCCAAAATCTTGGAAGATCATGCGAAGATATTAAAAAGATTCAGGCAAGATATCTTGGCTGTATCTTTGCAAGTTCAAGCTGAAATCATGGCATCGATTCTCCAAGATCTTGCCTAGAAAAGTTCTTGTCAAGATGCTCAACCTGGGATGCCATTCAATACTGATTTCTAAAACGTCATTTCAATAAACAGAACAATTTAAGTCGTGGATTGGGGTAAGATTTTGTGCCGTCGTACGAAATTGGAATGTAGTGGTGTTGTGTTGGGTTGAGCATGTTTGTTTTCTCATGATGGGGGAACAATCCAATACTAATGACATATTTTTAACAGTTGGCCAAGTCCTGCTTCACCAAGATACCAACGAACGCGAAAATATCCAAAAACCTGGAGCTGCTGATGATTAATGTATATTGTTTCAATTGATGTGTAATTATAGTGCTATTTTAAACAGACGTGATCAATGCTTTCGATTCGTAGTTGCAACGTCATATTTATGTGGGTGTTCGAACATTTTTGCTGCCTGCATCGTTTTTGTTTCGTTTCGTTTCGTTTCGTTTTGTTTTGTTTTGTTTTGCTCGTTTTGAAAAAAAACTGAATTTATATGACTAAGCTAATAAGCGTTAAATGGACACATATTATCATACGGCATTTTACTGCGAAATGTTACGTATATATTGCTACATAATATACGTAATATTTTGCGTAGTACTTAAATTCCATACCTACAATTTTTACACCATTGTGATATCAAATTATATGCATTCATACGAATCACCAACTATTTTTGCTGTTTTTTTTAGTTTCGATGAAATGTTTTTCTTATATATTTGAGAGAGAGACTTCACAATAGACTTAAAGCAATCTCTTCCAATATGATCAGTACTGAATAAGTTGTTCAAAATTGGGATATGCCCTTTGAATTGGCTAAGAACTTATGTAGATCATGACATATACATTGACTTATTTTTCAATTCTGTCCATTAATATGTTCGAAGGATTTTCCCTAGGGTCCGTTGATCAAAAATATGTACACCCACATTCTTTTTCCCGTTTTCAATCATCGTGTTCTTTTTCGACTGTGGAGTCTATGGTTCCTGTACAAGTTGATTTCGATTGCGTTCAACAAACTAGGACGTAAGTTATCATCTAACCATTTTGTTCTTAATGGCGTGATTTTTCTAATATTGTAGTTTTATGTACATACATAGAAAAGTATCCAAAGTTAAGTGTACGTAGGAACTAGGGATTGCCAGGTTGATGCAGTGATCTAGTTGCTGGGTTGATTTAATGGGACACTTGAAACAGAAAAAGAAGTTTAAAGTGGTAGCACATGTGGACGTTCCAAGTTCCAAGTCTTCATTCTTAAAAATTATAATGGTTGTTGTTGCCTTTATCCATCCTGATTTGGGAATTGGTGGAGCTGAAAGACTGGTTGTCGACGCTTCCCTTGCGTTGAAAAGTCGTGGACATACTGTACACATCTTCACTGCCCATCACGACGCTTCGCATTGTTTCCAAGAAACTAAAGATGGTACCATTTCTGTGACCTGTGTGGGAGACTGGCTGCCTCGTCATCTTTTTGGCTATTTCTACGCATTATTTGCCTATGTGAGAATGATTTATGTTGCCTTGTATTTGGTCATGTTTTCGAACTATGTTGCAGACGTCATATTTTGTGATCAAATCTCGGCTTGCATTCCATTTCTTAAACTTTCCAAGGCAAAAATTCTGTTCTACTGCCATTTTCCTGATCAATTGTTAACCAAGAGAGAAAGCTTTGCGAAGAAAGTATACCGTGCTCCCTTGGACTGGCTAGAGGAGAAATCTACAGGTTAGGAAGCAGTGTATGTAGTTATTCTGTTTTTCTTTATCCTGTCCAATGTGTCCATCCTTGCTGATGGCTTTAAGTATCTGTGAATTGGTATGACTATTTTTTAGCCATCGTACTGAATTTATAACTTGAAAGTCACCTTGATGCAAAACTTTTTAAGCTGGAATTTTTGCCAAGCAAAGTTTTGTCGGTGCATAGTTTGCTTCACTGAAAAACTATGTTTCATGTCAGTAAAAAGATTTTCGTTTCCTGATAAGTTACACTCAGTTCAGGAATTTGCATACTTAGTGGTTAAAAGGTTTCCTACATATTCCACATGTGAATACTAGTTTGCATTCTTTTCACGAATATGCAATACACCATTAAATTTATACCGTGTACTGTGTGTCTTTAAGTGTTTTATGGATAGGAATGGAGTGCCAATTATGAAATATCTCATGTATTGTTTTATTGTTAACAATATTGCAATGCTCAAATATAACCTGTAATTGGAAGAATCCTCTTTAAACTATGTGGACATGAATTGTTGTTTAAGCAGTTAATAACTGTCTAACATGGTGTTCAATGAAACTTTGTTTTACTTCTTCATGCAGGCTTGTCGGATTGCGTTCTGGTAAATAGTAACTTCACAGCTGAGACATTTTTTAAGACCTTTCCTACCCTCAAATGCACAAATCCAAGAGTCCTTTATCCATCGCTTAATTTTAGTGCTTATGATAAAGAAATCGGAGATAATGAAAAGATACAAGGTGTACCATTTGCAGCCAATATTGTATTTTTATCAATAAATCGGTTTGAACGTAAGAAAAACCTTCAGCTGGCATTAAAAGCTTTGGCCAACCTAAAAGACATAGTCTCCCAAACAGAGTGGAAGTCCATACACTTAGTCATAGCAGGTATAAAATTTATTTTATTTGGCTTCAGTTTTGTTACAATATTAATGTTTGTAATACAGGCATATAGTTTTATCCATGTATAAGCGAGCATATATAAATGTTGGTTATATATGTTGTATGTGGTTATCTGCTATCATGCAATGCTGGATCATGGGGAGGTCTTTATTGGCAGTTGCTAGTTACCCAGGGGTTTTAAGGGTCCTGTGCCAAGCAAAGTCATTTTTTTCTATGGAAAGAATGCCTTCGTGTCACTGGAGTAATACAAAAATTCCAACATTGAAGATTGCCATTTGGTTCTGTATACTATACCAATGGGATAAAATTTTATGTTATGATTAAAATTTTATTTTATGTTCATAAAATAAGTAGTTAGAAACATTGCAACTTGTTATTGTAAGAAAATCATTGTGAAAAGTATCTTTGTATATCAAACCAATTTGCTGAAACATTCTTTCCACCCTAGTTATCTTAGATATAAATTTGCCGACCAATGTTTACCGAGGTGTTAAAAACAAAGACTGAAGGGAAGGCGGAGCGATAATTTTATAGATAGATAGACATTGTACGAAAAATGATGTTTTATTTTAATAGAAAGGGTTTTGTACTTGTCTGCACATGCTCATGCTCACTGTTGGTGGGCTATGTTTTCTATGGTTGATAAATGCGTTTTCTAGCCTTTGCAATGCATTTTTCTACAAATTTTTTTCAACAAAAACTTGGTTTACGACGCAGTCGGTGTATTTTAGTACTATCTTAGCTAAAGTTATAAAACTGTGTTGCAAATTTCAAATTCAAATATCTGGTAGGATTGGTTGCGAAATTTGGACAAAAGCAACTGTAAAGAAGGGCAACAAAGAAATTAATTAGACCTATTAAACGTAAATTTAACTAACAAAATAAGCTATCGTGTCACGAATCGCTGTCGAAAGCTATTTGAACATACTTTACACATTTTTTCCAAGATACTAATGCGTTTTCTACTTATTGGCAACGCAATTTTTACAGATTCATACAAACATTTTGCGACCAATGGGTGTATTTTATTAATACGTATCATAACTTTTACGAGTACGCATGCTGCTAATTTCAAATAAACGCGTCCCGTGGGATTAGTTGTGAAATGTAAACAAACAAAAAGACCTAAAAAGAAGAGCAACAAAGAAGTTCATTATAGCATTAAAATTGACAGGAATTTCTTTTACTAATTATTGTGACACGAATCACTTTCGAATGCTATATGAACATATTTTACATATTTGGTCGAAGTTCGGAAGACACGGAGAAAATCAGGGGCCGGTTGCACGAAGCCTTGATAGCGTTTTACATTGTGTGATAAAACATTAAAACTTGTAAAAAATGTGTTTATATTTTCTTTTCTGACAATAGAATTTTGTAATGTTAGAAGCAATAATTTCTTTAAATGATTGCTCAGTTCAAGTGTTATATATTTTTTGCCCTTTTACGGTTTTACCTGTAACTGTTTTTTTAGAGAGTTTTTTTTGCTATCCTGTAGATAGCGCTATTTGGCCCTCGTGCTATCGGCCCCACTGTTAGTTTCGTTTACGCCAAACAGTCTGGTTTTCACCTGCCTTCAGCTTAAATTTAACCAGTGCTAAAACCCCTCCACGCAGTCACCTCACAAAAGGAAAAAATTAAGAAATGTTGACCGTTCAAACTGCATTTTGACCTCAGTAATATTATGGTATGATTTTTACCTCATGCAGGTGGTTATGACGAACGTGTCACGGAGAACAAGGAACACTACCAAGAATTGGTGAATTTTGCCGAAAAGAATGATCTTGCTGACCACGTGACTTTTATCAAATCATTTAGCGATAGAGAGAAACTAGTTTTGTTAGAACGGTCTTCGTGTTTGCTATACACGCCGACCAACGAGCATTTCGGGATCGTTCCAATTGAGGCAATGTACATGCGTCGTCCAGTGATTGCTGTGAACACGGGTGGACCCCTCGAGACCGTTGTTGATCGCGTCACTGGTTTCTTGTGTGAACCAAACGACGAGGCCTTTGCTAATGCTATGCTCGAAGTGGTCAGGGAAATGGAAATCGTCACGAGGTTTGGGGAAAAAGGCCGCGAGCGCGTCATTCGTCATTTCTCATTCAACACTTTTAGCGAAAATCTCGACAAAATAGTATGTCGTTTGCATTTCTTTGTACGCAATGAGTGTCCTGTGGATTGATGTGTTTATCGATAAGATTATTCTTAGAATTTTTTAAAAATTGGTTTCAGACGCTTGTATACGTTCAAAGAAGCTCAGACTTTGTGTTCAATTATTTTGCTTTTCAGGTAACGAAGCTTTATACGAAAAACGATCCTGCTAGCTTCCTCTCCGTCACTACGTTTTTCTTCATTGTGTTATTTATCGCAATAATTTTAATTTCTGTTTTTATTTATGTCTTTTAGACAAGACAGAAATATTTTTTCATAATAATGCTTAGAAACCGTCGTCAGTACTCTTAAATAAATAAAGATTATAGGATGAGGTTTCTCTTTCTTGTGGAATTATTAGAACGAGGATGTAGAATTGCTTGGTTGCCATAATCAGAACTACTTTCAATAAGTCAGGGTGTGGTAGCTATTTTTCCAATAACGTCGTCAGTTTCACATAGACAATTCTTCCTTCTTTGGGAATATAATTGACAGTTACCTTAACTTTATGTGAAACTGCTTTCTCGCATGTCGAGCGATTTGGTTTATTTCCTCTTGATACAGTTAACACATTTTTCTTTTCTAATTGAAGTTCCTTTTAAGTTTTAATAGTGCAACTGGCCTAATCTTCGGAGAAACGAGACAAAAAAATGCTAAATTCTTCCTAACATTGGGTGAATTCTGTGCTCCCGGAAATGAAGAGAAGTGATGATGAATTATGATGAATCCCCGATATTGACCGTGATTAATTTGACAAATTGAAGGAAATAGACAGGTATAGCGAGTAACAGGCCAAACTCACGTTAAATTCTTTTTTCTTTCAATTCCATGATTCATCAGTTAACGGTTTTATCAGTCAGAATGTCCCGTCAGCCCACGCGTAATCATGACCACAGGATGTATTTTAATTTCTTTTTTGAAATTTTTGATGTCGTCATCAGTAATTCGATTCATTAGCGTAATATTTCAAAAATATTTGCGAAGAATAGCTCGTTTTTGCTGACTTACACCTTAATTATACTTATATATAAAGTTCAATCGAATAGTATAAACTATTGTGAACATGGATCACACTGTAAGCAGTCAAACCGAGCCTTCCCAATCAGAAGAAGTGTCGAAATTTGCCGGAGTGGTATTTCATAATATTCAAGATGCGTACATACCAGGGAAAGACATTCGTTGTTGTTTTTCAATTAAGCAATGCGTTTCAACAACACCTAACGACTGGATAGGGCTCTATAAAGTGGGCTGGAAATCGTCGAATGAATTTCTTACTTACGAATACCTACCAGAACTATCTACGACAAGCTCTCTAACCGCGTCTTTGGCTTTACAAAGTTTTGTCTGTTTTCAAGGAAGCAAGCTGCCACCTTCTGATGATTGCGAATTCTATCAATTTTGCTATGTCACAAGCAGTGGGGAAATTCGTGGCGCTAGCTGCCCATTTCAGATAAGTTATAGCAAGCCTGGACAACTGGAAATATCATGCGAGGAAGACGACGAAAGCCTGTTGATTGTAAAGAACCGTACAACAGTTCTGGAAGATGCCCTCGTGAAGGCGCACGACGAAAATATCAATTTGAAGTCATTGAATGAGAAACTGGATGCGGACATCTTGAAGTTTCAAGATATGATTTTAAAGTTGGAGGCAAAAAAGGAAGAGTTTGGCACCGAAAACCAAAAACTGAGCAAGTTGTTGGATAAAGCATTATCCGAGAAAACGAATCTCCACGAAATGTACAACGAATGCCAGGAAAAGTTGAAGAAATGCGAATCCGCACTGGCATTGGCGAAAGACGAGAAAACAGAGATGCAGTTCATGTTTAATGAGCTGAAGGCGCACAACTCCAAAGCAACATCTGACCAGCAATTGTTTGAAGATGAGAAGGCACAACTGTTGCAATTGATAAACCATAGAGATGCTACTATCAAAAACTTCCTACAAACCATTGAAGAGAACTGTACCAAGTTTGATGCATTAGAAAAGGAAAATCAAGAACTCCTGAGGAAAATAGAGTGTTTAAGCACAGAAAATGCAAATCTTGCAGATGATAAAACCAAGTCAGAAGAATCTTTGAAGAAATCGGTGGAAGCAAACGAGGAGTTGCAGAAATCACAACTCAAAATGTGTGAAGAGCTTCGCTCTTTGCAAGAAAAAAATTCAATGACTGATAAAGAATTGCTCATGGTACGTAAGCAAGCAGAGGAGGAAGCTTCTTCATACACTACTCGATTATCTGCTCTGGAACTGAAGCATGCGGATGAATGTGATAGTCTTCAAAATCAGTTGCAGAAGATGTCTAGTGAGCTGAAGGAAAGCAAGCAGGCAATAACAGATAGCTATGAGAAGAATTTTGAAGACCAATCTTTATGGAACCATGAAAAGAAAATTCTTAAAGAACAAATAAAGGAATTTGAAGATAGCTTGAGTGTGTTGCAAGAGCAACTGGCCCATGAGCGAGCTTTCAATAACTCACTTAGCTTTGCTTCTGATCAGCAATTGTCGGAACTGCAATTGCAATTGAATGCACAATTGGAGAAGAGTGTGGCCAATAACAAAAAAATTGAAGAGCTTAATCAAGAAGTAAGATGCTTAAAGGAAATTATACAGCAAAATGAAGCTGAGATTGCAAAATGCAAATTGACTTATCTGAGCAGACACAGCAACTTGAAAACAATCACAAGCTGATTGATGAAAAGTTACAAACAAGCTCAGTAGTCAGTGAAACCGAAACCAGTGTTGGCCTTGAGGGATCTCATTTTGCATTGAAAACAGCTCACGGCCAACTGAAGAAACAATACCTGCAAGCAAAGAAGGAAATTGAGAGTCTTTGGAGGCAAAAGGCAGATTTAAAAAGGCAGTTGGCATTTTTGCAATCTGAGCTGCCCGATTCGGATATGAGATTTGAAATGGCTAACCTTAAGAAACAAGTTGAAGATCTTCGTGTTCGACTGAATATGGGAGCTGAAGCCTACACAGCTAAGGTGAAGGAATGCCAAAAGTATCAAAAGCAATTAAGAAAAGGGCAAAAGACTTCGCTTCTTTTGTCAAGCAGTGCTCAAAATCAACCAACCCATGTTGAAAACACTGAAATAAAAAATCACAAGCAGCTACACGAACTTGAAAAGACAACCTATATCAAATCCTTAGAGATTGCAGAAAAGGAATCAAAAGAGCAACTGCTTGTGGTACGTACATAATTTTGAATTTAATCTGTTTTGTTTCTTCTGCGTTGTAAAAGCATATTCAAGTCTAGCTACATTTTGAAGGATTGAAAACTTTGTTTCCTCAATTCTCATTCTAATGTTTTGTCTATAGATGCAGGAAAAATATGCTGCTCTGCAACAGGAAGCGCTAAATCTGAAGAAGGATGCGAAGGAAAACATGGAAAAACGTTTGATTGAAGATAAAGAGTTACAATCTCATATAGACCACCTTCGCCGACAGTTGGAAGCTAAATCGGAAGCATTGAAAGACGCCAAAAGGAAATATGAAGAGGATATGAGAAATGCTGTTGAATGTCAGAGGTATTTTCAACTTAGACTACGTTTACACCACTCCGGATCGGTTTGAAAACGGCACTAAAAAAGTAACAGAACCGGGTTCCGTTTATATTGCACCGTAGCGGCATTGTTTAAAAATGTCACTTTTCCGAAGTGATACGACCACACTTTCTAAACGTGGTCAAACGAAAACGGAGCGCTACGCAGCGTTGTGTAAACACCTAACCGTCACTATTTCGCTACACTTTAGATACCAGTTCTCTTTATTTCGTCCCGTGTGGAAGCGCATAATTGAAAATGGTGAACATTTTATGTTTTGGAAAGCTTTTAATGACTGATTCCGTTGTAATTATTACAAATCAATGTTTTTATTTCCTACGTATGGCAAGAGATATAAACATCTGGCAGTATACAAATAAGAAATGGCGCCATCTTTCACAAACAACTAGAGAATTTTAACAGCGAGGGACATCATGTGTAACCAACCCCAAAACTGCAGCGGAATTTAAACGGATCAGTGTAAACGCAGTCAAATTCTGCCGTTACTTTTCGCTCCGGCGTAGTGTAAACGTAGTCTTAATGTAAATAGTACACTATCCATAAGTACGTATATGTAAAGAAGAGATGCAATGTTATTTTCAATATTACGAAATTAGTTTTGTACGAACGACTGCGTTTGATTTTTCAGTTACGTACTTTTGTGGATTTTTAAATTGTTAGCTACAGCTGCATACGACACTGAGCAAATGATATTTTCTTTAGTGAGGAGAACACAAAGATTCAGAATGCCCTCAAAGAGTTAAAGGAACAAAATGAAGGGTTGTTGATTGAAAAACGAAATCTAGAAGCGAAGTTAGAAAAACAAAACGAGTATGTGCGACAATTGAGAGAGTTGGACGAAGGAGTTCATTCCTGTTCAAACCACGGACGAGGTATTGCCTTTTATGTTTTATCATGTGGGGTGCAGATGTGGTAGTGCGCGGAATCGTGAAAATGAATTGAAGATGGTCCATAAATATATCGACAACGGCTTTGTGATGATTGGCTTTCACTATGTCCAATTATACCGACTTGACAGTTCTCACAAACAGTGTCTCTGAATTAATGTTTTAATGCATACTCAATGTTTTTTTTTGGGGTGGGGAGGATGACACCAGGCTCCTAGGCTCTTCACTCCGATTTTAAATGGTCGATAGTTTTTAGCTGCATATTTTAACAACAGTAGTATATTCAGTTTTGTTACTGTTGGTTCTTGCCTTAAGATTTATATCAAATTATAATACACGATAATCTTCTTCTTAGACAAGGTATACGAGCCAAATTTGGATGACGAAGTTAGTCGAGGCTCACCTTCGTCTGCTGCAGATTCTACCTGCGACTCCATTAGCAGTGGCAACCAATGTCCAGTTTGCGCAATCTTCTTTCCCCCAAACTGTGCTGAGAGCGACTTCGTAAATCATGTGAATAGTCATTTCAAAGACTAAAGATCGTTGTGAGTTGGGTATTCAATTTTCGGCCATTACAATGGCAACGTTGATGATTTCAAGTTTAATTAAACGTTAACGCATGGGTTATAACAGTTACGTAATCACATATTGAATAGGAGGTAATCGTGGTCTGAATTAAAACCACAATCCTAGAAATTCGTAGAGCCACGTATGTACAGTTAAAGAAGCGTGATTTTGCAGAAGGTCGATAGAAGCCGTTCATAGTCTTTTGTGACCTGACTTCGTATCGAGAGACACTTCAACAAGTGATGCATTAAGGAGTCTTTTCAGTCATATCATAGAGAGCGGAAGACTAGAGAACCAGGCTTTAATTTGTTTAATAATGCACCTATATATTGTATTTTTTGTAGAGTGATTTCATATCCAACTTACAAATGACAGTGTAATTATAAGTATTAAAATCATAAACCAAGTACATTTGTCGTGCAAACAGACGTTTTTATTGTCGATTATTATTGCGCAGCGAAATACGCTAGTTATGTTCATCGTGACTCCCATAAAAGACCGATAATAATAATCATATTGGAGGTTCTTTTTTGACGAAATAACACCTGCGACAACAAGATGAAGATGTATTATAAGATCTTCACATTACAGCGAAATATAGGACAATGTCGATACCAACAAGCAAATCAACAAAACCATTGACAAATCAAATAAAGCATGCAGACCTCACAATCGCCATAGCCATACCGCATTTCGAAGACTACCGAATGCTTCACGACGAAGAAAAATTAAAAAAATGTTAACTCGCTTTGATCACAACCTTCAATAAACGGTAACTGAGAGAATGCGAGATGAAAAACACAATGCAATATTTTTGTTTTACGTTATACGGTCGAAATCTACATATGTAACGTTTGGACGTTTACCAGCAAAAGAAATGGTCAAACGACTAAAAATATGATTTATTCACCACAAACTTTTTACATAGCGAGTGTAATGAAAACTCGAAAAATAAGTAGTAGAACTGTAGAAGCCAGAAATTCAACTAGAATAGGAAATCGACAAGATGTTTCCCAATGTGAGAATAATTTATTTGAAAATAACATAGCTACAGTTGGGAAATTAAAATTTTCACATGCCCGCAAGTTGCGCACGTCCTTAATTTATGAGAATTCAGGGTTCGAAATCAGGTTGGTACCTAAAGGAAATAGAAACTTCAGTAACCTAAAAAGATTATAAATTGACAAACATTCAAGAACTTCATAGAGCAAACCTGAATGAAAGAGGTAAACCTCAAGTTAAGCTTTAAAATATCTTATTGTTGCATATACATACGTACGTAATACTATGACCATCTTACTTCTTTAATAGCTGTCGTAGTTTTTTCATCTGATCATTCTTAGTTTGCAACATTTGTTTCAAATTGATGTACTGCGTTGTCTCGTTGAATTTCTTGGTCAATTCCTGTAAGTAGCACGTGTGATTAACGAGTATAGTGTAACAACAAACCATTGCAATAGACGATGCAACTTTCGAGTTACTAACCTGGTCTTTTTCTCGCAAATCATGTTGCAAGCGTAGAATCTCGTGCTGAAATGTGCAAGGTAAGGAAATACGTGAATGCCGTTAGGCATGTCCTGCATGATTGATGTTATTCAAATATAATTACTTATTGAGAAGGACGAAGTCATGTGATGAAAGAATGAACCACACTTAATGCAATCACACGCTAACAATCACAAAAATTTCGTGAATTTGTACCTTTGCGTCCGTGAGCTCTGCTTCTACCTCTGAAATTCTTTCACTGCCAGCGGAACTGGCCTATATGGAAATAGACTCGAAAGTCACCACACTGAATGAAACAACAAACGAGACAATACGTAAGTTTTTCGACCACCGAAATCCAAGAATATCGATTAAAAATTAGTTTTCATTTGTCTGATGTCGTATTTGAAATGAGTTCGAAATATCACTTACACTGTATGTAAAATTGTCTTTTCTTGTTTTTCTTAAACATCAAGCTCAAGGGTATACATTCTACATCGTGTATGTAATAGTCTAATGTAATACTTTCGTCGTTGCTAAGAAACACTCACTTTTTTGACTGTTTCCATTTCCATTTTCACCGACTTCATTTGCATCTCCAGTTCTTTTAGTTCATCACCTTCGGCATTTCGAGCCTTTGCCAAAAGCTCTGATTGAGTCTTTGCTAGATCAGCTTTTAGTTTACTTTTTTCGTCTAACACGCTCGTAGCCTAACATAAGCAAAAAGAAAGTAGATTTACGTTTTTTCTTGTTGCTTTAAGTGAAATGTACGTAATGGCTTGACATTTTGATAAACTTAGCAGGACATAACAAAGCATTTTACCATGGACTCGCTAACTTTAATCTTTTCTTTCAACCTATCGTTTTCTTCTCTCAGCCGGTTTATTTCCTTAGAAAAAAACGTAGATTTCGATCCATTTCTTTTTCTACTTTCAGGCTTATATGAAAGATGCTCGAATTTACGGAGGTTTTCAAATGCAAGCCCTCACCATTTGCAACAATGCCGAACCGCTTCCATCGCTAAGTGGTTCAAGTTTCGGTTTTTGAGCCAACTTGGATGACACTGATGTCTAAATGCGAAGAGGACCAAGAGTAGTTAGTCGTCATAACTATATACAGTGGGCTCACAAAAAAGTGCATAGCACACATGTAAAAATTACCGATAGTTGCTTAAAGACGTACGTAGCTGCGTAGTATACTACTTCATGGTAAAGAAACCATTTCATTATAACTTAGTCTGCGCACGCATAAACTTTGGAAATGAAAGTATAAGAAAAAGATTTTGAGCCTTTCAACACGACAGTTGTTCGAAGATATCTTGCAAATTTCAAGGTTCAGGATGTGATTGCAATGGAAAAGTTATAGTCCGAACGAAATGGCTGAACAAAAAACTGAAAATCATCAAATGATAATGAGCGCTATCTGAAATGCTTGAAAACACATGGCTCGAGCATTGAGTAACCAACGAAGCTGGTTGAAAAAATATTTAGCTGCTGCATTTCTTGCAGAAGCATGGCCACGTCATTATTTTTTTACAGTTACTTGACAATGATGAACATAATATATTTGTATAAAAGATGATTTTCTATAGGGGCTACTTTTTGTACACGCATTGCATATACTTCAATTATTCATTTCATCAATTCACCAAGCAAAGTAAGGAAGAGTTATAAGCCAACCCCAAATGAAAGCCACATTAATGAAATTCTACACGATATGCGTATAATCATACAAATTTCTAAAATGCATTTCAGCAGATTATAGATGCATGATAGGAAAGGAACCAATATACTCTTTTCATTGTAGCCAGAACATGACCAGAATATTCAATGCTAACCATGAGCATGTTATGCCCATCAAACTTATACAAGCATGCATATATAGGGACTGTATAGGAACTGTGGAGATATATTACAGATATTGCAAGTTACCTGTGAAACTGACTTTCGAGATGAAAACTCTCTCTCTTCAAATTTTGCAATTTCCGCAATAAGTTCTCTAGTGAATACAGCAATTCGTACCATGAAATTCATGCAATCACAAACTTACTCAAGATTGAAAATGTCAAAAGATGGAAATGTCACCAAAGTTGGGAACATGCATGTTTATTACTGGATTACCTAATTGAACATTCAAATTTGGGTGGGCATGACAGCCATGTACTGCTAAGCTAGGATGCTCAGATTGGTTGTGAAGCAAGTCAGTCACCAAACTTATGTTCATGTTCATTGAATTTACGTTTGCCAAAGAGTTTCTCGAGATTTCTTAAACATTACCTGTTTTCTAATTCTGATATATCAGCCTGCAAATTAAGGTACCATTTTTCTGCTTGTGAAAACACTTGTCTTAATAATAGAACATTTGTATGAGCAGTGTTGATTAGTTCTGATTCAACCTCAGCCCTGACAACGGAGTGAAGACTTTCAAGCATCTCGAAGACTTCTTCTAAGGTGTAGGTATCTTCCAGCACACTAGAAAAAAGGCATTCATTATAATGCTACTAATAAATCTGAAATCGGTAATCTGTGATTCACCGAACCAGCAGAATCTCTAATTACAAAATCAATACAAACCCACCGACTGTCTTTATATTCTTGGAAGCATGTGTCAACTGAACGTAAACATTGCCCACGATTATATCGTGCAAATCGCAAGTAGTTTATGATAGTTTCTTGATGATGGTCATTTATTCCAATGTCACCCTATAAAAATTAATTTAAAGTTACACAGCATTATAGAGAAGAAGCTTCTCGAATAAGTTCTTCCTAACAGACAATACCAATACGACACTTTGTCAACATTTGAATTAATAAATGTTCCATAACTATACTCTGCAATTTATTTTAATGCATTTAAAGTGATAAGCAAGTCGTGTTTTGAAATAGTAATGTGAGAATAGTTATGTGAGGTGATTTGAGCTATTGCACATTGTGCCCAGTAAAATTGATGCACATAGGACAACGTTATGTTATGTAAGTGCAAAATTTGCCAAAATAAACCAATGCAGGCACTACCATTTAGGTAAGTCAGTAGTATTGCCAAATTAATAATCAACTAAGCCTAGCAAGCAGATATATACTATACGACAAATACGAGTATTACTGTCGAAACTGTCATAAAATGTTTTTTATTTAAATTAACTTTGGAAGGATCAACATAACTAGTTGTGAAATTTGAACGACAATATATCAATAGGTACACACAAAAAACTTGATTATTTAACGATTCGGTAAACTAAAAAATATTCCATTGATAATTGTTATTGTTCGTCCAAAAATATGAACACCTGGTGTATTTTGAATGTATTTTTCAAAATGTAAACAAACTGTTACTCACCATCACCGAGGAATACAATATGTATTGAAGAATTTACAAATGGAAATGATAAAAACAAAATGTTTTATTCTCGATTCTCCCAAAGCTCAGAAACGATTGCATCAATTTGTCAAGGTAACGCGTCCTGCTCTTTTCTTTCGGGATGGGGACAAACCGTTCGGGTACAAATCTCGTATATACTTGTACATGCATGACGAATTGGCATGACGTCGCATGACGTCACTTAAGAAAAATTACTCTGACCTATTTCTAAATTTCTATTTACTTGTTATTGTTTATGATTTTGAACAGTTATCGATACCTTTCTAGAGTATATTAATTTTTTGAATTGGCAGTTTCACTTGAATTGACTGCTTCACGTAAAAACTGCGTAGTTTTAGGTAAAAACTGAAAACTAAGTTGACCGTGTCGCTGGTTTAGTGAGATTAGTGAAATGAGAAGGATTACATAAAACATGTGCTATAACGTTCAACACGTTAGAAATATTCCAATGTGACAAGAGAAATTTTAATTCTTATTTATTTTTTAGAAATCGGGTTTCCGACAGAGGTGAAGGTGGAATAGAATGGATCCATTTGTTTATCAAGATATATTTGAGCGGGTTGATTTTAAATTTAAAGGACTTTCATATTCATAACAATGCTATTCTTCCGTAATAATGCGCACGATGAAATTCAATCAATCGAACTGTTTTTCAGGGTATTGCAATGGAAAAATTAGCTGTGTTAAATTGTATTGATTTCCCCCCAGACATCGTCTTCAGTCAACTTGAGTGATTTCTCTTTCGCATCCATGTCGAATGCTTCAAATATTTACACAAAAGCAAAGAACTTTTTATCAATACAACAAATTTTTTTCAACATACACCACATTGAGATAGAAGCCATATCCACAGTTTATACAGGAATCTTTATATGTTTGGATGTCATTAAATTCAAAGTCGAGCATTCTTCAAACTGCGATAAAAACTAAAAGCAAATCATACATTGAAAGAGATGATGCAATGTTTTTGTTGCATTACTTCATGATAATTCAATTTTATACATGTACAAAAAAAACGATCAATGAAAATGGAAAAGGATTCTTGCATACAATAAAAGAGGATGAGTTGTGTGTGTGTGTGTGTGTGCCAAAGATTAATAATTTAGTGGTTCCACACCATTGCTGGCTACGGAAATGGAAATACCTCATTATAGTACCATTAGGAAGGATTTATTGATTTTAATATGGGCAAGGCATTATGGAAAATGTGCAGTAAAGGTTTATGAGTAATATTAATGTCAGAAAAGTTCTTAAATTTTACTTCAAGTGAAACTTCGAAAGTTATTTTTGTTTATTTGCTACATGACGTGCAGCTACATATGACATAGAAGCATGATGGAACTGTCTGAGCTGCTATGGTATTACAACAAACTACAAAAAAAATGATACAGCATACATTGTCCTAAGTAAATGAGTCATGGCATGTGAGACATTTAAAAAATATTTCACTGCAACAACCGCGACAGCAATGTGTCCTCTATCTTGTACGAATTTTCTATCTTATTCCAAGTTTGTTTTCCTTAGCAACCAAGTGTAATGTTTTAGGACAACTAATTGCGGCAGTACTCAAGTGTTATATCCGAGTATTTTTCATAATAGTTGTCTTTTTTGAAAAAACCCTTAGATATGTTTTTCAACAAAACCCTTAGTTATGTTTTTTCAACAAAACCCTTAGTTATGTTTTTTTTAACAAAACCCTTAGTCATTTTTTAAACAAAACTCTTATATAGGCTTTGGTAGAAATACACCGCATTGCTATTCTTCAACAACTTTAAAAGCTCAGAAAAACTATAAATTGCAACGGCATGAAAAGCAACTGCATGGCTATTCATGCCATGCTATCGAATGGTTAAAATTTGCTAATGATGAATGCTCCAAAACACCAAACATAGATGTCGCGCGAAGTGAATCCGGTTTATTGCAATGGGTAAATAAGACCTTACACTTACATCCCATGCATGCATATTTTTGGCACTAAGGCAACAAACAAAGAACATTACGTGTGCACATGAAAATGCAATAGCATAGCACAATATATGATGTATTAATTACTAAACAAAAAAGTGCTATAGCTCAATTTAGTCATATTTGGTTGGCTTTCGTGAAGGTTACAACATGTTTTTTCTTAGTTTTGCCATCCTTTCAGTCCTCCTGATGCATGGAAAGGCTGACAAAGATATTCCCGCGAGCAAACTCATCCAACTGGCTTTTGGAGTCACGAAATCGACTTATCTTCCATTTAAAGGATCGAGATACATTAAGAATGGTCATATCATTGGTCTTAAAGATAGAGGCGGAAGACATCAAAAAAGAAAGGAGAAATCTGTGTGCAGTATAGGAGGATGGGAGAGCTATAGTTATGACAAAAAAGAGATAGAAATTCTATTGTTTACACATGCCGATCAGAAGTTGGCCGTTTTTGGGTTTCGTGGAACTGATTCGTTGAAGGATTGGTTGAAAAATTTAAAAATGAATTTAGCCAATATGCGCGTCGGTAGAAAGCGTTTTAAAATTTATAAAGGCATTAGAAATCGTTATTACGATTTTTCGTCTTGGTTTGAAGAGAAATACCAAGCCATTCCGCAAGATTATACCATCCTGATTACTGGACATAGTCTGGGTGCAGCTCTTGCCACAATTGCATCTGCTTTTGCTGCTGGAAAACTACACAGAAAGCCGAATGCTGTGATAACATTTGGTTCACCAATGATCGGGAATAAAGCATTCCGTCAATACTATGTCGATATGGTTGGCTGTGACCACACCCTAAGAATCGCAGTAAAGGGAGATGTTTTTACTAAGTTGCCTCTCGGTAAGAATTATGTTCACGTGTGTTCTTCCCTGAAAGTTTCCGTAAGAAAAAGACGGTATGGTATTATAAAAACTCATGGGATATATGATGGCTATGCCAAGGGCTTATCAAAGAAATTTTCAAATAGAAATGCGATAAGCTTTGGTTGTGATCGGCGTCTTTAATTCCATGTGTAATTTTTGAAAGTTTACAAATCACTTGTAAACAGCATAATAATATACGTTGCAATTTTATTTCTGTTGAATAAACGGCTAAAAATAAAAATTGTTTCTCCACTGAGTTTACTCTTGCTGCGTCCCATGCGTTTTGGTAGCCCTGTGCACGTAGCCTTGAGCTAAAACCCTAACGTCATTTTCATATTTTTCGAGGAAACTTACATACCTTAAGGTCAGGAGGGACTCACCATGATTCATTCATCCCTGAACGGTGATGCTCTATTTGTCGATAGTGGCTGTCTTGAGTCATTGGTACAGGGTGGGCAGGAGGTAGGAAGACACCAACTTGAATTCGTATATATACAACTGAGTCACTTACCTCAAATTCCTAATATACCACTCGTACTCAGTGTTCCCATGAAGACATACGTGTGTATGTCAATAGGGCTTTGCATAATCCAGACCAGTCCATGATCCAGGCTGAGGAGTCCTCTTCATCGTTAAGATTATGACGTAAAGGCTTTGCAACAATTATTTTCACACGATTAGTCATCATTTATAAGATAAAAAATGTATTGTTCTCGATTTTTTCTAAGCTCAGAAACGATTACATTCATTTGTCAAGGTAGCGTGTCCTACTCGGGCTCATGCAGCTTTTTTTGGATAGGGACAAACCATTCGGGTACAAATCACGTATATACTTGTACAAGCATGACGTACGGAAATGACGTCGCATGACGTAAACTTAAGAAAATGACTCTCTAACTAACCTATTTCTAAAATTGTTTTCCCATTTCTTCAGTTTATTTACTTGTTATTGTTCAGGATTTTGAACGTTTATCGATTCCTCATACTGTCTTAAGTTTCACTTGCGCAGTTTTAGGTAAAAATTGAAAACTAAGGTGATCAGTGTCGCTGGTTTAGTGGGATTGGTGAAACGAGAAGGAATACGCATAATACATTGTATTATAAAGTTCAACACGTTAGAAATATTCCAATGTGACACCCAAAATTTTAATTCTTATTCATTTTTGGAAATCGGATTCCCGACTGAGATGAAAGAGTAACAGAATGGATATATTTGTTTATCAAATATACTTCATGCGCACGATAAAATTCTATTAATCAAACTGCTTTTCATAGTATTTGTTTAGCTGTGTTAAATTGTATTAATTTTTCCCCAAATATTGTCTTCAGTCATCTTGAGTGATTTCTCTTCCGCATCCATGTCCAATACTTCAAATTTTCACACAAACGCATTGAACTTTTTATCAATACCACAAAAGATTTTTTCCAACATCAATCACATTGTGATTGCACGCCATATCCACAGTTTATACAGGAATCTTTAGATGTTTGGGTGTTATTAAATTCAAAGTCGAGCATTCTTCAAACTGCGATAAAAAGTAAAAGCAAATCAAACATTGAAAGAGATGATCTTACGTTGTTGTTGTTGTATTACTTCATGATAATTCAGTTTACGCGTACGAAAAAGCGATCAATGAAAATGGAAAAGGAGTCTTGTCCACAATGAAAGAGGATGAGTTGTGTGTGTGTGTCAAAGATTAACAATTTAGTGGTTCCACACCACTGCTGGCTACGGAAAATGGAAATACATCATTATACTACCATAGAAATTTATATTAATTTTAACATGAGCAAGGCATTGTGGAAAATGTGCAGTGAAGGTTTAGGAGTAATAGTAATGTCAGAAAAGTTCTTAAATTTTACTTCAAGTGAAACTTTGAAAGTTATTTTTGTTTATTTGCTACATGACGTGCAGCTACATATGACATAGGAAGCATGATGGAACTGCGTGACCTGGAACTGCTATAGTATAACAAACTACAAAGAATAAATGCTACTGCATATATATACAGCCATACATTGTCTAAAATAAATGAGTCATGGCATGTGAGTCATTTAAAAAATATTTTACGACAAACACTAAGTGAATTCGACACGACAGAAATGTGTCCTCTATCTTGTCCGAATTTTCTATCTTATTCCAAGTTTGTTTTCCCCAGCAACCAAGTGTACAGTTCAATGACAAGTGCATGTAAGTACGGCAGTACTCAAGTGTTACATCCGAGTATTTTTCACAATAGTTATGTTTTTTTTAACAAAACCCATAGGCTCTGGTAGAAATATACCACATTGCCATTCTTCAACAAATTTTTCAAGCTCAGAGAAAACTATAAATGGCAACGACATGACAAGCTACTGGCAATTCATGCTACGTAGAATGGTTAAAATTTGCTAATGATGAATGTTCCAAAACACCAAACATAGATGTCGTGCGAAGTGAATCCGGTTTATTGCAATGGGTAAATAAGACCTTACACTTACATCCCATGCATGCATATTTTTGGCACTAAGACAAGAAACAAAGAAACATTACGTGTGCACATGAAAATTCAATAGCATAGCACAATAAAATGATGTATTAATTACTAAACAGTAGAAGTGCAAGCTTCATTTGGTTGGCTTTCGTGAAGGTTACAACATGTTTTTTCTTAGTTTTGCCATGCTTTCAGTCCTCCTGATGCATGGAAAGGCTGACAAAGGTATTCCCGCGAGCAAACTCATCCAGCTGGCTTTTGGAGTCTCGAAATCAACTTACCTTCCATTTAAGGGAGCTAGATACATTAAGAATGGTCATATCATTGGTCTTAAAGAAAGAAGTGGAGGATATCGAGAAAGTAATGAGCAATCTGTGTGCAGTATAGGAGGATGGGAAGGCAGTAGTTATGAAAAAAAAGAGACAGAAATTCTAGTGTTTAAACATGCCGATCAGAAGTTGGCCGTTTTTGGTTTTCGTGGAACTGATTCGTCGAAGGATTGGTTGAAAAATTTAAACATAAAATTGTCCAAAGTGCGCATCGGTAGAAAGCTTCTCAAAGTTTTTGGAGGAATTAGAAATCGTTATTTCGATATTTCGTCTTGGTTTGAGAGGGAATATCAAGCCATTCCGCAAGACTATACCATCCTGATTACTGGACATAGTCTTGGTGGAGCCCTTGCCACACTTGCATCTGCTTTTGCAGCTGGAAAACTACACAGAAAGCCGAATGCAGTGATTACATTTGCTTCACCAATGATTGGAAATGAAGAATTCCGTCAATACTATGTCAATATGGTTGGCTGTAAGGACACTCTAAGAATCGCAAATGAGGGAGATGTTGTTACTAAGTTACCTCCCGGTAAGAATTATGTCCACGTGTGTTCTGCCCTGAAAGTTTCCGGAAGGAAAAGACGGTTTGGCATTAGCAATATTTCTAGATCTCATGGCTTATATGATGGCTATGCCAAAGGCTTGTCTAAGAAATTTTCAAACAAAAATGCGATAAACTTTGGTTGTGATCAACGTCTTTAATTCCATATGCGTAATTTTTTAATGTTCACAAACCACTTGTAAATAGAAACAGCATAGTAAATATTTGTGGCAATTTTGCTTTTGTTGATTAAACGGCTAATAATGAAAAGTGTTTCTTCCAATTTGCTCGTTCTGCGTCCCATGCGTTTTTGTAGCGTTAGCTGTGCGCGTAGGCTTAGCTAAGGTCCCATACCGTAGGCTTAGCTAAGGTCCGGAGAGACTCACAATGATTCATTTATCTCTGAGCTGCAATGCTCTGTCAGTGGATAGTGATCGTCTTAATCAGTGAGACGTTGGTACAGGGTGCATGGGGAAGAGACCGCCAACTAAAATTCGTATTTATAAAACTGACTCACTTACCTGAATTTCCTCATATACCACTTGTAATCAGTGTTTCCATGAAGAAATACGTTTGTATGTCAAAGGGGTTTGCATAATCCAATCCAACCCATGATCTAGCCTGAGGCGTCCTCTTCTATCAATTGATCATGAGGTCACTGACTCGAGTCCCTAGCACCAAGAAAATGGATATTTTCTTTCTCATGGCATCAATATAAAAAATGATACAGTAAAATGATATGAAAATTTATCACTCCATAAAATAGGTTCTCGAATCAAATTGGCTGATTTAATTTATGCAATAACTCTTTGCAACATAGTTTTTACGGCAATACTTCATGTATAGCGTATATTATGTTTTGTTTGATATTTGAAGTCGACCAACTCATGTGACTCCGCTATTGTGTTAATGTGTTGTTGGTGAGATGTGGAGAAATACACTTTAATAGACCAGAGAAATATTCCATTTGCTGCTGTTCATATAACTAAAAATGAATTCTGCAAAGAGGTACGTAAACTTTTCCTTGTTGGGAAATTGGTGATTGTTTTGTTGGTTGCTCTGACAGTGACATCTCACAAATGACAATATTTTGAACACACGTATTAAATGCTACTTTTTCGTTTATTTCTTCAAAATAGCAGAACTGAAAAATTATACATATATATATATATATATATATATATATATATATACAAAGTGTATATACAATGTGCCCTCCCGGCTATCACCACAGTGAAATGGTGACTCCTGCACTTGGGACACAGGGCGTACGGTTATATATATATATATATTGTTTACAAATAAAAGTTTCTCCGGATTTTATAAATGATTTTATTGAGTTTTCGACTCGTTGCTTCGAGCCTTCATCAGAATGAGGAAATTATCTATTTACACTTGCTTTTAGCTTGTAGATGCTTAGAGCAACTAATTGGATTAGTGGGTGGATTAATGTGATTGGATGGTGTGAAATGCATTGCCATGGGCTTTGGTGTATTGTGGATGTGATCCGTGTTAACATTATTAGAGTGTAATGTTGTAGTTTTGGTGTTGTTTGTAGTTTTTTTATCCTTTTTCTTTAGTTCTGAGTATATGATGGGTATGTAGATATGTCTGTTTATATATATATTTATAAATATGACCGTAGTGAAGGTTTAACTAGGATTCAATGAGGTCTTGTACACCTACCAAGTATACAATACACCACTAAGTTTAAAGATGGTCTTTGGTGACCTTTCTGTTTTGTCTGATGTTCAGAACCACTTCATGATTCAATAAGTTTTCTTTAGCAATTTATAATAAAGCATGCAAAGAAATATTGTCCATTTTGCGATTGATAAGTAAGATCTTTTTACATGTACTACCAAAGATATATATAACTATGCATGTGTCCTCCTTATATAACTCAGCAACACAGAATATAAATGTTCTAGACTTGGTGATTTGTCAACAATGGCGGCAAGAGATTTGCCAGGCAGAAAGCGAGTCTTCAATATGAATATGACAACTCAACATATACAAAGTATTGTGTTAAAGAGTTATATGTTTTCCTATTAATTTCATATTGAAAATTATCATTAGTAATTACCAATAGCCCCTGGCCCAGATCAGTCTGGGCAGGTTAACAATTAATGACTACCACCAGACTTGATAGCATGCAAGGCACTGATGAAAATTTCTATCCGCATTTAGTATTAGAAGAGCTAAAGCATCAATTTAGCACTTATAGTACTTAGAGATTTTGACTTTTGGGACAATGAAAATGAAACGAAAAGCTAGAGAGTTGATGTACATGATATTAAAGGTGAAAAGTAGCACATAGATCATGTGTGTTCTAAAGACCAGGTTGAAAGGTAATAGGGCTTGAAACTTGGAATCAGATGAAGTGATACAAAGTACATATAGGAGCAAGAGGGTATATAGTGCGATCAATGGACATGAAATGCATACGAGTCTAAGTTGGGTGACAATATATGGGATAGCAGTAATGAAATTAAAAGGGATAAGCTTAAAGACCAAGATAGTAGCGCACAGATACATTGCACCTTTTTGTTAACGACCTAACCTAAAGGAGGTAAGTCACAACAAAGCCGTGACTCAAGACTGAAAACGTACTAAAAATGGTCGTGTGCAGGATGGCCATAGTTGTGACAAAGATGAAAAAGACAAAGTCATTACAGAGGACAAACATGACACAAATTTACGATGAATCTAAGAAATACGTATAACGTCATCTTTGCTTGACAACATACGATACATGTACTTATAAGGTGGAATGAAGATTAGCCGAAAAAATGCAGAATGTATTTGTGCAAATGAGGCAGAACTTAATGGGACGATGGGAATATAGGAAGCAGAGGTAGAGGACGGATATACGTCACGTAGGATCAACATTCCAGAGCAATGAAATACGTATGTAGGTCAGAAGAAGAGGTGACGAAGCGTGTGCAGGCGGAGAATGGTGGAAAATGTGTTGTGTGGTAAAAGTGTATCAGCCAGATTGAAAGGAAAATTTTCAAGATGGTAGCGAGACAACAATGTTATTTGATTTTTGAGCCCGTGACACCGAGAAAAAGACTAGGTACGGAGCTGGAGGTTGTAGAAATAAAGATGCTGAGGGGTAACACTGTTAGACCGAATGAGTAATGAGTATGTATCTGAAGTATATCACATGTAGCTAAGATGTTTTTAGGACAAAGGCATTAACGCCCGGCTTAGTTGGTTTAGTCATGTATAGAAGAGGGATGTTGAGTACACATAGGTATAGTTGATGCGGATGTTTGAACTGCCAGATGAGAGGCCAGAGGAAGACCACAAATTATGTGTATTGACTGAGACGTATGTGACGTATTATGTGTATTGTACATGACGTAAGATGGTTTGACACAAGAGGATATAGCACTCAGATTTATTAGTGAGAAGATGGCTTGCTGTAGCAAACATTTAGAGCAGAGGCTGAAAGACAAATTGAGATTATCTTTTTTCCAACTAAGGAGCGAAGTGGTTGAATGCAGCAGTGAAAGTACCATGATTTCACACGTGCCTTTGATGGACAATGCACGTGTACTATGTCCCATTTAGTGTGTTTTCGATAAATGATTGGATGTTTGTCGATTTTAACTAGGATTAATCAAATGAGCATTCATTTAGTCGAGAATAACAGGCATACATTATGAATCAATTATGTGCTAGTTCATAAAATGCAAGAATCTCGATATATCGGCGACACTTTATCTACATGAAGATGATTTATTACATCCAATTGCATGGTATCTGTTGGTAAAATTAAGAAGTTCTTTTTATCCAGTATTTTTAGATTACCGACCAATGATATTGCAGACTGCGTTCTCTTGATAAGAAGATCTTGCCCGGTAAATAGATTTACAAATATTTTTGTTTCGATGAACCAACAAATGTATAGGAAACGTTAAGTTTGGATTTCATTCAATAGCAAACATTGGTTAGACAAACAAATAATCAATGCTAAAAGTTTTGAATACAAAATTTTTTGTATAACAGTGCTATTTGTTATGAATATCCGAAAAATATTGTGTTGTACAAGTCAGTGAGTTTGTTGTACGTACGTATGTTATTAAGCCTGGCATTTAATCCTTAATATTATCTTTTATTATTTATTTCGATTGACTTTTTTAGGTGTTTTATATTCATGGCTGTGTTGATATGAAAATAGCTGCGGGATCTATTTCAATTCACGGGCACAGAATATGTGACGAAAAATGGCATCGCGTGTGCTCCTCGGGACTAAATCTTGTTACTGTTGAATGTACCTTGAGTCGACCCCTCAAACGTTGGAACAAACTCTTGTCCGAAATACTTGATAATGACGTAAAAACTAAACTTAAAACTGTGTTCAAAGATAAGAACGACGTCGTATGTGTTGTCTTCTTCAAAGCAAATTGGTTGACGTCAAAGCTTCCGTTTGGTGATTTCTTTGATGTGATCTCGGTACTTGTAAGTAGAATCGAGAGTTGCTAGTATACTTGACAATTAGATCACGAGCTTGTGTTTTCTTTTTGAGAACAGCGTGAAGTTGTATATAATATACATCGTATATAATATTGATAAATCTTCTTTTACCTTTAGGATTCCGTGGAGTTTGAATCTGATCAGAAAGAGCTTCACGACGTAACGTGCGATCTAGGATTTACATTGGTAAAGCCAGTAATGCCTGCAATATATAGAATTTCTTCGCATTTCCTTATAATCAATTGATTTATCTCAAAAATTTTGTGAAAGGTTGCAATTGCTATTTTGAAAACCTAACCGGTTATTTGAATTTAGCTACACATGCAGTCAGAAAGAACTTCACTCTAGCAAAAAAAACGGTTTAATAAGAAAACATTGGTACAAAGTGCCAAAACATTAGATACAAGTTACACAACAAAAAACAATAGTACATTTGATAGCCTGTGGCCCTGTGCACCTTTCTCTTGTTTTAATCACAGCTTTGCATTAGTTAGACATGGCATATCTGTTAAGTAAACCAATATTAGTTTTGGATCGTGGTAAACCATCATTATTCAAAAATCAACGTTACGAGACAAATCAAAAGCGGGTCTTTTTGACTGCCTGTGTAATGCTTTATAGCATGGTGCGGTCAGTGTGATTACGTGAAATTTTGACTGTTTATTCGTAATTTAGTTCCATGAATTACCAAATTCCTGTTCGTCGTTGAAAATTTTCCCAACATGGAAGAAATTATCTGAGATGGTTCAATTGCATTCTAACCAAGCAGGTAAAATGCTCATTCCAAGCAGGTTTTTCTTTAGTAGAGGGAGACTTTCACCGGCCAAGTGATTTCCTATCAATTGAAAGGCTGAATGTTAGATATACTCAACATTAGGCCCGTCGAAGTTCACGTGTGCCGAATACGTAAGAAAGAAAAGACAAGGAGCAAATCGGTATCATTTTCTATTGTCTTGAATGCATTCGGCACATGGGAGATTCGACGTTTGAAACGGTGTTAAGCGTGGACGATGGGAAAAGGCATAAGGCAAGTGGCTCATTCAAGCCTCGATACTGTTAAGATCACGGGTTCAAGTCATCATGTTTCATTATGTCCACTTTTCGGCCAGCCGGTACAATCTTTGTCTTCTAATCAGCATCTCAATCATGGTTCCTAGCAACAGTTGTATGGACGAATGTTTGTGTGACACATTTATGTATCTACGCATAAACAGCATAATCTGCACTGATCAGGGATCTAATTCCTTAAGTGATTCGCTTACAAAAGAAATCAGTTGAACTCAACTGCACCTATTAAACACCCTCCTCCAATTAACGGACGACCCGGTCACTGATCAGTGATGATTGAATTTTTTTCATTTTTCAAACTGTTTTTCTTGTGACCATACACTGAAAAAAGGTTGTCCTATATTTTTCATTTTATAGTCTAATGACTGCATAAAACATCCTGTTAGCTAGGCATAAAGCATATTCATGAAATTGCTTGTGTGATTTTTTTGTGTTTGCTCTCTGTGAAAACAATGTATTCCTAAATAAATGAATGAATGATCCGAAATTCACGTAGCAAGACTAAGACTCGCAAGGTGGCTTTGCTACTGCTTATAGCCTGTTTTTTTAACGCCACGCTTAGTGTTAAGTAGTTAGGTACGATGTAGTGTTTCTTTTGCCCATCACTCTGTAGGTAGCATACTTCACGATTTCTTTTTCCTTCACTGATTGTGGCGGCTGGCCTCTGCACTGATTTTTCTTCACTTCTCCAATGTTCGAGTACTCTTTTTCTTATACATATATAGATGTCCAAACACCGATAGTCCTTATCTGCGGTGGGAAAAATGTTGGAAAATCTACTTTTGCAAGATACTTGATGAATGACTTTTTGAACAAGTAACATTTCTTTTCTGTTATTATACCAAATATCGTTTTGGATGTGCTTCACATGTTTGGTAGCTATAGTGTTGTTTTAACTAATTGCGTGATGTTCTTATTTCATCGAAACTTCGCTCCAATTTCTCTATTACCACAGAATAATGATTATACTGAAGGGTCACTAAGGTGTTCAACGCGTCCACATGTCAGCCATTATTCCAGCCAGATGATTAGGATTTCTCACTTGTTTCCAACCATTAAAATTACATGACGTCAATACTTAATAATGAATTCAAGTATATTTTGACTTAAGAAATGACTTCGGATCATTTTAAAAGTTTGAAAACAGTCTAAAACCCTGATCATCTGGCTGGAATAATGGCGCCCACCATGCGCGGCACGACATGCGCGAGGACAAAAACATCAAAGGTTCCGACACGAGTGACTCTTCTGTATATTCTTATTCTGTGCTATTACGCAAAAGCATTGTTAAATCAAGTAATGGAACATTTTGACCAGGTGTATCCACTTGGTGAAATATTGTTTGCCATGTGTGGATTATAGTAGCGACGTACATGTCATTCAGGGACGGATCAAGATTTGTAGGAGAGTTCTCTAGTTAATTAAATTAGTTTTTGCCTACTTTGTGGGTGCTGCCGTGCCTTGTTTTGTTACACAAATTTTGCTACTCTTATGGAATGATTGAGAGAGATATTTTTTTGGAAGTGTGCTCCGTCAATCACAATTGCTTATGAGTGATTTCTCGATGTATTGACGTTTCTTAGGGAAATTGTCACCCCTTCCCCCCTAATAACCAAAGCTCAAGCCTAGGATTTGTGTTCACCTTCTTCAACCCACCCATCCCCGCAATAATTCCATCCTTGATGTAATTTACGAAGGGCTATTTCTTTTTTGTTCAAGGCAGATTTAGTTGCACACATTTTTTTAAGAATTCTCCGTTCGGGCGAATCTATTTATCCAACACTAGCAAGAACCGTCCGGCATGGAATTTTGGATTAACGTTTCTGTTTCTCACAAATGTTTCAGCCAAAGCTCGTTGTATTTTATGGAAACAGATGTTGGGCAAACGGAGTTTACACCACCGGGAATTTTATCTCTTGTCAAAGTCAATTCGCCCATATTTGGTAAGTTAGTTAAATATTCAACAATAATGTACAACGAAGACAATTTCAGGAGTTGTTGTTCTAACAAAGTGTTTCTCCTCGGTTTGCTTCTTTTAGGTCCACCATTTACACATCTCGCAAAGTCTGAAAGGTATGTGGTCATTGCTTAATTGATGACAGGAATTTGTGGTTCAACCTAATTATGCTTTGATAAACACTTCAGTTTTTTTTTGAAAGACTTATTATAACGTATCCTATGCTATGCAGGAAAAGATGAAATTACGTTTGTGTTGGTTCATCACTGATTCTGAAAATCGCATCATACGTTGTGGACGCATTTCTACCATATTTAAAAAAAACTTGTCTTTTACATAACAGCATAGTGATTCAACACATATTTATTCGTTGCAACGGGAGATTGACTCGATAAGTACGAAGGTGTAGCCGGCCCACAAAGGTGGTCATGCTTTGTAAAATTTCAGAGATCATTACTGATATTTATTTCTGCAGAAATCTATTGTTTTTACAGTGAGTGATAACCTGTGTACTGAAGAAACCCGACCGAAATTGCGGGCTGGCTTCACCACTGGATATGTAACCACTTTCACTTGTTTTTTTTCACGTCTTTCAGAGCCCTATTCTTTGGTGATATCACTCCGAAAGACTACCCTAGCACCTATGTAAAAATGGTGTATTTATTGCATGAATATTACAAGGAAAGCTGCTCTGCTGAACCGCTTGTAATTAACACTTGTGGTTGGATCAAGGGTAGTATGCTTTATATCGTGTGCTTAAGTACGATGAATGGACACGTTTTAAACGTGACATACACGCGTGTATGCATGAAAGTCGTCGTAGCCATTGTGATTTAATTCAAATATTTGTGGCAGTAAGATTGTTTATGCAATAGAATTTCTGATATTAACATATGTGTAGCTATGACTTATTATTCAATGTAATGCTTCCGATTTGCGACTCTGGGAACTATTGTGAAGGATGGAAGTCAGTCATGGAAATTATAAACAGCGGTTATTTTTCAGGTCTGGGTGTTCGTATATTGTTGGACATCATTCGACTTGTTCAGCCGACTCACATAATACAGATAAATTCCCCAAGCCAAGCCACGAAAAATCTCCCTGTTTTTACTGAGGATTTTTTGACCACTCAAGAAGGCTGGACGTACGAGAGGTGAAGCGCGAAAAGTCATTTCGTGTATGTCGTCTTCGCGCAAACACACTTGTTATTTTTTTTTCAGTTTCTCTGTTCCCCATTTACCTCACGTTTTGCAAATTGATGCGTATGAAAACGACTGTGAAGCAAGAAAAGGGTATGTTGTTTTTTTAAATAAAATACCAGAAATCTTTTTTTGTATGTGTTTCGAATAGCACTGGAGGAAATGGGTGGGAGGGTGGGGGTCAAGATTGCCCAAATTTTAAGGGATGTTATTTTCTTACCAACAGTTTGATACCTTCATAGGTAAGTATAAATTAGTATAGAAGTTTTTGCTTTTTTGGGGATTCTATCGCTATTGCAGGGCAGTTTCACATTAATTGAACTATAAATTAACATTGATGTTTATTTTGTCGTCACGTTTCGTTTAATCATGGTCTTCTTAATATAAATATCAAAGCCCAGCAAAATGCTTTTAAAAGAGCCATTTAATGCAAAAATAACATATGAAAAGAAATATTTATTTAGAAGCGTAACGTTTCGTCTTGACTCTCAAGACATCATCAGACAGTACTGATGCTGAGCTTTGATATTTATATTAAGAATTTGCTTCCTGCCCGGTATATCCTTGGTCACAATCATGGTCTTCTCGCAAACATTGCATGTCATTGTCATATCATCAGGAGCCGTGGATCTATAAATCATCGAAGAAATATCCCATTGATTCATCACGTAGATACACCACCTTTATTGGATCACGGTAGTCTTATAGCAGAATGGTTGCTTGTGAATCAGCTAAAAACATGATTTATTCCATAATTAATTAAGTTTTCCGATACATTTACATGCCATTGAAAGATTTGCATACGTCATATTTTGAATTCTTAGTATGATTTCATGGACATCATTCGTCTGTTAAAACAAACAGTATTTATATTTCATTGTTGCCATGAAATCATGATGAGCATGAAAAGCAGTATAATTTTTCGTGTATGAGAATCGCTGTGCGCTCTGAGTAGTAAACATTTTGCGTCATGAACACATTTCTGTTTCTTATGCTTCGATCAAGTGTGCAAGCCAGTGACCTCCGGATGCTTTCCCTTCTATCCTACTTTGGTATGCATCAAAATGTTTCAAGTTCCTTTACTTTACAAGAGTACATCCAAAACCATGCTGCGACATATTCTATTCCAATTTCTGCTCTAAAAATTCAAAATATCTACGATGACGTAAGTTGAGCGACAAAATTCCAGAAATATTGTTGTCAATTGTTTCATTTAGTTGTCGTAGCAGACTGTATACTTACTATAATCAACTGCGTTTGCTTTTAAAAAGGTTTCCCCCGATAACCTTTGGAAGTCAATTATTGGCAGCATAGTAGGTCTTATTAGAAAGAATACAGAGGTAGGCCGTACATGTAAACTACCATAAATTGTGTTAAAGGCGATGGATTCCTCGTAAAAATCTACATAGTTATGTGTCAATTGACATAGTTTCTGCTTAATGAGCTAGCAATAGTAAATGTTGACGCTCGAAAACCTTATTGAGGAACATTTTGTAATTAACTGCACATGATTGCTTATACTCTTCTACTTAAAATTTTGTCTTTGTTTGTTTTAATCAAATAATTTCCGCAAAACTGAAACATGTATTTTTAAAACTGAACCAAATTACATAATATGGTTCCTTATTTGGAGTAAAAGTTCAAACGTTACGAGAGTTTTGTCAGTCCAGAATTTGAAAGTTTTACAAAGAACAGGACGTATCGAGAAAAGTAAATCTTAAAAATAGTCACGTTTCTTTTTTAAGGCCGATTGAATGAATAAATCAAAATTATGAAGATGTATTTTTTAATGGTATATACCATTGAGTTGCATTAAGACCATTCCCGCCATGTTTTTGACAACCGGGTCCAGTCCTCTTTATACATTCAGCTCTTTATATAACTCAGTGGTATATACTCATTGCGTGTTTCAAGCATGATCATCTTTTTCTAGGCACGTAAAAGTCACGTGGAATCCTTAGGTGATGAAGTTCGATTTGGAGAATGTGTTGGATTAGGTATGTGGCACTGATCTCGAAATAAGACTGGATCAAGCATCTAGCACAAACGTTGAAGACAAAAAATAAGGAGCGCCGCCTTTACTAAGGGACCAACTTTCGAAAATAAGGAGCAAATATATTGTGGATTTATACGAGAATAATCAAGAATTTTCAACATGTAACAACATGAACATAACTAAGAGATAAATAAGTTTATAGAAGAGCTAAAAATACGATGAAATATGATGAAATTATGATCAAAATACAGCGATTTTTGTCATCGTTAACTCTACTGTGGTATGGAAAAACTGTGGAAAAAAGCCCACAACTGCATGGAATAACCTAAAATTGTTGGAATCGTAGTTCAGAAGTACAAACTGATTAAATGATCTCATTTACGATCATAAACTGATCAATCCTTTAAAATTACTAGCCTTTTTTACGAGTGATTCCGAGTGAAACCTGTATGCGTTTTGTTTTATACTGCCGATTATTCTTTCTGACTCGCTTTACTATCGCCACAAAGGTAGTTTTTCATCTTTTGCGTTATCTTAAAGCATAATTTGGCCATGTGTTGCTATGTTTTCCATAGTTTTGTTAAAAGATCTTTCGATGTGTTGGTCCTTACTAATGGCGGCGAAATTTGTTTACTACAAATATAGATTTGCTTGATCCAGTCTTCTTTCGAGATCAGTGGTATGTGGTGCTGAAATGTTGCGAGACTATTGTGATAACATATTGGAAATGGACAACTGTCAAGCTGCCTTCTCTCTGCAATACCTGGGCTCTTCTGTATGCTCTTCTTGTAATCACGTGGAAACCAAATCGCTTTACACTTTGTTCATAAGTTTTTGAAGTGGAAATTCACTAGTTTTTCGATTGCAAAAATTTCGCCACCGAGTCAGCTATACATTTCGTTTTTATAGCCCATTACAATCAACATGATCGACGTTGAGCGTGAAGTTTTGTCTTGGAAAATGTTTCACAAACTTTTCACGTGGTCCGTTTAGGCATTGTTCGAAACATTGACGTGGCAAAAGAAATCGTGTATCTCATCACCCCCGAGCCTAAAGAAAATTTCAACGATGTGTATACTTTGTTGAAGGGACGACTTGAGATACTGGACTGCATGTTTAAGGTACCTGACTTTGTGCGTATATATTTTACCTAGAAATATAAGAAATCTTAATACCAAAAAACATCATGCAGTTGTCCTAAAATAGCTTAATATGCGTTTCGTATAGTATTTGAAAAACGTTCCTTTCTTTTTTATAATACAACATGGAATTTTTAGCATTAGGCGTTTTAGGTGTCAGTAGTTGGCACAAGTATTGTCACCCAATTCAAATGGGGGGCAAAATTGGAGTCGACTCTTTTCTAAGTCGATGATCTTGCGTGCACTCTTTTTGATCAAAATAGATCTGTATATATGACCGTGACGTAGATGTCAACAGAAGGTGTATAGCTTATCAAAGACACTTTCAAAAAACATTTTACGTCGAGCGTTTCAAAAAAATGTCCACTCTTAATAATAAAAGACGGGGCAATAAGTCAGTGGCAATAAAACATGGGAAAGTTATTATATACATAGGATATCTTCACGCAATGAAGAACATTGACACGAATCCTTTTCACTATAGAAGTGAAATTACTCCCAAAAAAAAATCAAATTCAAATCCTTGTCTGAAAGTTACGGCCACTTAAAGTGCCTTTATCACCCTCAGGGAAATAATCTATGTAGAGAGAGTTGATGATTTCAAGAACATTTGTAATATGTTTTGTAACACGAAAATTTGATCTTCCGTGACTTTTTGGGTGTCAAAGTTGGCTTTTTCGTGTTTGACCGTGAGGTGCTGTGACTGGATCTAGTTCACTGACGTGACCTGCATTAGAGAACTCGCTGCTTTATATAGTGTGATTCAATAACAAAGTGAACAATATAACACAAGTTTAATAAGAAATGAATTCCTTGACTTTGCTACAAATTGCACTATAAACTACAGCGTTAAAAAACAGCGTGTTCTCCAAAGTACGTCGCGTCTAGTGAACTAGATCCAGTCACAGTACCTCACGGTCAAACACGAAAAAAGCCAACTTTGAGGCCCAAAAAGTCAAGGAAGATCTAATTTTCGTGTTTTAAGTTATATTGCAAATGTTCTTAAAATCGTCCACTCTATGTAAGTAGCTTATTTCCTTGAAGGTGATACAGGCACTTTATAGCTCAATGCTAACGTTGCATGTGTGAACCAAATTTCATGTTTGATATATTCAAAGACGAACTGTTTTCTCCCCTATTTCTACTTTTTAGAGTCAGTCTTGTGGGTCTTTGCCGTACGTGACGTCGGAATTTACCTTCAATCACAGAGGATCTGGACAAAAAAGAGTACGATATAATTTATTGAGACAAAAATCGCCGAATCCATTAAAAAAGAAAGCTTTAGACCAAGTATCCCATGTTGCTGTGCAAAACGATCAATAATGATGTGGATTGTGCCCTATCATGTAAACATAAATTAGTATGACATAATCTAACTTTAAACTTGTGAACCATGAACTAACATGAAACTTGTGGACCACAAATGCCCTACATAGATAAAATCAATTCTAGCCCGAGTTCAGGCATAGTATCTACTCTTAACTCAAACTTCAAAGTAAGTGTTCAAAGTACAGTAGAACAGCGTTAACTCGAACTTCTCCCGCTAGCGTGAACTAAATTCGATTCCAATTGGATTTGATAGCACATTTTTGAAGTATATATTTTTCTTTGGTTTATTCACTCCAACTTGTTTGACGCCAAATTATGAGAAATACAATAAAATCATTCTGCACGAAAAACACCTCATTACGAATATTTGAAAATAAAATTTTAGATATCGATGGCATGACTTACATATAGGATTGCTATAGTTGGTTATTCATTCCAGTGACATACAACAGACACTATTCACCACATTCCTTTTACAATCGTTGCAGCTAGGTAGTCTTTGGTTTTCTTTTTGGAGGTAACCGAAATAGTTAGCCCTAATAGCTCTAAAACCGTAGTGTGAGTAAGCTATGCTCATTCGTTATTGTAATTCATTTAATCCATTTGCTCAAAAAACCTGATCGATAAATATTGAAAAACTTCTCTGGGAAATCTAAATTTCATACTTTTCTCATGTGTGCATAATTTTTTGATCGTAGTTTATAGTTAGTTTTAGACTATTGCATGTAGGCCGTTGCGATTGGGGGGCTGGGTTGGGGTTAAAGTTAGGGTTAGTGTTGTATTTATAATCAAAGTTTTATGATAGATAATCATGTTAAAAATACAATTGAGTTTCCTTAAAAAAATGACTTAGCAGCGTAGACATAAGGACTAGGGTTGATGGTGCAGCGGCGGCTTGCAGTGAAGTTGCAAAGAGGCTATATTTTGGACAGGCAAATTACAGTGATTTGGAAGTGCGTGCAATTTGGCAGCTTCACAAATGGTACAAAAAGCTTTGTGTTGATTTATTTTGCTTTTTTTTACTTTTATGTCTAAAGTGTTTGCAAAATGCGAGGGGTTGCAATTTCCAGGTATGCACCGCTATGGAATAGGAGGTTGCAGGCTTGATAGGGTGTGAGCGCCTTTGAGCAATGATTGAAACTCAAAATCTAACCCTAAACTTATATCATATTTTCAGGTAAAATTATTTATTAGGTAAATTTTATTTTAATTTTCGTTTTAACCCCTACCCCATATTGAAGTTGCACATGCACGCGTAATATGTGGAGCGTTTTAATCAAATATCCTCCAATTTGAAAAAAAACTTGTACCCAATAGGCATATGATGAAATCATCCCCTTAATTTTATCTGCACCGCCGCTCTGATGAAACAACTATAAGATGTTTCACGAAATTTTTGGCATAAACCAAAGTCAAAATTAAGTCAATGATTTAAGAATAAAAGCAGCTACTTTTCCGACTGTTTCATTTCACCCGTAGCATTTATGAGAATTCAACTGTGTTCCTGGCAATCACGTTGTGCGTTGTAATTAGCCCAGAGTTGTTATGATTCTACTTATTAGATAACGTACAAGGACAATTTTGCCATCATGATACATTTGCTAGCACTCAATAAATCGTGAATTTTCATTCATTCGTAGTTACGCTTTCTTTAGTGCATTTTCGAGAAGTTGGAAGTTGCTTTTTATTTTATTTTAATTCATATACTACGTATATCTACATTTATCTACATGTAAAATTTATCGTACATTGGAATTTGGAAATGTCGTTCTTGCATAAACGAAACGCCCACGATGCCAGCCTGAAGGTCGTCCAAGTGCCTAACTCAAAGCGTAAAACACAGCACATTTTAGTGAAATCATACTTCGAGAACAGTACAACGACCCTTTCATAACGTCAAAATAAATCATGAAATTTTTTTCCGTCCTTAATCTCTTAAGTCGTTAAGATAAATGATATAGCTAACTCGGTCGTCATGACTTGTTTAGAATGATAAATGTATTAATTTGTCAAACTTTTTACGTTATTCCGAAGATATCAATTAAATAGATGGCTATACCTGCTCTTTGTTTGCTTTTCAATGAAATCACTTGAATAATTTAGAAGGAAAATGTTAGGATGACGATCAGTCATAGCGTCTATTACTCACAATATCGCCGTAGTCATTAGTCTATATGGCAGTATTTGCTCATTTGATTGGATGCTGCCTACAAGTCAATGTTGCTTTTATTCGTTTTGTTGTGTTCGGTTAGCTTCCCAAACCTAGAGCTTGGTTCTCGCCTTAATTGATTCTAACCACAATGACACAAGTGAAATACCGATGTCATCATTTTCTTCAATGATAATGAATATTAAAATGTAAATTTTTTATAACGAGTCGGCCAGTTGCACGTACAAAGGTTTTTGTTTCCTGGGTGAGTAGGGCGCATGACGTCCATATAATATACCATATACAAATCACGTAACGAGAACGGATTTTACCAAACTTCAATATTGGAAATTGGAACTATTGACTCGCACTCATCATGACTTTTGCAGTCTTTCTATTTCTGTCGATTACAATTTCAGTTGCAACTGGACGGAGTGACAGGAGAGTTGCTTGCTTTGAAAGCTGTTTAAAATTGCTTGAAGAAACTTCAACGTCAGTAAGTATATAGTTACTTCGCGTTCCTATTGTTTTAACATTTATACTTTTCATGATAAGTGTGACAGCTAAAATCTCTGATGTCATCACGGGTAATAAGAAGAGTTATACAGGATAATCACATCATTATTTCTATAGCGTGTTTACATCAGCAACAAACTGAATACTTAGAGATTTTCGACGCCATTCTTTCAAGTGGTGGCAGGATTCGTATAAAAATATCATGATAACGATTGATTCAATTGTTCGCGAAAGTGTTCAACCTTTCTAGGTTGTTTTCGCTTATAGCAGACATTGTTGAAAGGGAGATTGAATCTTATGTAAACTTCAAGCAATATTGGTTGTGCGCAAATGTTTACTAGTGATATTAAGTGGTAGAGAAGTTCGGCGTTTGTTTGAGGAGAGAGAATGTGCTTGCTTTCTTCATAACGATAGTATCGACGAATCTTTACGGGTATTAGGCGTTTTTTATGTTTAGAGAACAATCGTTTGTTTTTATGTCTGGCCATAGCAATGTTAGGAGATTAATCTTCTTGCTTATCTCGATTTTGAAAACGTCATTAAAAGAGTTATTAAGAGACTTCGTTTATTAAAATAAAATAGTCTGCAAGTCAAAACACCGGGGGACTTTGTGTGAGAGACCTCGGCCGCAAATTCTATCTGCCAGACCTTAATCGCATGAATCAATAAATCGCCAATACTCCGATAATTATAACAGACACGTGCTGTACTCTCCAAATTGAATAATCTGTAATTTCTTATTAAAAATGCTAAATTTAATAGAGAAAATGAAAGATTTTCTAATGAAAGAACTTGTGACAAGCCGATGCGTCACTTCACCAACTTTCTTTTGTATAAAACGAAACACAAGTCGAGTGCGATATGCATCTTTAACTCAATATTCGAGACAAAAGAGAGGAGAAAATATTTGAGAGATATTTTATAATTTAACTCATGTCTCAGTGATGTGATTGCGTTCGGTGGTTACTTAGGCGTTCAACAAAGATACAAATGTCCTCGCCTAGAAATAATCGGTAAATATTTCAAGGTAAATCGCGCTTAAAATCATTCAATTCATTCGTGTTGGTAGTCAATTACAAGTCATGAATAACGCCAGCTCCATTTCAGAGGTGAACGTGCTAAACAACTGAAGGAGAAATGTACCCACTTGGGTCGATAATTGTTGCAAATCGAATCAAGAATCCAATTGCTTTTCTTCATCAGCTCACATAGAGCGATATGTTCAGACGCTTTGTTCCGTTGTTTATACTTTACCTTTTGCAAATGAATGTGTGCACGTACTAACTCTTTGTACTGTATGCATCTGAACGATTGTGTATTGTTTGGTAAATCAATATGGGTTGTGCGTGACACGTTTACAATTTGAAACTTACATGTTCACATCTATCTTAAGTTGTCGCTGTAGCGAACGTTTATAACTGACCATTGTCAGACAAATGTACATTGTGGATGCTGGCCAAGAGCCTGCAGCCGGCAAGTTTCTCGTGCTATATGTAGATTTCGCATCATTAGAATTATTTAATTTTTTAGAAATCTTTAGAGACTGAACAAAAATATAGCCCGACCAAACTTTCGAGCTTGCTACGTCACTGATTGAAAAACGTAGTATTAGAGAAGATGTACTAGTCATAGGATTTGCGAGCAATAATAAGCGATATATGTTGATTGTTGATAAAAAAGGATATTATTATATATTGCCTGGAAGATTATCCCTCTCCTAGATTTTCTTCTTGCCCTGTCACCTATACATCTTATACTTGATTTCTATCAGACCAGACTACGAGTGTAGAGAGAGCAAAGCCTACATGTTAGGAAAGTAAGGCAGCTGGAGAAAAGCCAACTTTTTGGTCTTTGATTAAATCATTATTATCAATGATTCAAATTATTATTATTATCAAAAACTTTATTTTGCATGCTTATTTAACGCGTGTATTCACTTTTATGTGCTGATTTTGTTTAGATATTTCAAGTTTGAATTAGACTATTTACGATTTTTTGCGAGCTTTGTCGCGTTTAGCATATTTTACATTTGATGCTAGAACAGGTGATGTCGTCTTTACTTAAAAACAAACAGTGCCGAAAATGAAAATAACACCATATAGCTGTAGTTGTTGTTCTTCGAAAAATTCAATATTTTAATGTCCACATCATGCTCTCGAATTCTTCCTGTGCAGCCATTTCATTGTCAAATAAACTTATGAAGAGCAGAGTAACCAAAAGTTTGGTTCAAACAAAATTTTATGTTGTAAACAATTTTTAACTTGAAATTTATTGAACGTGGTTGATTATCTCAAATGATTGTCCTGTATATATTTGCTATAAATTCGTGTTTCTTCATGCCGGAAAGCTCTAATATTTATATGTATATATATAAACAAAATAACAAATATGGCTATATACATAAAAGAAAGGCTTAAAAACTATCAAGAGGCACTATAAAAAGTTGAATTTATGTTCAAGTAGAAATTAAAAAGTCAATATGGCATTGTTTATGTTTGTTAAATGCAACCGTTAGAGTATAAAAGCTTCTTTTTCCAATTTCTGTACTGACAGGTGAAGATAGGCACTTTATCTAGTTGAACGAGGAGATAGTATTCTTACTAGGACTAAAACAGAAGGAACAATCGCCAATAAAAGATTTACAACTATATAGCTACAGGCCTACAGCTACATAGATGACAATATTATTCTTTCATTGTTTTTTATCACTATTCTTATGGTTTATTGTTCTTCTTATTATTATTATTACTACTCATCGGGTTTTTTAAAACGGCAAGAGGTCTTAGCTATACCGTGATTATTATTCAAAATCTCCTGCATAAATGAATAAAACATGAAAAAAATGTGTTATTATACTTTTGTTATTATTCTTGCATAAAGATAACGTGCACAAAATTTATAATGCTGGAGTCAAAAAAGAGCAAAGACAAAAATTCATATCATGCAACTATGAAGAGAAGATCCTGTATGCTGTTTATAACAATGATAATGGTAATTTATCATGATTAATTGTCCTCTTACAGAACAAGATCGGTGAGCCATGTCTAAAGAAAACGCAGACATCGTTGAAGGAGGAAAAACAATCCTGCAATTCGTCTTGTCAAAGTTTACCATTGCGTGCCATCAACAACACAGGTAACATACCATCTTTACAGATTATGGACATTTTGAAGTTTTTAGCAGAGGAAACAGACATTTTGGTCTGGAGAGGAAGGGAAGTTCTCTGCACGTATATTACCTCAGTCACACACGATATTGTGTCTACTGACGTAAGCATTTTGATTGGAACTTCCGACTATACTTATTCGTATTTTTCAACGGGCACATCGATAAGTAGAGAAATGAAAGTGCTAATTTTCTCATTAGTTCAGCAATGACGATTGACGAAGCATCTTTTCTTAAGTTTATTCTATGGACATCGAAAAAAGTAACTCAACCTACATTTCTCATGACCACCAAGTCATAATATAAACTCCTGACTCTGCAAATTTGTAGAGATTGTTTGTGCTTTCGTAAAATATGTAGCTATATGAAGTAACTTTCAAAACTTGAAGTAACTCAACCTACATTTCTCATAAGTCATGTATAAATTCCTGACTCTGCAAATTGTAGAGACATATGCTATATGAAGTAACTTTCAAAACTAGCTCAGCATATTTAAGCTTAAATAAAAATGACCGGAAAGGAAGGGCTTTGAGTGTAAATACAACTTCATTCGCACCAAGATAGCGTCCAGAGTTTCCCAATTTCGAGTTTCCAAATTTAAAGTTTCTCAATTTGCATGTCAATGCTTTAGGACTTGAGTGTAAAAATAAACTTCTTTAAATTCAAATCATGATAATGACTGGTCAAAGTTGCGTGCTGACCACCGTAATGCATGAGACGGTTAAAGTATGGTCGAAATGCAGGGGGGGTGAACAAAATGTAGTCCTCCATAGATAGTTATCGTTTATAGGCCCGTTGTTCGTTAACTTTGGAGACGCTTGAAAAAATGAAAAATAAATTTAAACAGGAAGAATAAATAAACAATTTATGACAAAAAAGCATAGACCCAACCGCCTAAGGTTGACCATCGCATCACATCAACCTTCACATTTCATAGAAACTTCTCTTCTTTGTTTTGTGTTATTGACATATTGCTACATGAACAATCAATTATAGTGCATGAGCTTTCATTTCTGAACTTTATACTCAGAATAAGCTAAAATAAAAACGTTTCTTCTCCATTAAGTAATTTAATAATGTCCTCAAGTAAACATGTATTTTTATCGGGGGCAGTAGCTAGCATCGATAATTGAGGGGGGGGCAATATTCAAATATGCATGTTATAATCCAAAGAAAACAATCGATTTTAAATAATAGGGCAAAACATGAATTGATGAATATTGCGCCCGCCCCCCTCACAAAAAGTATTGAGCTCGCTGCGCCCCTGATTTTTTTTGTTCACTCCTGTATGTTCATGTCGGTGGATGGTAATCTTAGTTTTTGTAATCATTTATTCATTAAAGCATTGCATGTTAATTTTTATTTTTCACATCTATCGAATGTATATGTAGTTTATGTCATTTTACTATATGAGAGACTAATTATATAATATTTACCAATGAGATCCTTGGGAAAATTAAGCCTTGTCAAGTTGATGAATTGTTTTTAGAACCAATACATATTTTGTAATCATTTTTGAACATGATGTGAACACATGTAACGTCATATTTATAGTTTTCCCACGTGATTTAAACATCTCCGTGTTGAGCAAGCCTACATTGTTACAGCCAGGCTATGACTTTATGGTGATACAATGGAATACCTCGAATGAATTCCTGGGAAAATTGCCATGTACGTTGTTCATGTTCAGCTAAACACGTCCGGTCTAGACTCGCTCCGTCTGCCACCTTATGTTCAAAGTTATGCTTTGGTAAGTTCAAGAAAAATTTAATTTTTGCTTGCAATTATTCTTAAGATAAATATACTATTGTTTTTTTTCTTTAACTATGATCAGACAAATGAAACACGGATCAGAAATCCACAATCTATCCGTGTCAAAAATCTCGTAAATGGGTTTCAGTACAGATTTCGTGTTGCAGCTATTGGTCTGGATGGAACGGCAATTATGTTTGGGGAGTGGACGCCATGGTATTCGACAAGTGGTAAGTTTAAAGTGAATGGTTCGAACTCCGGAGTATCGTTACATGTTTGTAGATGTATATCGTCCAGGTTAGTGGAGTCCTGAGAAGGACTGTTGGTGTTGATGTTGACTGACGTTTTGACAACCTTAGCGGTAGTCGTCTTCAGAGTCAAATGAGGAGTAAACGTCAGGTTTGCCGTAATTAATGTCTGGTGACAGTATTTAATTGGCCGTATGTATTGACCATGATAAAAAGTTTGTTTCATTATCTGATATTGATGCTTCTTTACTAAAGTACGCTTGAAGCTCAATCGTAATATGGCATGATTGCTTGCACGTCATCGTCAATGCATGTCACCTTTTTTTTATTTATGAACGTCAACTAATTTACTGAAAATAGGTTGAATATTTATTTCAAAATGAGCTCCCTAATTGAAGCAAAAGATTATCTCGCCCATTGGCGAAGCCATGCAGCTCAATGTTTTACTCCTTTAATGCATATTTATCAGCAAAATAATTATTGAGTATAATCGTCGATAATAATTACCATTCATTTTTCGTCCAGTGAATGTACAAAAAATATTTGCATTGTATGAGTAAAAACGTGCTTGATTTTCTACCGATCTCACCGTGAATAGGTTTTGAGCTCGTTATAGCTACTATTTAACATTAAGCAGAAACCGCGGAAGATCAATAATTTGGGGGAAGGGTGGGAGGGGGGCTAATACTCATATATGCTTGATATGCCGCATAAAGCGCCTTTGAAATCCATCGTTTTCTACGGATTACGACATGCATGTGTGAATATGAGCTCCCCACCTAATTATCGATCTTTCGCTGTTTCAGTAAAGGTCGATACTTTTTGTAGATGATGTGATTTGCATATGATATGGCTAACAAGTAAGCGACTCCATGATGCGCCTTCATAATTAGTTGCTCATACCTTGTGATGATTTGAGCTTCAGAAAACAAAACTTGCACTATTCAATCTTTTAGCCTTATTAGATTTCTTGACTTGTTGTTTGTTTAAATTTGATTTGCTGCAATGCTAATGGTAGTCTCGAAATTGACATTGGTGTCTGCTGTACTGGGCAAACTGTAGACTAGCCCAGGTCCATTTTTGTTCCTAACTTTTTAAAGGCATATTTTGTTGCACTTTGCAGAATTTTGCAAGCGAACGTATGGTCTTGTCTCACGAAGAAAAATTTTGTTTGGACCACTAAAGAAAGTGAACATTACCTTTCCATGTGCCGTTGGACAAATGTCAATGAGTGTGTCCTTAAAAGTTCAAGGAAGGTTACCTGTGGTGTTGGATGCTACTTTGCATTGGCAATATCCTACCAGTAAGAGAAATAAGTCACTTTCTAGCGGACTGCGGTTATGATGATGTGCTTGAAATGCTAATGAGCTTTCAGCAATTATTGCGAAAGTAATCGCCAACTCTAACACTTAAACCAACATAACTAGACCATGGTCGATGTATTAGTTTAGTGATCAATTTCGTGTATCGTACTCGTTATACGATGTGCTGTTAACATTGCGAAATTGGTAGATGTTGTCAGTGCTCACTGAAATATAAAATAGGTCCTAAACGCATGCAATAGTATCATAATAATGAAGAGTACGTTTTTTTGGCTGAAAAAGGTGGCTAAGTTAATCTTTTGCCTTGAATTTGTTGCTTTCCACATGTTGCTTTCCACATGCTGATTTAAAATAGTCTGAACGATACCGAAAATGGCATGTAGTGATAGTTATTGAGCCTATGTATTTTTCTCCTACATGCAAGTTCATGGAAAACGCCTGAGTTAAAAACGAAAATTAAAAAAAAAACACTGCCTTCTCAACATTGTTTTGGTTTTCGTTTTTCATTTTTTTATGTTATGCAGACAATGTTTTTCTTTATCGTTTCTTCCAAAAATTTTTACTAATGATCTGGTTGAATCAATCAATCTGCTCATTTTTGGTGTTAAACTTGCAAGTTTAGATCTTCATGACTCATGACATTCGTTAAAAACATACAACGAGTTTTACTTGGTGTTTGTTTGTAGATATCTCAGCCCTTAAAGGCGACACAATCCAAGTCATCGTGAGCCAACTTCAAGACGATGATAAGGACAGGAATGAGTTGTGTTCATACTATCACGAAGACAGTTTTTCAAATGAATTTCCTTATCAAGTAAGTATATGCCCTCCCTTTTAGCATCGAATTACGTCATGGCTGCGTCACAAACACGTGACATGGCATGAAGATCGATTGTATTGTTTTGTAAAAAAATAATTAGTTATATTCTTAATATATTAAATAATTACGAATTACGATGGTTCAAAACTCTTTTAACCTTGACATAAGATGGTGTCGAACTGCATTTTTGCGTTTTTGAGGAAGTTTTTTATTCAATTTTAGCGACGATTCTTATTTGAACTGCATGTTTTTGTTGCACATTCTAATTTTTTATGCACACGCACGTTTACTTCGTAAGCTAAGTTAGCTACTATGAATGACCGCGATGTGCTTATGAAAATATGATTACCTTCTACAGACTCCCCTTGTAGATAGATCTGACAAACCCACCATGGGTGTCATTTGATGCGTAAAGATGATCTCTAGCTATTATATTCATATATCATCCCGTATAGAATCAAAATTCGTTATCGTTAAATGCCGTTCGTGAATTTGGATTAAAGAAAAATCGATTCACTTCGGTTGTACATATTCTGTCAAGGTAAGGATGGTTTTATTGCTCAATTTGTTTCTTGGCTTTTATACTTAAATTTAAAATTTAAGACAATTAATCAATAAGGCAAATGGCTTGTACCTGAGTTTGAACATTGAGTGACGTTTCGACATTCTTGGCATTTATAGTCATTTCAGTACTCTTCACTTGACTTTGAAGATTCATAAACTTTGAGTGTTTTGACATTCATAACACTGCTATCATTGTATAACGATGTAGATATATAATAGCTTTCATGATCTATATCCTCTGTCTTAATTGTGCATATATTTCTTGTCCATATAAACTTATGGCTATGTGGTGGAAAACGTTGTCCTTATTAGTATTGTATAAAGATCTCTTTTAAATTCTAATTTTTTATGCATATTTGAACACAATGTTAGTAAAAACATGACTATTTCTCATCGCTCTTTCAATTTAAATGTGTTTATATTTTTTACATTAAGAACTATCACCAAGGACAAGTTTCTTATGTATTTTTTGAATATCCTCACATGCCGTTACTCAATAGCTAATTTTTATCTAAAGATCTCAGTCGAACATAAAACACATTTGTATGTACGTGGTTTACAAAATGTTGATTCCCGTAAACATGTCATTTATTTCCGTTAAAGATGTGTGCGATTCTCTTAGTAAATGCATTTTTTTTTGTTTAGTTTTCTGTAAAAGACGCCGCTACAAATAGCTTCGAATCGACGACAATTTTCAGAATTCCAGGCAAGTTTACTTTATGCTCAGTATTTTGGTATGCATGTTTTAGATTTTTAATGATGGCTATAATTTGCCCTAGTGTTATATTAGTGGCTGAAATAAATAGAAAATATTGGGTAAGCACAAGATTTTCACTTTTAAAATCTGGTTGACGACGTTTCAATTGTTAAAACCAGCGCTCTCTAGTGCAGTCAGGTTTTAAATGGTCTGAAATCCAATTGTAAGCATTTGTGTATATTATTTTGGTTATTTGGTACTATTTAACCTACGCAAATAAAACTGACTGTTTGAGAATCCTAAGTTTCGTCTCTATAAAGAATCTTTTGTCGTATGTGTGGAGTTTGGGTACGTTTAAAGAGTACCACAGTTACAAGCAAACATGTATCTACAAATCTAGGTGTACGATGATAGATGTAGAACAGTTGAAACTAGGAGGAATCAAAATGTTTTAAAAATGAGAAGTATAGTGAACTTGCCCCTCCCTCCAATACCCAGGGTAAACATTTTATTATTACACGTCACTATGATTTATTTGTAAAAGAACTTATCGCGAGACGTTATATTTTACAGTTGATTTTTAAGACTTTGTTTCAAAACCTAGCACTGGAAAGCGTACGCGATTTCAAAAGCTCCTTCTCTAGATACATTAATCGGTCAAATCTCTCAAGTCTGTCTTTTTGAATTTAGTCAGGAAAAAACAAAAACTGATCTGAAGAAGCTTTCGTTCATTGGTTCAGTGATTCTTTTTTTCGTCTCAAGTGATTTCATATCATTGTGAATGATTTCTCAAAACGGGTTTCGGATCCTTTCCACTGTTTCTTATGCAGAAGTACTTTTAACAACGCGATGGAAACCGAAACAAAACTAGGAAAATGTTGCGCTACCAAGCTAAAGCTTGGCAATAATTATTTCCATAAGATTCAATTTGCATTTGGCCATATTTTTTTCTCATTATTTTCTGCTTTTTTTAGAATGTCTGCAAAATGTATCATCTTGTCCTGGTGAGTCAATCAAAGTATAGCTGCATATTATACCATTGACTTATGAGTTCAAGATACTCCATTTTAAATTCTTAAAAGCTGGTCGAATTTGTTATAAATAATGATAGCTAGCTATGTTGACGCGTTTCAATCATTTAGCCCGATCATGCAGGGTCAAAAAATAAAAAGTGTTTCTTTAGAAATCCTCTATTCTAACTTGGTGCTCTCGTTTGTAAATTAAATAACTATCCTATGCAGTTTTTGCATATTCGTCTGAAATGATTCATTGATTTTCTCAACTTCAGTACCAAAAACTACACGAACGAATAACACATCAACTGTCATATCAGAAAAAATATCTCTCAACAATAAAACAAACTCGTCCTTCGATGTTGAAGTTACATGGAATGCTGAGAGATGGATTAAGATGGAAACAATAGATTTTTATCGCTTGACGATAGAAGAAAGGCAAGACCATTCCAACTTTAGGACAAGCAGGGTTTCTGCAAATGAAAATGTAAGTTTCAAGGAAGATTTTTTAATTGAACTACAATGGATTAATAGGTGTGTTATTTAGATTAACAACTATCAAGTTGACTTGAAAGACCTGTCAGAAGGAGAATACAGACTTGAGGTTTGTCATAAGCCATATGAGGAATGTTTTTATTTTAATTTTTGTTGAATAGAAATTTGTGAGTGGTCTCTAAATATACAATGCATTTCTTTCTAAAACTTACTTTGAAAATAAGTTGCGGAGGCAAGTGTTTGTGCTGTGACGTAAGATAATTTTGAAATACAGGAGTATAATAGTAATCTGCTATTCAAGTTTTTAACACTTCTTTTTGGGTACCTTTTGAGAAAGAATTTGCTGTCTGATTTTAAACATAACAAATAAGTATGGATTGATAAGGACGATTATAGATGACAATCTATACTTTGTTTTTTGACAATGGAAATTGCATGGTTTGCTTTGATGTTTTCTAATTTACTTTTTTTATGCTTTGAGATATGCCTATGCAAATTTATGCATTAAGATATGTCTTTGCATTTGCAGATTTATGCTTTGGCAAATGCCTATGCAAATTTCTGCTTTGAGATATGCCTATGCAAATTTATGTTTTAAGACATGCCTATGCAAACTTATGCCTGAAGATATGCCTATTCAAGGTACGCCTCGAGATATGTCTATAAAAATCTCATCTTTACCTGGCCTAACGAGGCAAGAGTAATTTTTCTCAATTTCGTGTGTGCTGTGTGCAGTCTGAGGTGCAGTGTTGCAGAATTGTTTTATTAAAATGTATTCCTGCCTTGATAGTTGATCTCTAGCATTGCCAAGCGACGCATGCACAATGGAAACGCATGTAATCATGACTTGACGTCAACGATTAACCATGCATAGTAAATTTGCATACATTCAAAACATAAATGCAACAGATCAAATGTAGCAAGCATAAGATTATTTTTAGATCGAGGCCTATCACGGAATCAACTGTCTCCATGACATCATCCAGCAAAAGTTTCTCCAAAGTATGTTATTACTCTTTTAAATACTTATTAATTGTCATGCTTGTGTCGACTGATTTCCAATTTGTAAGTTAAAATGGGAGTCATTAACAATTGTAATGTATTTACACTTCTGATGAATTTCAATTTTATGGAGTTTTGGTGGTTAAAATCCACAGAAACTATGTCAATTTATAAATTTATTGCAAAGCCATCATCAGAGATTATACTTAATATAAATCCTAGGATTTATATTATAAATTTATGGATAGAAAAAACAAACCCAAAGCATACTACACCGTACTAATCTTTGACGTATCGTGTATATTTTTCTTTCTCAACAAACAAAGTAAAGGAAATTTAAATTTTCATTAGTTTCTCAGTACTCTGATAAACAGTGTTTTTTACATTTAACATGTTACGATTGAGGCGATTATCACAACACTTGGGAAATTTAGATTGAATGACGTCAAAACACAATGAACAGCATTTATGAAGAGTTGCAATAAACTTTGGTTACTAATTAGTGTAATATCTGGTTGAAAGTTAGCATTATATGTGGTTTATCGCTCGTTTTATCGTTGCAGTTTACCGTTATATGGTTGTAAATTTTAGCTATACGATCGATGTTATTTGTGTTATGTATGGGGTTGCTTGCTTGTGCTGTGGTATCCCCAACTTAACTCATGACATAGGATACCTTATAACTTTCTTGTTGTTTTATCGTCTTATTCTTTCAATGTATTTGTAGTAAGAAGACCTTGCGGAGAAGGCTGCATGGAAAACGCAACGTGCTTGCCAGCAAATGTTTTTGATGGAACTGCAGTCTGCAAGTGTAAGGACGGTTTTACTGGCGACGGTAAAACATGCAAAGGTTAGAAAAGTTAGATATCAACGGTCGATTGATTGTTTATGTATCTAAATTATATGTGTTCACAGATCTTTGGTATTAGGAGAATTGATGATTTTGATTATGATTGTCGAACATCAAATCAAAATGTATCATATTTCATAGACAATGAAAACAGTATATGTCACTTTGGAAATTTATGGATAGAAAAAACAAACCCAAAGCATACTACACCGTACTAATCTTTGACGTATTGTGTATATTTTTCTTTCTCAACAAACAAAGTAAAGGAAATTTCAAATTTCATTAGTTTTGTCAGTACTCTGATAAACAGTGTTCTTCAGATTTAACATGTTACGATGGAGGCGATTATCACAACACTGGGGAAATTTAGATTGAATGACGTCAAACGCAATTAACAGCATTTATGAAGAGTTGCAATAAACTTTGGTTACTAATTAGTGTAATATCTGGTTGAAAGTTAGCATTATATGTGGTTTCTCGCTCGTTTTATCGTTGCAGTTTACCGTTATATGGTTGTAAATTTTAGCTATACGATCGATGTTATTTGTGTTATGTATGGGGTTGCTTGCTTGTGCTGTGGTATCCCCAACTTAACTCATGATATAGGATACATTGTAACTTTCTTGTTGTTTTATCCTCTTATTCTTTCAATGTGTTTGTAGTAAGAAGACCTTGCGGAGAAGGCTGCATGGAAAACGCAACGTGCTTGCCAGCAAATGTTTTTGATGGAACTGCAGTCTGCAAGTGTAAGGACGGTTTTACTGGCGATGGTAAAACATGCAAAGGTTAGAAAAGTTAGATATCAACGGTCGATTGATTGTTTATGTATCTAAATTATATGTGTTCACAGATCTTTGGTTTTAGGAGAATTGATGATTTTGATTATGATTGTCCGAACATCAAATCAAAATGTATCATATTGTTATAGACGATGAATACAGTATAATTAGCTATATAAAAATAGTAGTGGATTTGGGTACATCTAATTATACGTTAATAAGATTTTATTTTTGAAAATGCAAAATTAATTCATTGAAAACATGGAATTCAATTTGACAGGCATTGCGTACACTTTCTCGTACAGCTATAAAAGGCTAATCATTCTCCTTGCAGAGAAACATCGAATCTTTGCCATTGGGATTTATTTTAAGAGATTCGTAAATTTTAGGCTGATTAAGAGATGATAATTATGAAAAGAGACAAGCCCTAATAATCTCCTTTAACATAATGGATTGGTTTGAAATAGTTTATATATTTGCAAGCTTACTACTACTAGAAGTAACTATTAATATTATTTTAAAAACTGAAGCTTGTCCTGGGGGATTTTACTGTTTATATTTGTCTTTACTCAAACTCTTAAGTGATAGATATGGTAATGCTTTTGTTTCATGTTAACCATGTATTATTTTCTATTTTTTAGAGATTGTGTTTACGGCGTCTAATAAGAAAAAAGAAGATGATAGCAAACTTCTCCCTATTCTTTTACCGATATTGGCCATAGCTTTGATAACAGCATTGATTTTGGTAGCGTTTGCATGGAGATTAAAGAGGAAAAAAGAGATGGTGTTGGAAGCATTTCAAAATAATCAATCTGGGATTCCACCATCAGAATCCAACTCTCACCTATACCACTATTTTCCACCACGGTAAATGTTAGCTAGCATCTATGTTTCTTTCTGATTGATTCAAATTTTCCAGTTTTGGCTACTGGATATATGGCAACATTTTTTGTGTCTAGTTTTTGTCTATCTCGATGAAATAAAATAAATAAAATACTCGTTTGGGTTGTAAAAAGTACTTGGTTTGACATGTTTCTTTGATGAAGTAAAATAGGTTTCAAGAAAAATAAATCGTTTGACGCGTTTTTATTTATTAGTTCCAATCTCGGTGATGGTTCGCTAAAAGTAAATCAAGTTGATCTGAACGATAAGGAAGTCAATCTCATATATGTTCCTCAGGAAATTCAACATGCCATATCTAATGGTCTCACCGATGGTTACGAATTCAACGCCGAACAAATCAAGTTTGAAGAATGTCTTGGCAAGGGTGCGTTCGGTTTCGTTCATCGAGCGAGAGCCCTTGGAATAACCGCTGAACCAGAGTGGACGCTGGTTGCGGTAAAACTCTAAACGGTATACGTTTCTTATACCGAAGTAAAAACTTTATCGACTTCTCGAAGACGTGATGTCCTTTGTATTGAAAGAAAATACTGTTGTATGAAATGTTCAAACTGAATTAAGTGGTTGCGGTAGACAGAACGCATGAAAAATTCTCAAAGCTGGTTTTATCTTTTCATTTTTTGTCTTTCGATATTTCAACCAATTTAGAATTAAGTTGTTGTATGAACAGGCTTCTTGTGTTGTGCTGTCGTAAAGTGTCGTAAAGGATGTATTAAGGAATTTTTCTAAATACAGGAAAATTTCTTATTTCTGCAAGGATCAATATTGAACTTTGAAAACACTCACGAAGTGAAGATCATTTGTCACCTCCTTCTACATTATTGAAACACAACCAGAAAATTGGCTCCTGTCAATAATTTTTATTCAAGGAGCTATTGATTTATTTGATCATTGTAATTTGTCGCTGAAAAACACGTTTTTACTTTTTCGTACTTTTCTTGACCCAGCTTTTCAAAATTTGAACTTTTAAACGTGCGCGTGACTTGCTACAAATTGCTTAAAATAGAGATTTCCGTTTATACATACGCCATCATCATTTTAGTTTTCTGTTTTCAGAACCTGTCACGGAAAAATCTGCGGAAGACTTTATCGGTGAAATAGAGCTGATGAAAAAGCTTGGAGAACACGAAAATGTTATAGAAATGCTTGGCTGCTGTACATTGACGTTGCCCATTTGCTTGATAATAGAGTATGCACCACACGGTAACCTGCTGGATTACATTAAAGCTGTGAAAGCAAAGGTAAAATATTCTACACAAAGTTGAAACATGCATGCAAAGCTGACGAATCTACGATGCGCTTTTTTGTGATATGGGGAAATTAGAACAAATTTTTTCTCGAGCCAAAGTTCTTTAATGGTTATGTACATTGCTGTAGAAGTTGGGGGGCGCTTGGGGGAGGAGACCCCCTTCTACCTTTGAAATGGGTAATTTTTCATAATTTCATGGCTTCAGCTTCGTCAAAAGAGCCCCCCATCTGATGAATTTAGTTCTACAGCACTGGTTATGTAGTTTCTATTATTTCAACTCATAGCTATGTAGCTATAGACAAGCTCGTGATCTAACCTTAATTTTGGTAAATTATATATAAAAATTTAGTGTGTACACGGTTTATTACATAAAAAGGCCACATATAAATAAATGCCTATTAATTAAAGAGTTTTTGTGAAAATTTCCTTTTAACAGTTATCGAACCAGAACCCTCCAGAGAACGATCAAAAGGAAGACGCCGAAGAGCTGTCATTGGCAGGCAAAGAGGTGATATTTTTATGTAACTATCATAAAATATATAATATATATATTGACAGTTGTAGCATTATGACTAGTTGAGAAACCTATTTCTCTCTTTCCCGCCAAAGTCAACCTTGCAAAAAAATTTAAAACTCATGCACGGGATTTTTTATTGACAGAATAAATGTGTGGAAGATGACGATGTTCAAAAGGAGACTTGTTTCGGAGGAAAAAAAGATCAAGGTAGTATAAAATATTGATCAGAGCATTATGCAACAGCACACATCGCTTAGCATAAACTTGTTTTATATTTTCAATATACTCAAGGAACTTGTGATTTTTACTTCGCACAACAGTAGCTTATCAATTTATTTCCAGTTTCACAATACTTCATTCCACAAGTGATCTCTATTTTGTAGATCCAAAACATATGAAGACTAATAGTTTTCAAGATGAAGAAAAAAGTGATTTCTACAAAATGATCGAGAAGAATGAACATCTCGAATCGTTCGCTCTACAAATTGCTAATGGAATGGTGCGAAAACTAGTTTTTATAGAAATTTTTTAATTCTGTTGTATTTTAGCAAACTTAACTTAAATACATTTTTGTTTTTATATGTTGATAAAGAAGTCTTAGTTTTATGTTCATGTATTTTATGTAGTTTTATCACACATTTCTTGTTAATCGCCCTATGTTTTAATAATACGTTTTATGAATTATATACAGTTTTGTGTATTACATAAAAACCTAACCAATTATTCCATGTGCTCATTATGTTAAACTAGAAACAATTATTTATATATTATATATATATAACAGGCATATGTAGCTGGTAAGGGGATAGTCCATCGAGATCTTGCTGCAAGGAACATTTTGATTGGCCAAGGCTATACACTGAAGATATCGGACTTTGGTTTATCAAGAGAAGGGGTTTATGTGAAAACAACAAAAGGAAAAATACCTCTAAGGTGGCTGTCAATAGAGGCTATCCGGGAAAGGATGTACTCAAGCTCTAGTGACGTGTGAGTGCAATATCTATATAAACAGAAGGCCTTTTCCCCATCGTCCATACAAGATACCATTCTACTTGACTTGTCTTTGTTGCCACATAAAATAAAGCTTTGCTTTATTATTTCTTTCCTTCGTACAGTTAAGTTTTATTAGATCTGTGAGTGGAAATGGTTATTTGAAGTCGGAGTGTATCGAAGTCAAGCGGGTTTTTAATTTAGATTTTAGAGGGCAAATTTCAACCACAAATTACCGACCAAGTATTTTTTCGTGTCTGAAATTTTAGGAATGTGTAATGTAAACTAAATGGCTATAATTTGATACAGCTATAATATTATCATATTATGAAGGAAACGCTTAACCATGCAAATGCATTTTTTTCAAATTTTTAGTTGGTCCTACGCAGTTGTACTTTGGGAAATCAGCACTCTAGGTAGATATGGCTTTTGAAATGAATATGTAAAAAGTTATCACATGAAATTTTTCTCTTGTAAACCAGTTCAAACTTTTTGAAGAACACTTCATCACAAAAAATGTTCATACATCTATCAAATTAACAAAAGAAGTAAAACCCATTGTTTGTATGATAATTTCAAATAGCTTTGCGTTGGGTGTATAAATTTCAAGACGGTTCTAACGCAAGCATAAAGTGCACACAAATTATATTATAAACGGTTGAGCAGAATATAAAGCGATGCAATCGAGTATAGATACAGTTTGATGATGGATACAGTGTGGTTGTTGGCCAGCACGATATGTAATCTTACCTGATTAATGGGGAGCTTTAGCAAGAGTACGACCACGACAACGAGGAGGACTACGACAACGATTACTAAGTTTGACCGTGTAAGAGAATGGCACGAGGAAGTTTGTTGTTGTTGTCGCAACAATGTTTTCGCGCCAAAATGACGTAATTCGTACTCGTAGTCGTACTCGTAGTCGTACTCGTAGCGTACTCGTAGTCTTTGCTAAGGCTCCCTAATGAATGCAGCTATGTCATACTGCATGTGGCACTTCTAAATTTTCATCTTTGCTTTCTGCGAACGAGCGAGTGACAATTAATGCAACTCAACATTTGGTTGATCAATCACTGTAGCACTAAACAATTTACGGCGACTTTTACCTTCTTATTGTTGTTTTGTCTGTAGGGGATTTTCCTTATCCTTCACTATCTGATCGAGAATTGCTAAATTACCTCAACCGCGGGGAAAGACTGGAGAAGTCTAGCAACTGCAACGATGAAATGTAAGTAAAAAGTATTGTTTTTTAATGTGATAACCTTTTCCAGAACCAAGTTATGCGCGCTTTTGTACTGATTTACTGCACAAATTTTTACAAATCGGACAAATCAATTGTCTATATTTATTAAAGAATACGTCCTTTCGAACATGGTTCACATATAGTTAAAGATTTGCTTGCTTCATGCAAATCCGTGCTCACAAAATCATTCTTTCAAATTTCAAAAACAGAAAATACCCAAACTTTTTCCAAATTTTTTTATTGAACCTCTTTACATCGAAAAATATTATGGCAAGACCTTAACTAAGATGTTTACCATCTTAATAATGTCTTTAGCTTGTCATCCTTTTCCCATATGTTTTTTCCGTTTTTCCGGGTGTGGTGCACATACCCAAAAAAAGCTGCATGAATGGTTCCACGTAGCTACTGACACCACTTTTGTGGCGTGTTTTCATTTAAAATAATAGTCCAAATTTTTGGCTGGAATTTCTATACGCTCGTAAAAGTTGGGTATGTTCTCCCCATTCCTCCTTCACACACACCTCTTTAATGTGCACCCCTGGACGTTACATGTTTAATCGTGCATATTCACCAAAAAGTATAGATTACACAACGTGTTGTGAATTCGCCAAAAACTCGTGTATAAATAGGAGTTGTAAGTCGTTTACCTAAATTGTATAACACTAATGATTGCTTGTGAGCCATAAGTTTATTGTTATTTAAGTGCTTCTGCGAATATTTTACGTAGGTATAACGTGATGCTTCAATGTTGGCGTGCTGATCCGAAAGAGCGACCAACTTTTTCAAATTTGCGTGACACTTTATGGAAAATGAGCAAAGGAGAGAATCCGTACGTGAACGTTGATCCATTGCAGGAGAGTGTTTCAGTGAGCGAGACGGACAAAAATGAGAACACCGTTACAGCATGAAGTAATGGTGCTTTATGATTCAACGAAGTTTGAACAAATTACGGCTCTCGTTTCACTAATTCTCACTTTAATTTTTGCTTTGTCGCATTGTGAGCGTATAATATATACATAGTTAAAATTACGAAGCACAAGATTCGCAATACGGCAATGTTATCAGAAATCCGTAACGTGTGTATCATTAAGGCTTAAGACAATTGTAAGTTGTAACATTGTCAACATATCGAAAAGATATTTTAAAGTACTATTATTAGCAACGAATTTTTACGTACAATACCTCTAAGAGAGAAGTGGATAGATAACTGCTGTCACGAAGTGGATGTCTACTTTAAAAGTTGTCTTTTAAAATGAGCAAATAATAGGTGAATGGTCAACACTTTTGGAATTGTTGGTTTAGTATTTTGGCTTAAACAGTTCTTTTAAAAACTATTACGTTAGTATTTGACCATTCACCATATGGTATTTGCTCTTTTTAAGACAATTTTTAAATTTGTCACCACGACAAAGTCTCTGGTTGTCAACTATAGTCGGTACGCATTTGACTTAAATTCTAAAAGAACAGTAATGTTTTTTGTGTAGCTATAACTGTTTTTTGGGAAACTTTGGAGCTGAGTCCCTTTGATATTTTTAAAAAAGTTATTTTAAGTAATTTTACATGTCAATTACGTTGATTTGCTGTTTTTTACAATAATATTCACTGCTCACGTCGGAGTTTGAAAATATCGAGCAACAAGTACTGAAGCCACATCATTACTTTGAGTTGGTGCCCATGGTTGGGGTCAGTTATATCGTTTCTAACTGGACAATTTGAATCGCAAAGTTGATTGGTCAAACTGCATTCGACGTTCTTCTCTATAGAAGAAAGTGAGCAAATGTTCTTCATTCCTGCCGCTGAACAGATGACCGTGACAATGCCAAAGTAAAGGCTACTCAAATTTGTAATGTGGCAATGGATCTAGGCTCTTATTAAATTTCAAAATTTGCTTAGTATTTATCGTGTGGAATACCAAAATACCAGGCATAGAACAAAGACCCAACATATTAGACTGAAAAAACCTACTCTCTCTCCACAGCAAAAACATTGCTAAGGACCCTGGAAAACCTAAAAAAAGACTTTAAAGAAAAAAAGTTTCAATTTCTCCTTTAATTTAATATGAAAGCGCCTTCATTCAGAAAATCCCCATATGCATATTTGCTGTGAGAGATTTTCCAAACCTCAAGTGATTGTCTGGCACTCCTCTCAGTCAAGTCAGGGGATTTCTGTATATTTACTAGAGCTTACAGTGAAAAGTGTTTGCTAAGCAGAAAAATACAATTGTCGTATTTGGTCGACTAAAAACAACCTTGTTTGTAACTTCAACTTCTGTGGAGAATGCATTTTGTTCAGACGTTTCTGTTGAGATTTTGAAAACAGCCTTACGTATCACGGTTTTGTGAGATAAACTGACTTTTTATGATTTGGAGTGCAAATAGCTAAAGTTACACCATAACAATATTGTATACGAGTCTTGATGCATTGTGGCTAGTAACTTCTATTTGCTGTGGCCTGTGGATTAGCCTTCATTGTGTTAAATCTTAACAAGCTATCCGGCGTTCACTAATCACAAGTGTAGAATTTTGCAATGTACATAACATTTATTGATCGGTACATTATATTATTTAGCTATGTCTTTATTTTTAAGGTTTAAAAATCACTCACAATGTTTTTCGAGTGAACGCTGCTGGCTAAAATTAGCGTTTGTTTTCGTTTTTTATTATTTATTTTGACAAAGTGAATGATGAATATTCAAGATATACAGGGTATTTTGTATGGTTATGTTTGTTTGTTTCAATAGGTAAATGTACAACTTTTTAACAATTATTTGTCCATTAGAAGGATACGAAGAAATTTATATTAGTATGAACGCCAATATTTATACTTTGTAAACCACTCGAATCATGACTTTAGATTGGCTGAGGCGAGTGGAATCGTTTTTTTTAATATAAGGTGTGTGCTTTGAGTTTGCGACCGCATTTGTGACCAACAAAGTATCCAAAAAGCCTCAAAAACAGTAAAGTGAAATGGAGTAAAAACTTATCGAGTAATCGTTTTATGTTGAGTTAGTACATTTGCTCGAAGTGTTTGCTCCTGGCTGGCGAAACTCTTGTCCCTATTTTCAATTATTGATATTTGCCAGTGCATACCAAACATATTCTCGTCACGAAATTGTAAGACTCAAGAAAATATAACTATGACTAATCATTTCAGTGTTTTCCGTTTTTCGGATGAAACATTAATTTTAATCAAAACTTCGCCAAACTATTACAACAAGTACAGTTTCAAAATATATAAAATATATAAGTTACTATTAATTAATCTTTGGATGAGCGTCAACGCGTGTACTTGCATACCTAAAGAATTTTATAATTATCCTTCCATTTGATGCTGAGACTTTGAGAGCTCATAATTCATAGCCAAAGCAAGTGAAGCAACAACGTAATGTATATGCCATGCCTAGTTGAGCAAATATTCAAAACCAATGACTATTGGCTGTAGATTTTATTGGTTATTTCTCTATTTTTAAGCCAGCCAGACAGAGAATGTTGAGAATGTCCTTAATATATAAATTAGCATTTATTCCTGAGAGCCGTTATGCTTCGTAAGTTCTGTTGTGTGTTTGCAAATGTCAGGCATTTCATTATTTCCTACGCCCATAACAAATATTTGTGCGTTGGTAATCTCGATAGCAAATTTAATAAACATTATGCTAGGGAAGTTTGATTTCCATGAAAAGAACGTTCTTAGATGCTATGAAATATATTTGTAATAATATGTAGCGTATATTCGTGTTCGACAGCGTTCTGTCGAGGTATTATTGGCAATTCACTCTACCGATAATTATGCATATCATTGCAGGTAGCATTTTCGAAAACGGATATAAGCACTTCATGTTTATACGTAACTCCTGGTTGATTGGTGAGTGCTTGGGAAGGCTGTGCCTTTGTTATTATTAACCATTATAACTTCTCGTAGAGTGAGTAGATTTGCTGCGTAGAATATTCAACCGGTTGAAATTGTAAATTTAAGTCTTTATAGGAACGAGAACGCAAATATGAGTAAGACACGAGCGACTGAAACCATAAAGCAGAGGATAAACGAGTATCGAACGAAAATTGATGAAGCAATTGAGATTGAAGAAGATTGTAAGGCAAAGCTTGAGCATGCCAAAGAAAGGCAGACAAACAGTGAGACAGAAGCCAGATCTTTGCGAAATCGTGTGGAATTTATAAAAGCAGAAATACGTCGGGTGAATAAGAAGAAAAGCGAAACTGAGAGTCAACTCGAGCAGCACGATGCTCGATCCGAAAAGTCAGAAAGCAATCGCAAAATTCTCGAGGAGAAAGAGGAACAAGGGTATGAAAAGACAAGAGAGATTGAAGATATGGCAAAAGATATGAAATTCACTGTAGAAGAGAAAGAGAATCTTTTCAAAGAAGCCACATTGCGCGAGAAAAAGCTCCTGGCTGATCTGAAACGCGCCGACGCGAAGTTGAATCAAGCAATGGCTAAGTTGAATGAATTAGAAAGCAAACACGAAGACATTGTGACCACAACTAGTTCGTTGGAAGGAAACGTGAATACGCTGCAGGAAAAAGAGGATGAGTTCACTGAGAAAATTAATTTCTTGAATGATCAAATTAAACAAGTGACAGCGTTGGAGGAGGAAAAAAATTCCACTGTGAAAGCAAGCGAACGAATCATAGAGAGGTTGAAATGTGACATTGGTGTCATGAAAGATAAACTCTCAGAAGTCGAGAAACAATTTAATGAACTTGATGCTGTCTAATCTAACATTTTGGGCAAATCAATTGAGAATATTTGGACTGATATGTGATTGTTGTTGTTTGAATCTTTGAATGTAGACTTTCCGTTCTAACAAGTCTACGTTTTTCATCGTTTAGATAGCTATAGTTTAGGAAAAATTTATACGGTTAAATCTTTATTATTACAATACCATACACTCAATTAGATAGCTACATTTAGTACATCTGATCAAATAACTTTGAAGTCAACATTGAACACTCTCAAATATTTTGAAATCATAATTAGCGGCATTTTTTTGTACTATTATCAATTTAATTATACAAAATAAATCGACATGAAAATTTAAAACATATTCCAGTAAGTCATCATCCAGGCACATCATATAACTTTACCAAAATGCTTTAGTTCTCTGCGTAATCTGTTCCCCCGTACTGCATTATTTGTTTTTTTCTTTTGACTTCGAACACTTCTCCACATTTGTATGTTTGCCTTGCTCATGAGATTTTAAGCTTGGTGAAGTGTTGTGCGTGCGTAAGACCAATATTTTAAAGCTACGGAGTATATTGGATGGTAAGATTTCACAGCTTATGTTTTTTTTATGTTTTGGAAGATTTGAATAAATTTCGATTCAGTTCGAAATAATGGTAATCTGCATTTATGGCAAATTGGAGGCCGGTTTGCGATATGGCCCTAATAATATCTGTTGTAGGGTACAAGTTACAACCAAAACGTACTCCGAAAAATACGCAGGGAGCCGCCTTAGCCGGTAATCAGGGGTGTAGTGTGAAATTTTGAACTGGGGGTAGGTGCTAAAGAGTACTTAATGAATTGGTTACGTACAACACTTTTTTAGGGAATATGAAACGACGTTATTTACTATCGAAAATTGGTTTGTTAGAAGCGATATAAAAATCGAATTACCGAAAATTCTTGCTGATTCCTTCCTCTGTTTAGTAAATGCTGATGAAGACTAATTACAAAGGTTTGGGTTGTAGTTTCGCGTTCTACAAACTTTTTCCTCATAGGAATTTTCAAATTTCTAGCACTAAAGATAAAACTTCCCCAAAAGAGAAAGAGGAGTCATTTTTTGTACACAATATTGTCATGGATTAAACTTTAAATACGCAAAATTGATCCCAAATCCGATCTCAAATGTTGGGATTAGGTTTAAGGTTCACGTGCTGGTGCGGACTGCGGACCCGGCGTGTGAGGTGACTGGTTGGTTGTGTTTACAGCACAGACTCACAGTCATGAGTGGTATGGTCCTGCGTTTTCATTTCCATATCTTACACTCTTCTTGGAAAGGGATTTTTGATCGAAATTTGTGGAGGGCTAAAGTTGTTGGTGTCAATGTCTTGATTTCTCCCAAAGTATCAAGAATGGCTTCAAGTGGAGCCATTGGAAAGAACTTGCACGAGAAGAAACCATTGGTTGGTATTATTTCGCAATATTTTTTCCAATCCAAGAATGATTTGGAAAAACTAGCAAGACATTGTCCATCGGCAACATTCGTCGTCATCAACGGTGAAGGTCAGAAATTTTAAATTAATAGACAATTAGACTGCAATTGGCCATGAAACTTGGACTGCATTTTATATATTAATTCATGATGAATGATTTTGACCAAAGATTTTCCTTATTTACTATTGAAATGTTTACCACCTTAGTAGGTGAATGTGATCTATGGTTGCTATGTTGAATGATTTTGACCAAAGATTTTCCTTATTTACTATTCAAATGTAAGCCAACATGGGGAAAATACCTTAGTAGGTGAATGTGATGTATGGTCACTATGTTGAATGTTTTTGACCAAGGAATTTTCTTATTTGCTATTCAAATGTAAGGCAACATGGGGAAAACTCCATCACTCTTTAACTTGGTGTGCATCACCTATAATTATGACTGTATGTCCACTACTCTGTTTAGTGTCATCATACCATTTTGTTATTGGTTCATAGGAACTAGGTATTTTCTCTGGTACATTATTATTGCCACAATATTATTGAAGTACTTATTGTGTAATGTGATAATCACATTCTTGTATAACAATGACAACCTGAAAACTTCATTATACTTATAAGACACAAGTTAGATATACCACCTTAGTAGGTGAATGTGATGTATGCAGCTCTCCTTATTTAAGATGAGGCTGGGGATTATGGTAAACACGACGGCATGAACTAGGAACTAGATACTTGCTGAATATTGAATTTACCAGAGAGAGGGCTATAACATAGAATTAATCAAGTCTCTTTAATAGTTGACTCCTCAGAACTTTGCAAAATTACATCATTTTATACATGTATATTGTGAGCAACATGATTAATTGAACATTTCTTATTGACACACATTAAATATGATCTTTTCTCTCTCTCCTAAATGGACCAATACAGTGCCTTTCATTCTGCCTTTCAAAAATGTTGATGCAAATTTATTTGCAGGTAAATTTTGCCAGCTAATTGTATACCCTCTGATTTAAGCAATTTATTGAATGAAACTGCCTCAGTATTGAGATTAAACATGGAATCTTTCATTTAAACATCTTAGTCTTGACATGAAATCGCCGAAAAACCTTTTCTTTATTTCTTTGTTTTTGATTCAACATCTGTGCTGTTTTATCGGAACAATTACACCTCTACAATTTGTACCTTTTTCACTCTGCTGTTAAATGAAAGCTGAATGTTTACCATCTTTTAGCTTGTAAATCATTTCAAATGCTTAGAATGTTTTCAACGTACAAATTAACTGTTCTGTTGTTTATTTATAAAATATCGAGCATTGATTTATTATTTCCCAGAGCCATATACCAAAATGCTTATGGTTATGTTTGTTTTAATGAAAAAAATCTTCTCAAATGCCATGAATTTTTTAAATTGCAGAAATAACATCAGACTGCTTAAAAGACATGGAAATCGTAATTGCAGATCCTCCACTTGTCTGTGAATGGATTCATCAATTTCCTAAGTTAAAGTGGATGCAGGCTACGTTCGCTGGCATAAATAGTATAATCCACTCTATTGAGCCTTGTAAGCTGCCAACGTACAGTTTGACCAAATTGAGTGGAGTGTTTGGAGCAAGCATCGCCGAGTATGTTGTGGGTCACGTGATTGCGCGTGAGCGAAAGTTCCTACTATGCTTGGAGTACCAAAAAAGTAAATCCTGGTAAGATGTGCCTACTGTTAATGTTTATACAATTTGTTGTAGTATGGTTGCCCATCATTGTCTGAACAAAAGTATTCTTACTAGAGTAAACGGTTTGAACCCGGGAGTATCGTTACATGTTTGTAGATGTAGATCGTCATAGAGTATTAATTCCAAGAGGATTAATTCCAAGGCCCCGTTTACACTATACCGGATTGCTATCGTAGCAGGTTGAATATTCTTTGTATTAAAAGGCAATGAAATTGTTCAACGTCAGAAACACAATCAAATAGACTAAATCTATCAGCTTAATAGGCTTTTACTCCGAACAGTTAACCCTTTAAAGCAAATGAGAATGTCGTGATGAGCGAATCCTGTATAGTGTAAATGCAGCCTAAGTTAGTGTACTTTTGGATACATAAAATTTAACTAGAATCTAGTACATAGTTCTTAGCCTTATGTTCAAAGAGCTCCCCTCTCGTATAAAATAAGAACATGAACATCGAAATAAGCTCAACAGCAGGAACATACATCAGCACAAATTTACAACATGGTCTACTTGATGCCAACTTCCTGCTTATAGCTCTGTGCCAGAAGAACAATATTAAATAACATGTTTGTAGATGTAGATCGTCCAGGTTGGTATAGTCCTGAGAAGGACTGTTTTTGTTGTTGTTGACTGACGTTTCGCCAACCTTAGGATTGAGGAATCCTCATTCGACTCTGAAGATGACTATCGCTAAATTTGTCGAAACGTCAGTCAACAACAACAAAAATAGTCCTTCTCAGGACTATACCAACCTGGACGATCTACATCTACAAACATGAAAAGTATTCTTGTGAAAAGCTACTTTTAATTAAAAAATAACATGCGTTAAAATTAAAATTAAAACAAATTCCAATTAAAGATTGATCAAAGGAAAATTTGATTAAAACTATACAAACACTATTCAGAAATCTATTCAGAAATCTCTTTTCGCCTTATCTTTCCTCACGCACTTTGCCAAATCATCTTCGAAAGTGCTATCGTTAAGTGTGGAAAATTATTTTACTTCTTGGATCAGAAGAGAAAATTGAAAAAACGTCTGCGAGTATTTCAATGGTTAAAAAGGTCGCGACAAGGAAGTCATGCAACTTTGCTCTAGGCCTGCTGCACGCCTTGCTCGCTGCAATTGCCAAACTGTGGCGAAAATCAGTATACGTAATAAGTTATATAGTACAATAGTTTTGTGTGCATAAGTGACAAATCATAGTATATCGTTCTTAAACCAAGCATTTTTGTTCTTTCAAGACCATTACATTTTGACGTTATAACCACATACCGTAAATGCTTGTTTTAGCGCTGCGGTGCTTATTTAGTTTTTCCGAGTTACAATGCGGCCCGTATGCTGGTGGTCCTCTGTATTTTCGGCCGGACTTTTTTTACCGAAGTAATATTGAATCGATTCTAGCTTATTCAATTATAACACAATCCAAGAGTAAGGTGCCAGTTGCAAGTATCCAATCATCGGTTAATAAATCCAATTTTGCATAAAGACATTAAAGAACAATGTTATGGAACACTTTAGTTATTTAATCATTTTCACAAATTAATTCTACTTATCCAAAACATCATCCATGCAATCATAAAGGTCATGAAATTGTAGAAGTTTCCGAATACATTTTCCTATATTTAAACATATGTTGTAGCATGCATTATGTGCATTTTGTGTTTGTAATCGTTTAAAGTCAAATATGTAAGTGAATAATTTGACATTTTAAAGTGATGAAAGTTGTTGTAACTTTCAATAACTAACAGAAACTATTCAATATCAATGGGTAAAAAATTTACTTGTTAGCTACTGCCATTTTTCTTGCCTTCATTCTTTCCTTCCTTCCTTCCCTCCTTCCTCCCTCCCTCTCTCTCTCTCTCTCTCTCTCTCTCTCTCTCTCTCTCTCTCTCTCTCTCTCTCTCTCTCTCTTTTTATGCTTGTTTGCACGATTAAAACGAGAAATTCGAAGACAACAGATAAAGGAAAACTGATCTCCTAGTATAACTCAACCACACGAGGCTTTAAAATGCTGCAGTTATGTAATTCTAACGTACGTCATTCCTTTTGTTAGGTGTTCTTGGGAGAAATTAAAGTACCGTGAACTTTCAGATTTGACTATTGGTATTCTTGGTTTTGGATCCATAGGGAAAGTTATTGCAGAATACTGCCATTGTATGAAGATGAAAGTATTTGGCATCCATCGTGCCGTACCAACTTCTAAAGTACATTACGTTGACAAGAGTTTTGGTATAGAAGAATTAGCAGAATGCTTAAAAGAATGCGACTATTTTGTCAGTGTTCTTCCTAGTGCTGAGAGTACCAGAGGACTGCTTTCTGGGGAGGTCCTTAAAAATTGCACGGCTAAAAAAACAGTTTTAATAAACGTAGGTCGTGGGGACCTGCTGGACGAAAAAAGTATTTTGAGGGCTCTTGATGAGCAATGGATCGGCGGAGCTATCTTGGATGTTTTCGAAAGGGAACCCCTTTCAAAAGAAAGCGCTTTATGGTGTCATCCTCAAGTTTTTATTACTCCTCACGTCTCTGGTCTGATCAATTCAGATATGGTAAGCGTTGAGGCCATAACATATTGTGCAGCTTCCATATGCATGTGAATCTTTTGACTGTGGGAAATATCCAGATGCCTCGATATAACGTGATATGCATGTTTTGACGTCTAGTGCACCAATCTAGACTCCGACATTTCGTTTGCACAAAGGCAAAAGGACGCATCCATTTAGTACGTACTCAAACTTTACCGAATATTTAACACCCCTTCTAAGTACGGATGTGTAATTTTCTAGCCCCACCCCACCCCCAATTTTTACATGCACATGTGTACAAAGACATTGTTAATTATCACAACTTATCAAAAAAATCCTTTATCCACTAGTTACCAGTGAATATTGTAAGTTTAAGGACACGATGATACCTACAGATACCGGATATTGTGGTTCTTGTCTTTGTCGGGGTATCTTACTCTGCTCTTTCTGCTCTTTTATATTAACTTATAACACAATCATAGGTGTGTAGTTTGTAATTAAAGTATTTACTTTCATAAATGTTAAATCTCACTAAAAAAAATTTCACTATAACCTCATTCATCAAATTTCTACGTTGGGTTTATTTACAGCTAAAGCGGTGAGATAATATAACATTGGGCTAATTTCTTTTAAATTGTTTTATTAGATCTTGCAAGTGTTTGTGGAGAATTTTCAACTCTATAAAGATGGAAAAGAACTTAAGTATATTGTGGACTGGAAAAAGGGATACTAGACGTTAGTCGGGTACATTAGCCTATCCACGAAGGGTAAGTCAGAATCATAAGCGACTCATTTTCGGTTAAAAACAATAAGAGAACATTTAACACAAATATTAAAAGGATTACTAATTGTAAAGTAATTTGAATTGGAAATGTATTTTTAGCAATGTATTCTTGGAAATCCACCCAAGTGATAACTTGCATATCGTGGCATGTAGCATTTATTACACGAATATAAGCACTTCAAGTTTATACGTAACTTCTGGTTAATTGGTGGTTGCTTGAGACAGCTGTGCATTTGTTATTCATTGATCATTATAACTTGGATTCTCGTATATTTTGTAGCTTTCCTACGTTGAATACGTGACACCGATTACTATACGTACTCTTGTCCATTACAATCTGTTTGAACTCAGTAGCTAACTCGTAAGCTTTTTTTTTGTTTTGTTTGTTTCGATCTGAATAATGTTACCTGGCGTAAAGAAAATTCTGTAGGGCAAATTCGTCTATCAATTTCTTCTCTTTGATTGATTGTTAGAAAATAATTCGTAGCATGAAACAGAAAAATTTTCTTGTATATCAAAATTCTCTATTAAAATTGCTTGGTACCTTAATATTTTGTGTGGAAATTCGCACCCCTCTCGCAACCCTTCTAGTTGAGGCTGGGCGTTACGCAACCCTCCTAATTCCATTCATTAAGCAATTGGGGGGAAAAGAAGAGTGTATGATGCAACTTGAACGTGCCAAACAAAGGCGAATGAATAGCGATACAGAAGCCATATCTTTACGAAATCGAGCAGAATTTATTAAAGGAAAAATTGTTCTGATGAATAAAAAGTGGTCTAAAACAGACCGATGCAAAATTGAACCTAAGTTGAATTAAATGGAAAGCAAACATGAGCACGCTGTGAACTTAACAAACTCGTTGGAAGAAAACGTGAACACACTGCATAAAAAACAAAATTAATAAAGAAAACGTAACACACCGATGAAAATTAATTTATTGAACGATCAAATTAAACAGTGTGAAGGAGGAGCGAAATTCCACTGTAAAAAGCAAGCCAATGAATCAAAGACAGGTTGAATTACCTTTTTTTGCAGAAACATGTATGTTCATGTGGAAGTTGTAGTATCGTTACTTTATCGTTACTTTACCACTGATGTAGCAATTACATCTCAAGTAAGTTTGACGTTGCCATGGTGAACGACTGTGGGGGAGTTGAATACCTCTCTTCTTAAAAGTGTTGTCGAATGTCCACCCATTAGTAAATAACCTTTTTTATGTTTTCGGAAAAGTTTCTCGCATTCACTTACCGGCACTATTACAGACGTCATTTTAACTTTATGTATGATGTATATTTTTTAGAAAATAAAGACAATAATTAAAATACCTGTTTGATTTAGTGATTAATATGAATATCATGTTATACAAAAAAAATTGGATGACTATGAATGCCATATTTGCGTAAAAAGTAAACCACTAAAGATAATAGTTGATACAAAGCTTTACAAAAATGTGAAACTGAAAATGGTGCTCGAAATTTGCAGCAAGAGGTCGCTTTAACTCAAGAGACCACAAACTTGTGATGCAGAAGTCACAATTACTGACTGGCAGACAATAATCGGACGTGAACTACATCATTTCACTTGTTACCTCAACTTTACTAGAAAACCATGCGCAAAACAGAACCATACCAGGTGTTCGAGGAGCTAGTTGCTTTTATTGAGAAAAAAGTTATTACTGGCTGTGAAGTGATGCGATTATCTGATATTTATAAGCAATATGAAAAAGCCAAGTCAAAAATAGTTGGGTATAGAGAAAACTGCCAAACAATTAAAGTCCAGAAATCAAAATTTATTGGGAAACATACCAACTACAATAGGCATGGTTCTGTTTAGCGCATCGTTCTCGGTAAAAACTGCAGCCAAGTCCGGACAATTCTTTCCTCAGAAGTGAAGTATTTCAATTCAATGTCTTTTATATTTTCTAATTTGGGCCGCTTTATAAACTGCTTGTCTAGTATTTTCACTGAAATTTTTATACCTTCGGTCGTTTGGTTTCAACAATGTATGATGCAAGCATTGCTTTTGACCTTCCTTCGTTTTTTAGGTGGAACTTAAGTTAAACTTATATCAAATGGTTTTGATTTCAGCTTTTCGGAAATATTCCTTCTTTCTATTGTAAAAAAGTACGGACGCACGTGTTTATCTTATGAATGCGTCCAAACTACATGACTTTTCCCCCAGGCGCTGGTCGAAGTTCAATGTGGGCTCGCTTCTTGTCATACATGAAATAAACATAAACATGGCGGCTAAACAATTTGAATACAAGTGGAGCGAAAAATGTTGTCGGAATCATGCCTCAAGTAAATTCAAGATGTCCAACATGCGGAATCGAGTTGAGCATAGTTTAAACCATACACTTATCACCAAAATGAATTGTCACAAAAAGCCGTAAGTATTACCCTATTTTATTACGTCTATCTGCCTGACTAATATTCTTGCAAAAAAATTGCGTCTCCAAGAGGGTAGATATCAAAAACTCAGGGGGGAGGGGTTCATGAACCCTCTATAACAGAGCTCGGATGTGCTCAACAGATTTGACTACAGTCACAAAAATAACTGGATTCGCCCCTGCTTGGAGTCAGACTAGAGTATCAATTATTCTTATCAGGAATCAATAATGGCGTCAAGTGCAGTTAATGGGACGAATATGCACGACGAGAAAACATTGGTTGGTATTATTTCAAAACATTTCCTTCAAACCAGGGAATATTTGGAAAGGCTTGCAACACTTTGTCCATCAGCAACATTCGTCATCATCAATCATGAAAGTAAGAAATAATTCAATGAATAAAAAATTTGACTGAAAAGGCCGTAATATTGGATTGTAATTTATATATTTTTGATATTGTCAATTGATGACTGCATATTAAACTTGGCTATTCGGCTGATCTTTGTCATACAATTTTGTTGTTTGTTCATGGTACTTAGAGCCAGCTCGTATGAGCCCCCGGCTAGCGAGACATCTCGCCGACCTTTGCAATACATTTACTATTAATAGTTACGTCGTGTTCATATATGAAAGCGGTATGGCCCGGTACCTGAGATCTCGGCTGTAGGAGACGAGATCATAGGTAAGCGGGATGAAAATTTTCCATATGAACTCGCTAATTACCGAGATGAAATTATGATATTATAAACATGGCGACCAATGGAATGGAACCGGGAGTTAAAACAAAACAAACGAATTATACGCTGGAATAATGGCATGAAGAATAAAGTTTAATTCAATATTTGAAGATAACAGTAGTATTCAATACAAAGACACAGTTTATAAACGGCATAAACCATAAAATACTGAAATGCCGGTCTATGATGCCGGTCGCGAGTTTTGGGAAAGTGTTGTTTTGCTATTTCGTCTTCGTAGGCGGGATTGAATTCTTCATATGAAAGCGAGGTAATATTTGGCTTGTTCAGTGGATGTCTCGCTTACCGGGATCATATGAACAGGACCTTACATGGCACGGTGTGCGTAATTGCTACAGTGCTATTGAAGTACTTATATTGTGCCATTTACAGTGATCTGATCAGGACATTCTACCATTGATAATGACAACATGAGAACTACATTTTACTGATGATACACAGCTACATGTACCACTTTTGTAGATGATGTATTCTGTGATCTTTGATCTTTGGATGTGTTTAGATCAGAAATGTTTCGCTTTGCATCAGCAATCAATCAATCATCTTTAATAAATGCCACGACAATGTCACAGAATAATGATTATACAGAAGGGTCACTCAGGTGTACAACGCGTCCTCATGTCGGACATTATTCCAGCCAGATGATAAGGATTTCTCACTTGTTTCCAACCTCTAAAATTACATGACGTCAATATTTAATAATGAATTCAAGTATATTTTCACTTAAGAAATGACTTCGGATCATTTTAAAGATTTTAAAAAGTCAAAAACCCTAATCATCTGGCTGGAATAATTGCGGCCACCATGCGCGGCACGTCATGCGCAAGGACAAAAACATCATAGGCTCCGACACAAGTGACTCGTCTGTATATTTGTATTCTGTGACAATGTGCTAAACCAATGGGATATTAGAATACAATTTAATGACTACCAAAATAGTTGCTCTTTTTTGTGGTACACTTATTTAATATTAAAGTAAATGGTTTGAGCCCGGGAGTATCGTTACATGTTTGTAAATGTAGATCGTCCAAATTGGTATAGTCCTGAGAAGGACTGTTTTTGTTGTTGTTGACTGACGTTACAACAACCTTAGTTGACGGAGGAGTAACCTGACGTTTACTCCTCATTTGACTCTGAAGATGACTACCGCTAAGGCTATCGAAACGTCAGTCAACAACAACAAAAACAGCACTTCTCAGGACTATTCCAAACTGGACGATCTACATCTACAAACATGTTATTTAATATTGTCCTTCTGCCACAGAGCTATAAGCAGGAAATTGGCATCAAGTAGACCATGTTGTAAATTTGTGCATATATACTGATACATGTCCCTGCTGTTGAGCTTATTTCGATGTTCATGTTCTTATTTTATGTGAGAGGGGAGCTATTTCAACATAAGGCTAAGAACTAAGAACTAGATTCTAGTTAAATTTTATGTATCCAAAAGTACAATAACTTAGGCTGCATTTACACTATACCGGATTCTCTCATCACGACATTTTCATTTGCTTTAAAGGGTTAACTGTTCGGAGTAAAAGCTTATTAAGCTGATAGATTTAGTCTATTTGATTGTGTTTCTGACGTTGAACAATTTCACTGCCTTTTAATACAAAGAATATTGAACCTGCTACGATAGCAATCCGGAATAGTGTAAACGAGGCCTTGGAATTAATACTCTTTGATGATCAACCCCTGAGAAAATTTTAAAATTACATGGTTCATTGCATTAATATGTGTAGTATAAACGGCATAATGAGTATAAACAGCATAACATTCCGTCCACCCGTATCCCGATAAAACGCCTACACCAACCGTAAACTTTTGAAAACGCGGTCCAGAGTGGAATGTTTTGAAAACGGAAGAAAATTAGTCTCGTGTGGACAGGCGAAACCGTAAAAATATAAAAATGATGACGTATTAACTGCGAACCAGTTCACTTCACGCATTTATTGTCGTCAAACATGGTGAGAACACAAAAATTTTATGCGGAAGAGCAACGTTTAAAAGGAGCTCCACTTCATCGCCCATTCACGCAAAGTTTTCGGTTTTGCTCTTATCGAATTTTGACGACTTTAAATTGTATTTACAAACAATGGAAAGAAGAGTTTCAATTGTAAAGAAA